TGGGAAGTTTGGAGTGAAAACCAGCACTCATGACCGGTTATACTGGCTGGTGACTGTCCTTTAATCACACTTCACCCTTAAAACTGTAACAAAGTCTTCAAAACAGATACTGTATTTACAGATACTTCAGGTTGTCACCTGCTACTGAGTCACATCCTGGGTCAGCACTACAACACTCCTACTCCCTCTGGCAGCTGTCCCTCACCTCTACATTTTTGCCCTGCTCTTGCATCACCCACTAACCCCCACCAAAACCTCAGTGTTAAGGGGCTGGGCCTGCTGAAAACTAACCTAGCAGGAAAGTGGCAAACTCTCGTGCGCACAATCCCCCTTGGCCAGTTCACTGCCTGGCTGCCTGGAAAGAGCCAAACCTGGCAGCCCACGCTTAGGCTGGCAAAAGGGGCTGAAGACCTGGTTCAGCTGAACACTTGATGCCTCTGAAAGGGGCAGGTGCCATCAGAGAAGTGGGTATATGGAGGTAAGGATGGTTTTGAATGGGGAGAGTGCATGCTACTAATTACTGCACAAGTAGTAGCTTGCCAGCTAAAGGCTATCGTGCTTGTTTCTGCAATCACATGATAGAGTTACAGGCAGATCCATATTCTCTGTTCCAGAAAATATTCAAATCTCGGGCAAATGCTGGGCAGACAGGTCTGTCTGCTTCCATGTCCCTTTTCAAAGCACCTCTCTCAGCAAAGAGGGTCAAGAACAGAGCAATGTAAGAGAAATCAGCTTTATTATGAGTCCTTGAGTCAGACAGCAAGCAAACACTTGGGACAGCACTGGACATGCGTGATGGACCTTTCTGTGCACCCTCTACCAAGATTTTTTCTCTCCAGGGGAAAGCTATCACCATTCCTCACCTGGGAGAGCAACAAACCCACAACACAAAAAACAGATGAAGCAAATTAACCTTACCTTCAAAATATCCTGCAGCTGTTTCAAAACAGCATGGACCTCTTCTTGTAAAAGCCATTTAAATTCTTCTTCCTATGTTGTGGAAATATAGCAGTGGAATCATTAGAAGTCAAACACTGGAAATAAATCTCTCAGAAACATTCAAATTATTTAAGTTCTAAGTATACTGCTATGTCCATGATGTTTAAATCGCATGCTAGAAGGAAAAGAAAAAGACTTCTTCCTGATTTGTTGAAAGGCCTTACTTTCCACTCCTCCACCCCAGTCAAATGAACTGTCCTCATTCTTCTTCTGACTTTGCTTAACAAAGCAGTAATCTTACAAATCACTGTGCCAATAATGACAGAAGTAGGAAATAAAAGGCAGCACAGGATGTGAGTTTCAGAGCAAAGTGCAGATCCTGCTGCTTCAAAATCTAGGGTATCTTTTTTAACTGCTGGGGTGGGCTTACCTTGGCTGGCTGGATGCCAGACACCCACCCAGCCTCACCCACTCCCCACCCTCAACAGGACAGGAGGAGGAAATGAGATGAAGAGCTCATACCTCAGGAAAAAGACAGGCAGATGCCTTACCAATTATGGTCACAGGCAAAACAGACTCAACTTGTGGAGAAATTTGTTGTCAACTAGATGATGAGAAACAAAGACAAAAACTAAAACGCTACTCCTCCTCCCCAGGGGCATTTTACCAAGCAACAGCAGCCTAAAAATAAAGCAAACTAAACTGGAAAGTGGCAGGGGGGAGGGAAAGGCTGAGGACTCCCAATCATTTGGGCAAAGTCAGTACCAGGTTCAGATCTGATGACACCGCCTCAGGCCTCAATCAGTTGTCTGCTACAGAGAAGTCTGTATAAAGCAGATCCTCAAACCACAGCTAAGAATTCCTGTTAAACCACAAGACCCCATGCAGAAGATCATCAGAGAAGTAGGGACAGAAGCAAACAAGGGACAAATAAGAGACTGACACTTGCTACCTTGTAAGAAAGGAGAAACTTGATACATGGAAATTACTGGAAGGGAATGAATTGAGCAGGTTGCCCACAGAAAAACTGGAAAGGTGTGGTCAGCTTAGAAATTTAAGCCTGTGGTTCAGTTCCTGTTCACCATGAGAAACACAAAATAACTACTCACTGATGTGTCATCACCTTATGCAAGAGTTATCTGAACAAAGAGTAGGACAAGGACAGTTTAGTTTCAACAAACATTCATGCAAAGCAGGTACACACAAACAAACTCAGGTAGGATTCTTTGTTATCCTTCAAACCAGTGTGGGTGCAGGACCACTGACTTTCAACATTTAATTGTGTTTTAGGTGTCTGGGCATCATATTGACATATTGGATTCCTTGCTCTTTTGTTCTCTGTAACACTCTCTCTCCTACAGGTTCCCAAAGGAACAGAAATCACATGGGTAAAGCAGATGCCTTTAGTGGCTCCACCACCTCACTGTCATCACACAGATGTTTCTACTTTATGTCATCATTAGTGTCTTTCAGCCCCATGGCAACAGCAAAAGATCTTATATCCATTGGTATTAATTTCAGACTAAGCCAAGTTAATTCACCACGTTTGTGCACTACACATCTGTATTTCTGAGGAATGTTAGTCATATAATTCCAAATCACGTTAATTTTAGAAAAATCTGGTTTTCACATGAGGCTTTCTGCCTAGCCCAAATGCATCTCCAGAATTCCCTCCCTAGATAGGAATTTTTCACTACTTCTTGCAGCTCACGTTCCCGGAGATGTCTGCAATGTGAACTGGTCTACATCCTTCCTGCCTTTATCAAGACAAGGCTGCTTTGACATACCTGCCTGCCATTTGCTAGGCCTGGTTTTCCATCAAGCAACCTGCTGGACTATGAAAAAATCAAGGTCACGTAAGACATTTCATTGTTTAACGTAAGTAGGACTGCCTCCAGCCCTCACCTGCCTCTGGACTCAGCCGAGACCAATGCAAGGAGCGGCGTCAATCGCAACCCGCCCTTGCACTGCTTAGGGGAGAACACCAAAGCGGAGGCTGTTAAAGCAGAGACAGAGTCCGGCGGAGCCCACGGCCTGCTGGGCGGCCGCGGCCCGGAGGCCAGCACAGCCCCGGAGCCCAGGGCCGGGCACCTCGGCACGGCCCCGCCGCCGAGCAGGAGCCTCCGGGCCCGCGCAGCAGCGGCCCTCGCGGCCCGCCCCGGCCCAGGCGCGGGGAGCCGGGGGCAGGGCACGGCCTCACCGCCGCCCGGGGCCAGCCGGGGCGGGCGGCTCCCCACCCGGGCGCGGCCGGTCGGGCCGGGCCTGCGGAGGTCCCGGCCGCCACCGCTCCACCGTTGCCACGACAGCGGCGAGCCCCCCGCTCGACTCACCAGCACCCCCCGCTCCGCCGCACTCGCCATGGCCGCCGCCATCCCGCCCCCGGCCCCTCGGCTGCCAGCCCCGCCCCCCGGCCCGCCCCCAACGCGGCCGGGACGGCTTCTGATTGGGCAGCACCGCCCTCTCCGGGCGCTCGAGGCGTGACGTAGCAGGAAGGGGCGGGCGGATGCCGCGGCGGGCGCTGCCTCAGCGTCCGGGGCGGTTTCCTGTCAACCTGCGGTAAGTGCAGCCAAAACTTAGAATCATAGCAGAATCCTCAAGAATGGGTAAAGGCAGGGAAGTCTCATCAGCTCCTTCTCAAAATTTTGAAATTTAAATAAATTCATACTGGCAGTGAAGTCTTGGCATGAAAGTTGGTGTGTTCCTTTCCCCAGCGGAGGAACTGGTGACGGAGGAATGGCACCACCCACTTCCCCACAGCAGGGCAGCCTGTGGGGGGGAGCGCATCGCCCGCCCACAGAGCAGGTGAAGCTCCTGATGCCGCCCGTTTCTGCTGTCAGCACGGCCCTGACTCCCTGGCCTTCCTCCATCGCTTTCTATCACAGCGCTAATCCCGAGTTTTTCCTTATGTTAGCACCTGTAATTCAACTGAAGCACACCATTAATCAGTACATGAACACCTACTGCTGTTGGACAGCAAACACTGCCTAAATCATCAATAAGCGCTCTTCTGGAGCTTGCAAACACCTCAGTTAAGGGACCTTGTCTTGGAAAACCCCACTCACTGCCAAGTTAGTGCTCAAAAAAACCCCAAACACTAGAAGGAAGGATACTCCACACAGAGCAATCAGGTCACCAGGCTCCCAACACTTACACAAGACAAGTCACCAGCACCAGGAAGTTCCTGGACTTCCATCTTTCAGCATTCTCTCCTTTAAAACAACTTTCACCCTCCTCTCAGTCCAGATGCACACAGTCCTCTACATACGAAGGCTGGAATTTATCCAAATTCATCCTCTGTAGTGCCTCACTGACAAGATTAGGCTTCTGCAATGACTAAAATGCTCACAGGCATACTGCTGTTTTGCAGCAACTCTGATTTTTGAGTGTTTTGAGGAACACAAGCATTTCTTTAATGCCGCAATACAGGTTTGACAGGCTTTAGAAACTTCCACAAGAACACTGTGTTACCAAGAAAGGTTTTATTCTTTTTGCCAGTAGCTTTGTTAATTGCACAAAAAAAATTTTGTTTTGCCATTTAAACATTTTCACACATCCTATTCTGAATGACAAATGTTAATTAAAAACAAGGCAAAAAAATAAAAATTCACAACCTTAATTAACTATAGGATCTATCATTGAGGAAAGAAGAAACTGCTTTTCTTACAAGCTTTTCACAAGTGTCACATTTTCTCTTTAAAAAGGAGGGAGTCAAAAAAAGCAAATTGCTAAAACAGAAATCCTCATAAAAAGGAACTTTACAGAATTGTCAACGATATTAAGACAACATTGACTAGCCAGTTTTATTAGACCATCTCAATCCACAGCTTCCCCCACTTCCCTCCCCAAACCTCAGGCCTAGGAACACCCATGTTCATCCTAGAAGATCCATGTTCAGAGGCTACAGACATAAATACAAGAATCCCAGTGAGACTGACACGAGTCAATCTCAAACAGCATCTGAAACAGTTGTTTTCACCATTTCCATCCCTCCTCCTCACTTCACATCCACTTCAGAGCTCTGTCTCCTTCTGCTCCTCCCCGGCATATCTGTGATCGTATGGTTGGCTGGGCAGCACCACATCCTCCAGCCACTCTACATCCACCTACCTCACCAGAAAGCTGCAGTCACACTTTCCCAGGATAAATTACAGTGTTTAACTAGTCCACACCTGCCACTCCCACATAAATAATGATCTCCATTTTGAGAACTACAGTATTGCTGGAAAACAAAACCTGCAGCAGTGAGTTGCCCAGGGAGTGGTCCTCCCTCTCAAATGCAGTTCTTTGAATTCACTATGAAATACGTGTCACAGGACTTGAAAGACTCTTTTGTATTCTCACTCTATACAGAGGCACCACCACAAAAAAAAAAAAAAAAAAAAAAGGGAGATCCTCCATTACCTTTGCTCAGACCCATTCACCTTCACTCTGCTCCAAGAGACCTCCACAGGGACAGGGTGGGGACACTGGTGCACTGGCTCAGCACTGATTGACTCTCAACCGGACCAGAAACAGTACTTCCCTCTTCCTTCCAAAAGATTTCTTACACTCTAAGGTTTTACCTCCTGTCCCCAAAACCACAATTTCCCCCAGATGCCCTCAATATAGAATTCATGTAAGTGATTCTTAACTGCGGCATGTTTAACCAAGGAATTCTGATGCTACCTGCTGAGTCCGGGATGGGGGAAGCAAAACTTTGTCAAAAGCAGGCTAATGGCTGTTTATCCTGGGTAGTTATATGTGCCTTTAATATGAAGATCTACATGCAGAATGACAGTTGTACTGCCAAAGAAACATGTATGTATAACTAGTATTGTTCACATATACTACTGACAAACGGGCAAAGTGATGTCTAACAGATCAATTACTAGATGTTCACCACAGGACATAATGCATAACACAGTATTAGCCCACAAATAATAGTGATCACAGGAGGTGAAGTATTCAACAGAGTAACACTTACAGCATTAGATGTCATGATCCGTAATGAGTATCTGATACTTTTGAAACTGATCTGTTTCTTAATACCGTGCCCCTGAACCATATGCACTTGCTGCAAAGCACGATTGGTAAGAAATCCTAACCCACACAGGAAAATTTCCCTACACAGCCATTAAGTTCCTAGAAAAATAAGACGGTGGGAGGGACAGACCTCACAGATTAAAAGGAACAGTCTAATTTGAACTTGCTTTCTTTCATTTAAGAATCCCAGCTCAAGGGAGGAAATTGTGCCACTGAGAAGTGATTTTGGCCAATAAAACTTCTTACTGGCACTTTACTAACTCTCAAATCTAAAATGCAAGAACCCTCCTAAAAGGCTAACACTGAGAACAATTTAAAAACAAACAATGCATGCTCTGTGCATTTTTAGAGACAGGCATCCTTTGGACTGTGTTGCTCTGCTATCAACACTGAGAGCATCTCTGCTCTCTAGCCTTGGCATCTGCAGTTAAAGTCCCACGTTTCTAGTCTAAAGCTCAACAGTTGTCTTAGCCTCCCATTTTATTTACTAGTTATTCTAGAAGTTGGTATCTGACCACAAGCAGAGTCACAGGTACAGGGAAAAGTCTCGTGCTGTGCTAGTGTTGGAACCCAGAGTAGTAACACTAAGAACATATATGGAAAATCTGACATGTATAAAGATCACCAATCAGTACACAAAAATATCCCTGTGAGGTAGGTAATCATCACCCACCTTTAAAGATGGGCAAACTGGCTAAGAGATATAACTACCATGCAAAGGCCAGAGAGTGAGTGTGGAAAGGAGCTCAGGATTCTCAATCTCTTCACTCTATGATCATTCTCCTCATGCCTTTCAGACTTATCACTCTGCTTGTGACACTGCTACGATCCAAGACACCTTTGTAATTATTGAATACAAGAGTAAATAACAAAAAGCAGTAAGTAAAGCAAAATAAACTAAGGCCAGGAGCAACCCTAAGGTTTGTTCCTTCTCCAAATAAAGTATCTCTGGCCCCGTTTTAGGCTATGTGTTTCTCTTGCAGTTTTCTACGCAACTGTGTTGATCTCCAATGCTGTTTGCAGGACGGGCAGCTGTGATCAGCCTTTTAGGAGGCTTATTTACACTGGCATTTCCTAAGCTATAGTTGTCTGTTCAGGGGAAGACATGGATACAATCTGTTCTTCTTAACAATACAAGGGAATTTCTCCAACAGAGTGCTGGGGAGGTGGAAGTTTAAAAAGAAACAGAATCAAGACAGTGTTGCATGCAAGCCCATTACCTTCTGAAACTGCCATTCTCCTCCATGGGAGGTGCTTTGTTCTCTAACAGTGGCTAATTAACAGGAATGCTCCTCACCTTACTTGGGACCAAGGACTTTAGTGATATTCACAGGTAGATGGGATGTATGTCACCTGTCCCCTTGATGCAAAGAGTCCAACACACACATTTCACAGCAAAGGAGAAAAGGGATCATTAGAAACAGCATCTTGGACAAGCATACAAAAAGGAAAATAAAAGCAGCCAAGCAGCAGATTTCTGGCAGAGTTGCCTCAGAGCTTCTCAACAAGCCGCCACTGTTCTGTTCCATGACTGTCAGTGCATGGCATGGATTTTTCTAATTAGACTGCAACAATCCGAGCCCCCTCCTCCCCCCCTTCTGCCACCAGGGGAAGGCTCACCACAGCAGTTGCCTCCGTGGCAGATCTCAAAGTCTGTGTATAAAAGGAAATGGAGAGACAGAGATGGACTGGTCCAGAGTTAAAACCCAGTATCATAATAATATTAATCAATAATCATAGTATTAACAGTAAGAACAGTGCAGCCTAGTGGATGTAGGCCCTATACACTGCAGACATGTCGTTGTCTGATTGGTCCAATGCTTTTGCTCGTTTATAGACCTAGAGAAGAGAAATCAGAAAAAGATCAGTTCCTGCTCTTGTGCAAAGCCTTTCAGCAGAAAAATTTCTTTCATGACTATTGCAAAACAGAAAACCGCATAGTATGTCAAGTCACTAGAGCAGCGCAGATCAGAACACACCAAGTCTTGTTGAGGCCATCTGTGTTTACCGATGTGACATTCTAAGGGCTTCTACAATCAAAACAAATCCAATTCCATCCTAGTGAAAATATATTTCAATCGCCGGTCCATTGTCTTAGAGATGACATATTTCTTAGATTTTTTTTTTTTTTTTGGTCTCTTGCTGACAAATGGGTCTATTGAAGAAATGTTGAGAACAGTGAAGAAATTCTGAACACTGGGTAACTCTTACCTCGTTGGCAGCAGCTGCCATGGGAGTTGGATGGTTGACAGAATCACCCAGTGCAATAGCTAATCTAAGATCCTTCTGTATGTATTTCAGGTAGAAATCAGGTTTAAAGTTTCCTTGCAAGATATCTGTTGAGAGGAATGAGTGCAAAAAATAAGCATGACAAAAGTAAATCAAGCCCACGCTGCAAGGGCAGGCAATTCAACACCAAAATTCCCCTTTCCCATGCTGATCACCAGGAACATTGCTTTTAGCTCTTCTGTCTCTGCACTCTATCTTCACCTGTCCACAGCAAACTATGTCACTACTGCCCACTGACAAAGTGAGCTCAGATTTCTAAGCAGCTTGACCTCCATATCACTTATTACCCTGCCCCAATGAAATCCTCACTGTGAACTCAAGTCCTAAGCTGGCTGTAGACAATGCAGAGCCTGGGGTGGATTCTCAGAAGCCCTGGCTATGAAGGGGAAGGAATGGAACTCAGCTCTTCATTTTCACAATGCTTTAAATACCCAGAATCCCATGCTGATGAAGATGGGATGGTTATTTTCTCCCTTTTGCCATTATCTGAAATGCTGCTAGGTTGTGGCAAATGTCCTATAATATAACAATGTAAGAGAACTTTACTTTGGCACTTTTGGTCCAGGAAGATGCTGGCAAGTTGTCCCTGATTGAGGATATCCAGAAGGGTCTGTTGGGACTGGCCAGTCACTTGAGCCAAAGTCAGTCCTTCTGCTATCGTTGCCATGAAGCTGCCTTGGACCATGTTGACAATCAGCATCATCTTGGCAGCATTGCCTACTTCACCTGGGAGTGAGACATACCATTGGGCATTCCTCCAAAACAGATACAGCAGTCTTGCTCCCCCATCCCACACAGTATTAACATTACTAGACTCAAGCACTTGGCAGCTCTCCCTTCCCCTGAAAGACTTCAGAAAACTCACCCGATTTCCAGGAACTCAAAGGAAGGGAGAAATCATAACGAAGTATGATTTTAAAATAAAAAGCAACACAGATCCTCCCAAATGAGACAGTATTCAAAACAGAAACCTTAGGCTGGAGGCTCTGAAATTGGCCAAGTTCCAGAAGAGCAGGCCAGTTTCATATACTGTCCAAGAAGACAAGAAACAGATGGCACATATGCCTCTCTGACTCCTTGCTGGAATTTCCAGCCCTCGCACTGACTAAGAAACTGCTATCAGGCCCTTTGTGTTTCAGTTACCTAGGAAAAAAGAGGTCTTCCCCATCGCTTGAAAACAGCTACTGCAGTCCTCATATAAACCCCTGTCGCCAGCTGCCAGGATCACAAGCATCCCATCATTAGATAGCTGCTGATTTCCTGAGACCGGTGCTTCCAAAAAGCGACCACCCCGGGACACTATCACCTGGAAAAAGAGCATTGCTGGTTACTTGTGCATGAACAGCACACATTGATGCCAAGTAGGCAGCAGAGCAAGAACAATGTTTAGGGCATTTCTGTCCCTGAGGACAGAGTTTTGTAGCAGAACAAATAGTTCAGACATATAAACTGGAGGGGAAAGCACTAACATGTGACACACTGCATCCTGAAAAGGGTACTCAAGACCAAAAGTTGTCCTTGCACTCCAGCAACACCTTCCTGCACCCATCACTGCTGTGCATGTTTTAAGCCACTGAACTTATGTGCTTCTGTCACAGCACCCTATAATGGCCAAGGAACCAGTGCTGAAATTGTACATGTGGTGTAGGAATCTCAGAAAATTGACTGTAATGCTATTTTGCCCCCTTATCCCCAAAGGGGAAGGCATTTGACAGATCTCTTCAGCTAGAGGTTTATTAGTATGTACGACTCTATTCTCCAAATTCATGTTACACACTATTGCATCACCAACATGTCTGCTTCACGAAAACTAGCTTCCTTTCTTTGTGCAACACCACACACTGCCTTTAGGGCAGAGGTTAACAATCACAATGCCAAAGAGGAAATCAAAGATACCACACCTGAAATAATCAGAGCACTACTACAGAATTCCTCTCTATAATACTATTTCTACAGATTGAAACATGAAGGTATTCTTTTTTCCCAACCAAAACACTTAAAATAAGCAGATTATGCATTTTATCAGTCTAAGGTCAGTTACTAATCCAGACAATGCTTACTCCTCCAGTTCGCTACAGAATACCAATCTGGCTATCAATACTTAAGGGATCAAAATTTGGCCAGCTGTTTGTGCTGGTGTCAGCTAACAGCCCTGCCCAATCTACAGGCTCTGCTGTTATCACCAGGGAACATCTCATCCAATTTTGTTTGCTGGTCAAGATTTGACAGTTTATTTTGTCTTATTTGCCTAGGACTTGAGCGTCTCCTAAAAGAAGCCCAAAAATCTTCAGAAGCATCTTTATTATCAACAGTACCACCTGAAGTAACCCACAGTACTGCTGCTGAATCGCAAATGTTAGAAGTTCAATTCAATGTTATTACCTGAGCCAACTCTGTGACTGTATCTGCATCCACAGTGGACATATCCACGTAACACTTCCCTGGGCGAATCCCCTGCAACACTCCACTTGGACCAAGTACCAGCTGTGGGGAACAGAAGAGCGGTAAAGCAATAGCGTGTCTGCAAAGAAACTCCAATCCTGCAGGACAGCAGTTCAAGTGAGCCTGGCACCACAGTGGCAGACTCCTAGAGGGATATCAAACCCCACCCCTTGGGGATTATTTTTTAAAAAAAAGTATGATTTTTGTCAGGACATTTATTTTTACACAGCTGCACTGCCCAGCATCTACAATGACCCAGGCTACCATGGTCAGTAGGAATCAGAACTGGCATTCAGTGACTGTATCTTGTAGTCTAGCTGGTGAAGGAAAAATAAGAGCTAATCCTTACATCCTTTGCTGCTTTTGGATCTGATACACAAGCAAAGGTGATGTCACAGGTGGAGACAACTTCAGCGGGGGTTCTTCCCAGCCGTGCCCCCTCCTGGATGAACAAATCACACTGCAAAAGTCACAAATCCAAACATAAGAAAAATTAAGTACAGAGCAAATGGGTTCTCCAGCATTTTGCCGAAACAAACTCTGCTGCTGGACCCAACTCAAAAGGAGTCAGGCATATGAATTACTGAGCAACTGGGTTGTCTTCTGTTGATTTGTCCACATACACATACAAGGGGCTCTTCTGCAGCTTTTCTGAAACCCCAAGTGAAGAACTTCAAAAGAAAGACACAGGAAAAGAGAACGTTTAGCTGAAATGATAAAAGATTGAATGTTGTGATTTTTGGAGGAGATGAGGGAAAAAAATTGGTAAACAGACACAGCAGAAGGTGTTACTGGACAGTAAACAGATATATGCACAGCTGAGACTGACATGTGTTTTAGCAGGCTGATGCTTCAAGAATCTTAGCTCCTTCTTACCCTATCCACTCATACCATCCATATTTTGAAGTTTAAAAAAAACCCACAATCTTTCAGTGCTTTTTAGCAAAGTAACCACAGTGCCCTTCTCGCCTTTGATATTCCACAATATCATCCGAGTACCACAACTCTCCCCAGTTACCTACTTTTCCTCCTCCTCCGCAAATAACAACACTGGCAAGAATGTAAGTGTAATAGAAGCTCCATTTTAACTTTGAATACACCTATAAAACCCTTCTCATCCTGGTCTTATGACAAAGCAGGTTTTCAACAGAACCTCTGTCATTGCAGCATGAACAGCACAATGGATATGTAGAGGAAGCTGTGGTCAAGCAGTGCATCTTACCGCACCACTCCCAGGCACCAACGACCTAGCACTTGGTGTTTTTGTACAGCTCTATGACACAATGACTTGGCTATTTACATCAGCAGTATTTCCAGAGGCACTTTACATTGCATTCCTCAACACATATACAACATTGTAATTTTTCTGTCAACTCTCTCATGTCATACAAGATGGCAATGGGGTGGGGACTGCTCACATTAAGAGTGACCATACTAGGACAGGCTACAGCTTCATCCAGTCAATAGTAGCCACCAACAGCCATCTAGGAAATAACAGAACAAGGTGGCAAGCATATACTTGAGTTTCTTTGACATCTTCTCCCAGGCATCACCAACTGATCACTCCAGTCTCCCTGAGCTAGAGGTGGTAACTACATGTTTAGAAAGGGTTAAATATCATCTGTACCTTAAGCACATGCCTACCTTCTCAGCAGTCCGGTTCCAGACAGTGACAGTGTGACCCATCTTCAGTAAGTTGGAGACAATGCCACTTCCCATCAGGCCAAGTCCCAGAAATCCTATCCTGAGGGGAAGAGATAAACATTAATGCAATAGAAAGCAATTGGTGTCAGCCTCTCATAGTCTTGAAAAGGATGAAGAGCTAACCCTGAAGTATCACCAGCAAAAAAAATCCCCAAACCACAACAGAACCAAACATGTTCCCCTGTAGTCAAAGCTAGTACAGGCAAACTGAGCTTTAAAAGCAAGCTGGTATTTATTTCGCTTACCAAGGACCCCTATTAATTTCCTGAAGAAAGTATTTAGTCTGCTTCAGGAGCCTATCTAAATATTAAAAGATTTGGGTGGTCTGAGTTTTTTTTTGTTTTGTTGATTTGTTTTATTAAAATTGCTGCTCTTGTGCTTTCTTTTGCCAGTCATTGCCCTATTGAAGACAAAGGGAACATTCAGAGATCAGCAGGTGCTTGTCTAATTAATCTTCTGAATTTTAAACTAAGTCACATGTACAATGACTTGCTTATACTACTGAATGATACATCACAATCTTTAATAGAGCCCAGCAAGTACTACCGGGCTAAGCATCATGCACAGACCAAAGAAAGACCTAGTCCCTGCTCTACAGCTGTGATTTTGGACAGACACAGAAAGAAAGGAAGCACTAGGCCAGTACAGGTCACCATGAGAGACAGTACAATAGTCCCAGACAGCAGCTGCCTTCCCCCATGCTTCTCCCTACCTCCCCTCAAAGCCAACAAGAGTTTTGCTTCTCCCATTTCAGGGAAAAGACAATGTGCTAACAAGTTCCATCTCTACAGTTATCTGCAACAGGAATTCCTTTGCAGTCATTGCTGCAAAGACCCTTTTATGCACCATGCAGCTAGCTTCCTAGCAAAATCACAATTCTAGTAGGAAATTCTCAAGCGTTCAGTTACATGTCTGACGTAACTTCACGACAAGATCTGCCTGGCAATTCCCCAGTAAATTCTTCAGAATTAGCCACACTACAGATGCGCTGTGGCTTTCGCAAGCCACCTGCACTCTCCCAGCTAGCCATGCTGCCTTTTGTTAGAGAAAATTCATTCAGACAGGTCAGAGCAAGTCACTATAGGCTAAACAGCCCAAACAAGGTCCACCTATTTTCAAGTCTCTAAAACAGAAGAGATATTTTCTCTCCCAACCCACCTCTGAGCCACGCTTTCCTGAGACTATTTTACCTGAACAGCTTCATTGTTATTTTGGTTGCCCCCAAGTACAGTTGAGAACTGACATCCCATAAGAACGACCCCAATGGAAAACAGCAAGCTGTGGCCCGAGCTCAATTTGAACAGAGCGGAAGTTAGAGTGAAACAGGAAGCTTAAGTTAGGCTCCTCTCACTCTAGAAAGGAGAAAGGGGACGTTAGAAGAAACCAGAAAGCTCACGTGCTACACAGCAAAGCTCTCATGCTGGAAGAACACGCCTCTCTCTTCCTCTAGTGTTCTGCATGCTCAGGAGAGCAATTAAATAACACCAGTCAACTGCCAAGCACTACTGGAGAAAGATACCCTTTTATCTTTCTGCCTCATACGGCACTCAGAAATAATGCTTAATGTTCTGCAGTATTCCCTGCAGGAAAAAGGCAACTGCAGAAAAGCCCTGAACTGCAAATATACCCAGGCCAGACCTTATTCTGAATTTTTCTACTGTATAGCCCCTGTTTGGTTTTAGCTGCCTCCCTCCGCCCCTGCCCCCCAAAATCAGTTTCACACAAGGACAGTGAAGATCCATAGAAGGAAATGTTAGGTTTATTTATTCTCAGTGACAAGCTGGATAATGGCTGCATGTATGAGCTGGGAAGGAGAAAAAGGAAGGGAAATGGCTGAAGTGCGTTGGAGATCTTACTTTTTGTCTGTAGGTGTGATACTGCCATTGACTGCTGTGCTGTCTGCTGCCTGGATGGAGGTGGATCCTGTTTCCTGGGAGGGGGTGGGGAGGAGGAGGAAGAGGGAAAAAAAAAAATAGAGTGCAGAGCTCTGGAGGAACTGCAAGTCCTCACGACAATAAAGAAAAATGCATCAAAACCAAGATTTGCCTTACCTCTTCACAAACCTTCAACTTCTTTGTGATGGCTTGATAGCAGACAGCTGGCTGTATGGAGAAGACAAAGCATTCAAGGGAAGGACAGTGCTGATTTGCTCTGCTGAGCAAACAGACCATATTATCCTTGTTACATAGAAACAGGCAGCTCACCCACAGACCCCCACCTGCAAAGCAGGAAAACTCTGAGGATGCCCTCTATAGGAGAAAATAAAAACAAAACCCTATTGCAACATACTAAGCTCTTCCTTTCCCACCCTTCCCCCACAATTCAGCTGGTATTCTGATACAGGTACCACCAACTCCTTTCTTAGTTCATAGGACAGGCTCCCCTAAAGGCAAGGATCCAGGGCATCCCTACTTTCACATTTGGCCCAAAGAAACCAGAGGTCTCTAAAGCCTGACATAGAGCACATTGCCTCATATCTATGCTCAGTATGTCAATGCAGCTGTGGAAGTAAAGCCTTCTTGTTAATATAAGGCGGCGCATGGTTTTCAACAAACATTAAGGTGAAGGTTACTCCTTTCCACGCTGCTTATTGTGAGCTTGTCTAGATTAAAACTGTTAGCTGCTCTTAATACTTCTGGCTCTGCCCAGATCTTCAGCTAGATAGAAATCCTTTTTCATCCAATTTGAGCTTTCCTCTTCCTCCTGATATTCACTGAGAAGATAAAATCCTGCAAGGCTTCTGACTCTGAGGAAATAAATTGGCTGTATTTTACATGAAGCTTTTCAGGTCTTGGGAATTCTCCTGCCATATTCAGTTACTTGACAAGTTCATGCAGTTGACAAAACTGGTAGGACAACCAAAGACAATCAAACAACAGGGGTTTTTAAACAGAAAACCAGCTTTTCCTACCCCTCACTGTTCAACCTACAGAACTTACAACAAATCTGTCAAATCCTGGTGCTAGATATTCTTTAATTACTTCAGCTACTCACTGTACTCAATGCTAAATCACTCTAAACCTTAAGGTTAGGAAGTAATTGAGCTACAAGACTGTATATGAGAACTTAATTGTGGCTAGACCTCACACAACAGCATTTCAGAACTCTTTACACATACTCCTTTGTACTTAGTCCCAGCAAAGGGCAGGATGCCAAGCTAGACAGACCAGCAAAATGATCCTCCCTGCCAAATCCTCACCTTCTCTGTCTGGCTCAGCAGGAAGTGATGAAAGTGTGGATCACTGTCCTTCACAGGCTACAAAGACAGAAAGTAAAGGCTCAGAAACATACCCAGAGAGTCACTGAGCAACCACAGCACAATTCCCTTGTTCTCCCAAGCTGCATGAGAACTATAACTTAAGGTGGAACATATAAAATGTATCAGCTGTATCAAGCAGCCTGTTTCAGTTATGCAGTTTACATCGTTTCATTCTCAAAAGCCATTCAAGTAAAATTTCTCATTTTTGGACATCTGTAGGAAAACCAAAGAAGATTATGAGCAAGATTAACATGGCAGGAAGAGATCTGATATCCCCATTTCTTATTCACAAGGGAATGAAAACACTTATTTTCTAGTTTCTAAGAAACTCTTTCAAACAGCGTTCTGGGAATTGTCTGGAGATTATATCTGGCACTGTCACATGCTAGGCAAACCCATATTATCAGCAACAAGGACTGTAGGCCCAGGTGTCTCACCTCCCTGATGAGCATCATATGCACTAGCCTAGTCATGCCGTTCTAACTTGGTTTTACTGATCACTTATTTATGCACAAAAATTAAAGGTTTCCAAAAGCTGCTAATCAATCAAATGAAACTGCCCCATATGATTGTATCCAGACCCGGAGAGAATACCCACATCATCTCCTCCAGCTTTGGAAAGCCAGTCCCAGAAACATTTTTGAAACAAGTGCAAAAATGAGTGCATCAAGTTAAGTATGAATCTCCAAATGGTTCCACAAAGACTAAAATCTCACTTCCCAGCATGCTTTTTAACTGCTCAGGATATCGTCTAGCTTTGTTACACTACATCATGACAGAAGAAGAGCATCTTTCTTGTTCCTAGAAGATGAGAAGATACTGCTATTTTACAGCCCAGACAAAAGATTCTAGATTTGCTTGCAAACTCAGCTCCTAGATCACATATGTTGTAAAGTTTCTCACCTCACTGACGTTTGGTGGCCATTTAAATCCAGCCACTGTTCCAGTCATCACTCTCTTTACTGTACTTGACTCTGGAATTGTGAGGTCCTGAGGAGATAGAAGGCGGATCAGAAAGAGCTTACAACCTGGTTCAGTGGCTGGCCGCAGCATGTTGATCATATGAGCACACATACAGTTTTGAAAAGCACTACAAATGCCTTCCATTTCACATGCCTTTCCATGAAGTGTTCATATTTAAACACACAGTATATTAACAACACGGGTGAGGTGAAGAAAACATGAACTGCCAGCAAAGGAATTCAACCAGTTACAGCTTCTGGAGAATCCATTCTTCATATGTAAGAGGAATCACTGCACTTGTGTAATCATGCAATGAGCAGAGAAGCAAAATGAACACACTTGATTCACCATTTTCTTCCAGTGGATGCAAAAAGCTAAGTAAGTGGGTGAAGAACATCACCACAGTCAGAGGTCTGAAGTCTTCTAATCACAAAAAAAGTATCCTACCTGTTAACAGAAGAACCTTCAAAGCACGAGGCTGATACTCACATCTGCTCAAGTTTGCAGAATTCATGAGACAAACTGCTATGTGGACTGCCCCATTCACTCAACAGGCCCTGATTTGTAATGTCATAATAATACCTCATGCCACTGGGTTTTTTACTGTTGAGCAGATTAAAGTTTATCTTTCTTATTTCCCCAAGATATACAGGTTAAAATAGGTACTTATTCTATATATCATAAACATATGCTATAGACATATAGGTCTTTATGCTATATGAAGAGAACATGCAGGACTTCTGCATAGTTTCTGTTATCTTCCTGAAGTGAGGGTTCAGGAATGGAATCGCATTCCCCTCCGAAATTACTTCCTGAAAATGCACAATACACCTTAGTGTCCATAAAGAAACACAAGAGAAGAGCATTGTTTGCAAAAAAGTTATGAGCAAGACTCCTGGAGGTAACCTAGCTTTATGCAACTGTTTTATCTGTTAGCAGGGACAATTTAGACATCAGTCTCCAACCTTAAAGTGTCCAGGGAGAGCCTCGCACACTAAAATTCTCTCCTTAGGAGACCACGCTGCTGTTTCAACCGGTAAAGCGTGGATGAAACCTGCTCTGATACCTATGTAGTCATGTTGGTCCTCTGAAAATATATATTAAGTTTAAAAAATTAGATTATTTGAATGATCACATATGCCTGCAGAGCATTTCTAGATAGAGCACTCCTCAGCAACGACTGGATTCTTTAATTTTGTGCATCCTTATTACCTGGAAAGCCAAAATTTGGACTGTGATAGGGCAAAACCCCTAAATCTCAACACTGCGGTAATTCAGGACAGCGACATAAATGTTTTCTACCCTAGGGTTAAGAATCTGAAGAAATTCTGAGAATCAGGCAAGAACACAAGAAGATTTTAAAATTATTTCACAGGCTGAAAAATAGTACTAAGGCAGTACTATTACATTTTCATGGCAATTTCTTTAATTGTCAGTACATTACTTTCCAGAAGCTATAAGGCTACTTTCCTACATTAGCCTGCTTATTTGCATGGTATGTGGCCAGACATTTATCACTTAGCTGGCCACCTCTTTGTGATAAGCTGTTTAAAACCACTCTGCTTTCAATATGACAATAAAATAATTTCTACTACCACAATTAACTCACTCTAAACGCTCTGATGACCTCAGGTAGCCAATACAGTAGAACCTACGGATGTAATGCACCAACACATGCAGAATTCTCCCAGCCATTAGTTTAAATCAATTTTGGAATTAATCTAGATCAAAGACTCAAAAGCATTTTGCAAGTGGAAAAAAATGCCCAGTGGCTTACTGTAACAGAAATATATGAAGATACAACATGCTCATAGCAAGACACTTTGAAAGGTGAACGTATGTTGCCAGTAAAGTGTTTTCCTGCAACACTGCACGTCAAGTCACAAGTTCTGCAATTATTAGTAAGAATTCACAAATATGCATCCATTCCTTCCTTCCTCCACCTCCCCCCAAAGAAAGAAACTGATGGGGTCTGTTGTACAGCCTGATTTAATAGAAGCTGGATCTAAAAAAAAAGCCAGTATTTCCTTCACAGCTAATATCAGAGATGATCAGCTTCATTTTACCACATCAAGGAAGAGTTTCCTGTTCAATCAGTGAAGGCCAATCCATTCACAATTTTGAAGATCAAAGACTACCATCTTGACTTGCATCCTTAAGTACACTGAAAGCAAAGATTGTGAAGCACAGTATAACGTGATCCCTTTGAAGCACAGGTGAGCAAGCAGGCTGCTGCATGGTGTATCAGCTGAAGTCTCCCAATGGTCTTCAGGTGTAGTCTCCAATAGAGCATGTGCATTTTAATAATCCACTGAAACAACTATCCATTTGGAAAAGGAAGATCTGGACCACAACAATGGGTTCCACGATAAATAAAAAGGCTGGAACACTATATGAAGGTATACAAAGTATTGGTGGCTATCATTGCTGCCACAACATCCAGAAATAACAGGAAAGTAATGGGGATAAAATAATAATGCTCCAAGGTTGGACCTGTATAATGGAGGATGGGAATATATCCTATAGCACAGAAGCTGAAATGAATACAACTAATTCTTCCAGTGGACTCCCCAGGCTATAAGAGTTTCTTCTTTAAGCCCTAACCCTTAGGAATACCCCAACCTCTGTAAGTACTGAGGGTGACGTTAAGTGACTACTAATCAATCATACAAAGTAGATGAGATGGGAGAAGTCAGGAATCAGATGAAGAACCAGATCTCTTCACTAATCCTTCCCACACAAACTGAACTTGAGGGATGGCAAGATGAAAGGTGGAGTCTCGTGATAAGGCTCTCAAAGCCCTCTCAAAGACACAAACAGAGCCACTCAAAATAACTAACTGGTAAAAATTAGAGGAAGAATCAACAATATGCTTGCCAAAGGTATCAGGCAGACAAATAGACTAGAAGTAGCAACATGGAACAGCTTAAAAAAAACTGATACTGAACTGACTCTTCCTGCTGGCCTGTTAGTCAAGGTGCCAGTCAACCCTAGAGTCCATCTGCAAAGTCCACAGGGCACTGGCGGACATGCACAACACAAACCTTCTCATCCTTCGGTGGACGCCCCCGCTTTCGGGGGCTCTGATCCTGGGCTCTTTTCAAAGGTGATTTTGATCCTCTCTCTGACGATACAGAAGAGACCCTCTTTTTTCCTTCCCCTGTGCCCTTCTTCAACTTCCCTTCAGACAAACTGGCTTTGCGTTTCTCTTCACCAGCAGATTGCTTGCCTCTTTCTTCACTGGAATTACGCCGATTCTTCTCTTCATTGGAGTTATGGGAAGACGCCTGAGAGATTACAGAATAGAAGATGGTAAGGAAAGAAGAGGAGAGCTGGAATGACTTTCATGCAAACCAAGGATGTGAAGGACCCTGTGCTGATTACTATCAAGCAAAACAACAGCACAGTAACTTGAAAACTAGATATTTGTTAGCCTTTTGCAGTCTGCGAGTGAAGTTCCTAGTTAGGTCTCCTGCAAAACCACATCAGTTTAAGTAAGCAAGTAACAGAACAGGCCGCTTGAAGATTTCCTGGGAGTGTGTGCACATATATGCACTTCCAATATACTAAAGACAGGATTAGTAGATACCAAATTCTAGCACAAGACTTATGACTGATATATCAAACCACTGTAAGCAGATCAATTAGCCCCTTCAGTTTCTCCATCAGTTTAACAACACTTTGTTTCCCACCAAACAAGACTGAATGGGGAAGAAGAGAGGATGGGGGGGGGAAACCAACAAAAAAAAACAAACAAACAAACAAAAAAAAAAAAAAACACAAAGGAATGAAAGTGAACCCTCCTTCAACTTGCCAGAGGCAACAAACTCCTTTCACATAAAAATGCATCTGATCATCATTCATGCCAAGGCTTGTTTTGATGCACGCAGTAAAAAAAGAACACACTCACCTGGTCCTTGCCTTTGTTTTTTCTAAGAAACTCCTCTACAGCATCCACAGCTTGCTGAAAACGCTTACCCTTGTTAATCTTTATCATTTCCTCCTTGTGAGGGTGGTAAGGCTTCAGCTGTTCTACTTTAATCCAAGCACTAGAAAAAAAAAACAAAGACAAAAAAGGTAGTTAGTCTCCAAACAGCAACTTTCTCAACCATCCCACTTTTAGAAACACACAGATACTATTTTTTAATCCAGAGCAACTGACAATAGCAGCCCAAACTCACTTGCTTTCTACTGTCTGAAGGGCTGAAACTTCTACATTCACTGAGAAGTTTCTTCTAGCACTTTTACTTGGTTTCTCTCTCGAGTTTTATATCTTCTCATGCTAGCAGTGCTCCACTCTAGCGTTATTCATATTCTCTATCAGCAACACAGCTTTTGGATGTGATCACAGGTACTTGTTTAGAACAAAGGCAGCCTAGTGACTGCTCTTGTATCGCCAGGAGGAAAATCCACAATCACATGCCTCCACATAAGGCAGCCAATATTATGAATCTGCTCAAGAGGATGTTGAAAGTGGAGGCCACATAAAAATTCTAAGACATCAATCAAATCTTGAAACATACTGTGCACACATTAAGTGTCTGCAAAAACTGGAGAAAACCCCCAAAATTATGTATCTCACAACAGAGACAACCACAACTGAAGTGAGTGCAAACACTGCAACTCATTGCTGAAAATATTTCTGATATACCTTGACATTCTGCATGAAAACAACATTTTCAATTTTGAGGAAAAAGAGCCATTTTCTTCACTGTTGATGTTTTAAGATAAACTGGTACAGTAGCAGAGTATTAACCTGATTGCAGTCTTTTAAGGAAACTCAAATGACTACCCTGTTTGTGCTGCTGGTAAAGATGACTTCCTGACATTTACCAAATGGTTAAGTGGTCAAGTACAGGGTGACAACTTCACTTTCCTTTACTGCAGCTTAAGGAAATGCCTTTGCTTTCAACATTCCTTGTGGCTCTTGCAACAATTAGGACTACCCTTCCTCTCTCCCCAGATTCAAGCCCAGGCTTATCAGCCAGACTCTTAAAAAGCTATTTCCATCCTGCTGAAAACAGGCCTGCGTAAGTTTTATAAAAGCTTTTCCTGAGCTAGGATGGCCAACAGTGATTTTTAGCATACAATAATCCAGCACACAGTAAAAAAAAAAAGCCAAACTGATTTTCTCTGGTTCCAAAACATCTCAGTGTTACAAATGCTGACTAGTCATGACTATAGGTTTTAAGTATTCTCCAGTACGGCCTAGTTCCTGCAAGCATGTGAAGTGGTTTAATAGCCGCCTTTTCAAACACTGTAAGCAACGTGTCATACAGCTAAATTGGATGTAAAGGTGAACAGAATAATAGTAATAACGCTTTGCTGGATCTTGCTTGTCCTCTCTTCATGAAGTAGTAAAGCCCAGTAAACTCTTCAAAACTTCATAGAGATCTTTCTCTTCAGTGGCATTAGCCATTGTTTGTAATCAGTAATCAACTTGCTTAAAGTCACATTGGGAAGATGAGACCTCCTGCTAGAACTCACTGGAAAAAAATACTAGCATTCTTTCCACACTGTCAGTATAGCCTACATTATGATTCCACCATAACCTGGAAGCAGAATCCAGTACTCTTTTGCACACAAAACTGAATCCTTTTGCTTAGTTTACATCATCTTCACAACAACTGACTTAAAGTACTATAACAAGTCAAATAATTACTTTCAGACGAGAGCCTGCTGTCCAGGAGCAATTTAGAGAAACCCTCCTAGCTGTTTAGACATCATAGTGAAATGTATCTTAAAATTCTCTTACACTGTAAAGCTCTTTGTGGCATTCAGCAACAAAGCATCCCTAGGTACAAGACAACATCAGCTAACAAGAAGCCATTCCACTATGTATACAAAGGACACAAAGTTTTGGAGTGCATTATAATAAAGCATGTTAAACACTGTTGCCAGATTTGAGTTTCTAAATGGAAATAGCTTTTCTCTATCAAAACATTCTCTTCGGTTTCTGCACATCCTATCCCTCATCACTCCACATGTTCGTTACCTTCCGTTCTCATTACTTTTCCATTGGTATGGAGAAAGTCTGAAGCACAAAGCTTTCTCGCTCCTGGCTTCGAAGGTGCATCTTGGCACTTGCAATCCCTCAGGACAAAGAGCTACAGAACTGAGACAAACTGAGTGAAAAACAGTCTTAAATGCTGCCTCAGGATGGATGGATGGATAGATAGACAGACAGACAGACAGATTTGATCGATCGATCTTTTCCTTTCCAGTTTATTCTTTGTATCAGCTGCCTGGACAGCCTTCTATAAGATACAAACATGTCTTTTGAGACCAGATGCCAATAAAGGATTTGTGTGCAATGTCTGAAACACTTGAAAACATGAAAACTTTCCACCAAACAAAATAATTAATGATAATATAGAAGATCTCTGTTAGGCAGTAACCTCCAATCCAATAAAGACCAGTAATTAGCTAAGAGGTCTCTAAGATACAACATATAAAAGGAACTACTGTTTCTCTCCTGACTTGGCAGTGAATTAATGCCCTAGAAAAGCACTAGTGACATTACATTACTGAAGACATCATATTTAAGATGAAACTGTATTCATACTGCTGCACAGAATCACCTGTTATCTGTAAAGAATGGGCTAAATGGAAAGTGAAAAGATGTAAAAAAAGAAAAACATGTTAGTAATGGGTTTCTTTGCTCCTTTCTCCATACTCTTCCTCATCCCCTCCAAAATATCCTCCTTATAAAGCCACTATTCATGTAAAATCCATGTTATATTCATTAATATTAATCGAAACTTAGAATGTTTGTAAAGCAGAGGCAAGTATGAAAGTGACCAGGAGCTGCATGGAAAACAGTTGCACAGAATAGATGCAACCAGGGATACCAGATTCAAACCCATGATGCAAGCTTAGCATGGGCAAAGAGACCAATGAAAGTGGAGCAATATCCACAATTACTCACTTTTTGGAAGCCTTACAGTCACGCATAGAAAACTGCAGCACTGTATCTCCAAATTTCTATTACTACAGTCTGCTGAAAAAATTGATAAAAGTTTTACACTGTAGCAGTTTAGATGCCCACACTAAATGCTAACACAACCAATTTTGAAAGTCAAGAGAAAATTGCTTGGTTATTTACAAGCCCAGTATGTGTGAATAAACAGAGAAATCAAGATGGGTTTCCTGCTCCTAGAATGGAATGCCCCAATTTTCATCAGTAAAATAACTCAGATGGCTGAACTCTGGAATTTCGTATGTAAACTTCTTAATGGAAAAAAAAAAATAAATACAAAAATGACCACATTGAATTAGCATAAACGTCCATGCAGCTAAAAGGATATGTAGCAAAAGCAAACAAGCATCAGGGCAATACTGAAATAAATTCTAAGTACTAGATTTTTAAAATTTGTGCAATAAAAAAAAAAAAAACCAAAAAAACCTGCAGAGTACTTACACATCCCATGATATCAGTAAGAGGTGGAAAAGCTTTGACTACAGTCATTTTCAGCTACGGCACTCTGCCTGCAGGTATATCTAACATCATTCCAACTGGCTCCACTATACAGCAGTCTGGCTGCAGCAACATGGAGCTCTGCCTCACTGAAAAACACCAGCAGTGTAACCCTGTCAGCTTACCCTATACCCCCTGGCTCCTCAAACTGCCAGAGTGCCACATCCAACTCCTGGCAAACTTTAAGCCAGTGTTTTCTGATTTCAGGACCTGAAAGAACATTTTAGAAAGACTACATCCAGAAATTTCTCTCTCCTTGAAAACCAGGGAGAACAGTGGCAGAAGAAGGTAGGTGTTTGCATCCCAACAGGATATAGCGGATGGGAAAGCAATGAGTACTGCTCTAAAACCACTGTGCCTGATGGAAATAGGCTGCAGATTATTACGCCTACCTTGGATTGCAAGCTTCCTCCACTTTTTCCTTAATGTATCAAGTCAGGATGTGCCCCTTGACCCCATCAGATTAAGGAGGACTATTTAGTTTTGTACTGGTGCTTCAGAAAGGTGCTGTTAGTAAGAATGGACTGCTCCAGCTTCCTATTAAGACTTTGATATATGTGACTTGCAAGACCATTTGCCTATTACAGAATATCTAAGGGGGGAAAAGGGTGGGATGGGAAGTAAATGTGTGTGTACACAGATCTCTGATGACTGTGGGACTCTCCCTAGCGTTTTTATGAAACATAGTAGAATGATACCTTCCAAGCAATGATTTTTTGCTTTGACAATGTCATAATGAATTCTCAAGCATGCCATGAAATGTAATAATATTTTCAATTGGATGAAACACACCAAGACAGACTTGTATGCTATGGCCCTGTCAGTCTATTAGTTCTAACTACTAAAAGCAATAAATGCCCATATAGAGCAGTGTCTAAGTTCTTATGTTGCAGTACTTGACTACCGGAATGATCTGCAAAGATTTCCTAGGACAAGACTGTTGAGCTTGGGAAATAAAAGGGGATCTTAAAAACTATCTTAAAAGCACAGTTAGAAACACAGATAAGAGGTCAAAGTTCCACTTCTATTTAGAAAGACTTAATTTAAATTGTTCTTTATACTCCCATAATTGAATGTTGTTACCCAGCCAAGTCTATGGGCAGGAAACATCAACTCTTCTTGATCTTAAATGAAGAATTCTTTTCACATGACTTGCTCTGGAAAGAAAGACTCAGAAAAAGAACTCCTAGGCAGGATAGAAAAATCTCCTTATCAGTTTGGGGAATAAGTTAATAAGAGACATTACATGAGTATGTGCATCACAATTAAGGCAATCACTTAAAATAGGACATGGGTATTATATTACTGCTATGAACATCAAGTTGGCTTTCACTGTGGTAAAGCACAGGTGTACTTCACAGTTTAAACAAATAATCAAGTTGTTTTTACATGGGTAGAGAATCCTTATCTTCCAGAAAACCTTTCACTTTGAAAGTGACAGAAGCAACTAACTCCACCAACACAATAAACACATGAAGCACAGAGCTCAGTAGAAACTTTATCAAAAGCCAAGTCTTAGAGCACAATCTGAATGCATTCATGCTCTCACATTTATGTCTTTGGCCAAAACTACTTACAGTCTTCCAGTTAATGCATTTCCTTAGTCACTGCAGCATCACACAGGACCAGTATTAGTATTCAATTCACAGGTAAAGGAAAATGCATTTTCTTCTGTGCCATATCCCAAACCATAGAGGATTTCACAAATGACAAAACTTACATCTATATATATACACACTACACCAAAACCACTTCTGAACTCATCAGCATGTTTTTACTCACCCCTCCACTCTGCTCAGATGCATGCACAGCAGTTCTTACTTCCTAAGTAGTTTTCTCCTTAATCTTTGGTATGACAAACTGGAACCACAGAAGTCAGGAGGAAACAGTTTTTACCTAGCCTGAAACAGTGTCATTTCTGGCCACAGCAGTCACCTGGGAATCCTCAGAAGAAAATAAAAACTATCAAGTCTGAGACTGCCTACCCATCGACAAACTGGCTGGCAATCCTCTCAGAAGAGGAATTCTACCCAGCAACTATCATCACCTTCACCTTACACACAACTGGACAACAGGCAAATAGTTTATATCCAGATCCTCACCCAATAAACCTTGACAGAGCAAGGTGATAACAGAAGAGCTGTAAAAATGGATCAGTGGTCACCTTACAAACTTGAAAGTGGCAGAAAGAGAAAAGCGCTAGAAAACAAGCAATGTGCACTAGGAAGAATATGAGTATGAGTAAGTGTACTCGTCACACCATGGACTACAGTCAGTGAGGGAGCTCTGCATCCTCGTATTCATCATGCTATTCATTATGTAGAGTACTGACATTTTGTCAGCTACTTATTTCCACTTACTGTTTATACACACCTAGATAGAAGTATTTGCAAAACACAGTAGTTTACTTGCACAAAATAAGTAAAGGGATTTTCTCTTCACGCTCACATTTTAAGTGAAGACATTTACATTTTTCCTGATTTGGTTCGTTGATTGTGTTCAAATATAAGGATTTTCTCAAGGAGCACACTGGTTAGAACACCACAGTTCTAACCAGCACACTCTTAAAAGTTCCAAGTCACGACAGAACAGGCTCGCAAGCTTCTCTCTCTCCTATCAATATTTTTAAAAAGAAAAACAAAGGGGACAGTATTTATTTCTAATTAATTTTCAGGTAGGGCATGCCAGTCAAAGAGAGCAAATTTCTAAATCAAGCTTTCTAAATCAATTTAGTAGGATAATATTACATTTCACAAGCTGAAGATGGGGAGGGGGAGCCACGACAATGACCACACTACCTTACTCTGCCAGACAACTGGATTTTCCCTAGCCAGAGCTCTAAAACCCCGTAATAAATCCCAATTATTTTGCAGTTCTGAACTGTTGATTTGCAATCATGCTGCTAATCTCAGCTGCAGTACCTCAGACATATGACCACTTTTTCCAAACTTGTCTTAATACAAAATATCTCTATATTTGATTTAATAATGTGAAATACAAGAATCAAGAACAAACGATCAGGATAGAAATAGTGAATCTCCTCAACTTTTAGAACTTGATTAGCTCAAATAACCATGTTTAACAATGCCACCACCAAAAAACAGTCTCTGCCCTCAAATCAACCTTCACCTGCCTTACATTACTAAAGATCCAACCAATGTTCCTATTAGTATGCAGCATTTACTTCTACTCCATCAAGTTTAGACCTCAGTTCTTAATGGAAAATTACTTTTAAATAGAGAAAAAATAATTTAGCAGTCAAAAATAATTTCCTTAAGAAGCATCCATTAAATGGTCTCAGTTCTCCTTTTTTTTCCAAAAACTAAAGTGTTTTATAGTCTTCCACAGATATTTGTAGTTTTCTCCTCTATTGCATGACTTAATACAAAATAGCAGAAAATAAAGAGAAAAACTGAAAAATTAGCAAAATTATTTTCAGTTTCATGAAATACCCAAGTTCTCGGGTTTTTTCCAGACTAAGACAGCTATGATATTTGGAATCAATAAATTCTGCCTTGTAAAAAGGTAGTCTACAACAGTTCTGGCCTTCCTATACTGTAAAGTCTTCCCAAAGCACAGCAAAAATGTTTCCAGTCACCAGGCATGACGGTTTAATCTTTTACAAATGGCAAGTATATAGCAGTTTTATTCTTCTGGCAGAAAAACAAGTGTATACTCTTAGCTGTACCTTTCTCATACATCTAACCCAGTCACATCACACCAACTCCCCTAAAAACAGCAAGCTACCAAGAACTTTCCTTTACAACGACAACTAAAACTCTAACATGATTAAGTATGTAAGTCTTTACAGTCTTCATACACCCACAAGCAGCTACAGCATGCAATAATAGTTGAAATTTTTTTGTGTATAGATCATAAGACAATCCTTTGCAAATTAGTGAATATTTCTTCCGTGAAAGATCCATATTATATGGCACAGTATTTTCATCAGATGAAAACAAGCAGGTACATACTGATCTTCTGTTCCAAAAAACTTCACAAAGAAGCACTTTTTTCCACGAGGTTTCTTCAGATCTTTAGGTGGATTAACAATCTGAAGGTGATTAGAAGTGAAAGTTAACAAGCACATAATGAAAATTTATACTCTGCGATTTTACTGTCATGTGTTACAGCTACTGTAGATTTTTTTTTTTTTTTTAAATCTGACTAGGATGAAAACTTGAATCTGTTTTAAGTTTTTCAAGTAAATATGCAACCCATGTATTTCCTTAGATATGGGTATGCTGCAGCAGAGTGAAAAAGTAACCAGACTCCACCAATAACACCCCCTAAGAATGTGGTGATGTTCCTTCTCCCTGTTGCCAGTAGACGAGTGAGTGAATTTTCTAAAAATTTGAAAGCCAAATGGCATTAATAAAAGTTTGTTCCACTTAGGTAACTTTTAATATTTACATTTAAAGCTTTGTCTTTATTCCCAGAATAGATTACTTGTAAAGTTTAAAATATTAATAAAGACAAAAACTGTCGTCCAGTCACACAGGTGACACCTGAAAGACTGTGGGGGAGCCTGGACTTAACTTGATCCAATAACCAAACATTTATGGTTGTCAGCCACATTGACAACACTTTTCCCTGCCACATGCTGTTATCTCAGCATTTTAGTCCTCATACCTACACCAAAAATAAAAACAAAGTTCTTTTAGAGAAATAGAAATAATAAAAATGGCACATATCATTAATTTTTTTTTTTAATCTTCTTGGCCTTTCATCAGTAAAAAAAAAAAAAAAAAAAAAAAAAAAAAACCAAAAGAGAAAGTTTAACTACTCCCTACCACCAGAATTATTACTCAAAAACCATAGCTCTGAAACAGTATCTTGAGAAGCCAGACTCTTTATTTCTATTATTTAACACAGGGCATTTAACCAATTTACTATGGGAGGAAAGAAATCTGTCTTGCAGAATATGATAAATCTGGGAAACACAATCAGTTCCAGAGCTGGATGAACTGCTCTGTTGATGTTCATTCCACCTGAACTAACAGCTGTTAGTGACAGGATGAGCTTCTAGATCAAACAAAACCCTAAACTGGTTCACAGTTGAGATTTGTGGGGTATGTATTTAAAAAAAATAAACCAGTCACGAAACAAACAAAAGACCCGGTATTAATCTTCATGAAGTGCTTTCAAGCAAAGCTTTTTCTGTGCAGAAGGAAAAAGCAAAACAAAAAAAACACCCCAAAACTAAGAAAGCAACAATGAAAAAAAAAAAAAAAAATCAAAAAGAAACAAACCTCACCTTTCCTGGCCATGGAGGATACCGGCCCAGCTTCCCCCTAGAGAAAAAAAAAGAAAGTATTAGGCACTAGAACCAGAGAGAAAACAATTATCCCATGTCTAACTTTTTTGCATTACATCGTATTTTTCATATTAAGAGAGTTACAACTTGCAGCCAAAACCTACCGTGACAAGCAAGACCTGCCGCTGACACACAAGCATTCCATTATCAGATGCCTGCACCTAAACTAAGCCTCTAAACAGTCTGCATGAACGCGATGGGCTATCAGAACTTAAGTGAACAGAACAGCAGCAGCATAGCTACTGCCTGGAAGATACAATGCTATAGTGCTTATTACTCTTGTGAGACTGGATATCCCCCACAAAGAACTGAAAAAAGTATTGATGCAGGCAATCAAACCAAAGTTCAGGCTGGCAACTTCTATCCATCCGAACAGAAGAGGCTAGTGAGCGGAGCAGCCACCAATTTCCAGCTCAGAGAGCTGAGATTCTTAGAGGTTCTCATAGGAAAGCATTAATGGCAGAATCCCCTGAACAGGTGTTCCATTATCACTTTCTTCAGGTGCTCACCACCACATTAAGATGTGCTAAAGATACAAAAGAGCCATAAGAAAGGCAGAAAAGTTTATGTCCTACACTTGTAAATGTTTCCGTTACAAAAACTACACAAAACTATTTCTTCACAGAGGAGGATGAGAGGTTAGTCTCAGCCTTCAGCATGGTGGCTTTATCATTACCTTAACTTTGTCACTGACTTGGGCTGCAGTACTCTCACAAAACTTTATCAGTCACTGTCTTGCAAGAGACTGTCAAAGAACCTGTGGAGCCCACCAGCTCCTGAACCAAAAATTCTCAGCAAGTGGTACTGCAGCCCCTCCTAAGATGCTACACAGAGGATTCAGTAGCGATGGTCAGGCAGGAACACTGCCAAGAGGTGTGACAGTGTCTCATACCTGCTGCTTCCATTCTTGTACATCCATCAAAATCTTTCATATGTTACTGCCTTACTGATAGAGCTCTTCTGAAGTGGTTCCAGGCACAGTACCTGTCTAGGTTGGCATGTACAAAACTAAAGATAATCTGCATTCCAACACTGAGAGCAGTGTACTCCCCAAATCCTCGTTTGAAAGAAAATTTGCTAAAAGGAACCAATCTTTACTTACTTTGCTATATAAATTAGACAACTTCACAGCACTGTCAATTTTTCGGATGAGAAACTGCAGTTGTCACAGCCTGGAGCACACGTTTCCTTTTATCTGGGATATAAATATAAATGCATGCACTTGCGTGTCGGGGATTACCTATTTCTTGCAAGCCATAGCAGGACACTCTAGCCTATCAAGTACAGTAGAGCCCATTAACTTAAAAATCTGGGCCTGATGGAACCCCCTCAGTTCTGATCAGGAAATACAAAATCATAGGTCTCTGATTATTTGAGAGTAAAACTGAAGTGTCAAAAGGAAATGGCTTCTGTGAGCTCCAACAGGGACATCCTAACCCGCAAAAAACCCTCTGTCTTCCCAGATTGTTGTGTTGCTTTTTTAAAGCACTGCCAAGAAACGGTATCGTTGGTCTCCCTAAACATCTACTAACTTATTTATGTCCCTTCTCGCCTTCCTTGGCAGGAGACCGTATTTCCCACCGAGCCCCGCATCGATCGCCCCTCTGCCCCGCTCCCCTCAGCCTCCTTCCATCTTACAGAGGCTCTTTTACGCACCGCCTCCAGCCAGCCTCCGGTGCCGGCCGGGCTGCGAGTCGAGCCTGCCTCTCCTCGGCCACCCCCGGACCAGCTCCGCGGCAACAGACTAGCCCCCGCCGCCCCCCGCCCCTCCTCACAGCACCGCCGGGGGATGGCCTCGCCACCGCCTTGCCCTGCCAAGCCCCGACCCCGGACCCGCAGTCGCACTTCGGGTGTCCCCCTCGACTACGGGGCGGCAGCGCTGGGCCGGGCCCGGCCCGTCTCCACTCCCGCCACGCCGCGCTCCCCCGGGCCGGGCGCAGCCCCGCCGCCGCCCCACCTGCGCCCCCGCTGTCCCGGGCGGAGCCCCAGCCTCATTCCACAAGAGGGGTCTGCCCTGCCGCCCCCCCCACACCGCCACTCACCACACCAAGTCTCCGAGCCTCAGACTCACGGCCGCCATCTTACCGACAGAGCCACCAGCCGCACCCCGCAAAGCCTGCCGGGACAGGACGGCACCCGCCGCGGGAGGGGGCGAGGGGGAGCGGCGGGGGCGGTGCCGGCGGCGGGGATTGGGCGGCCCCCATCACGTGGGCGGATGGGCCGGTACCAGCCGCTCCCCCGCGGCGTGACCACAGGGGCGGTGCCGATTGGTGCCGCGGCGCTGCCGGGCGGGCGCGAGCCCCCGGCGCGGCTCAGGCGGAGCTGTCAGGCGGCAGGACTCTGGGCTGAGCACAGCGGGGTGAGGGCTCGTGGCGGGCAGTGGGCTGCGGCCGCTCTGCCCCGCTCCCCGCCGTGCCCCTCTTTGTGCCGGGGGGCTCCCCCTGCAGCGAAGGGCGCTGTTCCGTGGGTGCCTGCGGCAAAGGTCTGCACGGCCCCACCAAAGCAAAGGGGTTTGCTCTAAGACCGGATTTCACCTCAAGGAAAAACAAAGGAAGGATCCCGTTGCTACCCGAGACGGCTCGCTGTCAGGATGCCAGCTCTTCAGAGTGGCTGGATACCAGAAGACATTTGTGACCTGCACTTGCATCTCCCAGTGACCCCCATCAGGCCACATTAGGAGGTGGAGGGTTTTAGAACGTGGTTTGTGCTCCATCTCCTGCTGCAGCAGCCAGGAGATGCTGTCTCCAGCTGACTGCTGTAGAGTTACATATTTTTGTTCAGATAACTTGCTGTGTTTGGCGCTGTCCTTCCCTTCTGTGCTTCCTTCTCATGGGGGCCACCCCTATAGCCCCCTCCCCTGCTACCAAAAAAAACCCCGCCACTCACTCAAACCCAGAACAGCATATGACTAAGCCAATTTCACAATTTTTCAAGCATTCTTGTGTCCTCTTTTGCTCTGGTACCCCCCCCCCCCCAAACCTGAATGTAGGAGGTGCCTTAAAGGGCACAAGCTTGATACCAGTGCTGCATAGCCCTAGATATGAGCTATGCACTGTACCCTGCAATAAGTGGTTTAATTGCTCTGCTTTTTCTCCCAAATTTGGGTGGATTGAGGTCAAGTATCTTATTCTAAATTGCTGTTTGTCAACTTAATCAGGTACGTCCTCCTTACTACAACTCCCCTGTCCTTCAAAAGAGATGCACCATATGAGGAGAAAATGTCCTATTTTAAGATCATTAACAGCCTTTAAAAGGGGTGTTTTACTTTTCTGTTGTTGTTGTTGTGTAACACACCCCCTACACCCAGCTTTTCCTCCACACATTGATCCTGGCTGCTGACAAAAACCAGTCCTTGAATGCTTTCAATAATGGACTCTGCAGCAATACTGGAATAGATGTGTTTCCTTCGATATACGACATAGGTTTAAAAATAAAAAAACCTTTCTCCTGACAGGTTTAATTTGCCGGTCTGTAGCCAAAATCCAGGGGCTAATATAGCCAGACCTCTGTATTTTTCTACTCCTTAAATCTATGCTATGGGCAGCTGTTCCTGGCTGTGCTGTGTTGGTGCTCCGCAGCTGGAGTGGTTCCTGCGAGGGGAGTTTTCTTGTCCCTGGGAACCGAGTTACGAGACCCAGCCTCTGCTCTTGGCTGAGCTTCTGACGCTGACCTCGGGCAGCCCTTCAACATTACTTTAATCTTCCTTAAACCTACCTGAGTGGTTTACTCTCTGGCTTCAAAAGTTCCCTTCACCAGGGCCTGAAACAGGCAAATCTGTTCAAACGGATTTTTCTACCCCAGGCTTCCCGTTATTAAGATCCATCTCCACAACCGGGCCGTGCTGATCCAAGGGGGCTGCCCGGCACATCACCGCGCCGGGCCGGTGCTGAGCCGCGCCTCCCGACCGCCCGGGGGCCTCGGCCGCGGCTCACGGCCGCAGCCAGCACCGCGCACCGCGCCGGGCGAGACCCGCCGGGCCGCTGCCTGGCCGGGCTGCTCCGAGAAGCGCCGCGGCGCGGAGCCGCCGCAGCCCGGCCCTGGGCCGAGGAGCCGCCTCGGTCCGCCCGCGGCCGCTCCGCGCCCCCGCAGCCCGCCCCTTCGTTCCGCCGGCGCCGGGCGGGGCCGCTTCCGGCTGACGCGGGAAGTGCCGCGCGGGGCCCCGGCGCGGCGCCATGGCTCGCAAGAAGCTGCCCCGGCCCATCGCCGCCATGGCCAAGAAGATCCGCGAGTACCGGGCGCTGAAGAACCGGCCGCGGGAGTCGCAGCGCTTCGCGCTGGACTACGAGACCATGCGGCGGCCGCTGACGCAGAAGCGGCTGCCGGCGCGGGCCTGGGAGGACGTGCGGCGCGAGAACCGGCTCTTCGCGCTGCTCTGCCGCCTGCCGCGCTTCGGCGTGGGCCGCACCGTGACCCGCAAGTCCTGGATGTGGGCGCACGACGAGCCCTGCTACTGGGTCATCACCAAGGTGAAGGTGGACTACACGGCCGAGGTAACCGCCGGCCCCCAGGCCCCTGCCCCGGCGCCGCACCGCTCGCTACCCTCAACAGGCTCTTGTTTTCTTTGCAGAACATGGATCATGGAAGAGCTTGGGGCTACCTGACCTTCAGAGGTAAAACCGGCTTGTTTTCCTACACGTGAGGTTTGGAGGGAGCATCTGTAGACAGGGCTGGAGAATGACGAGGTAGGGGTATGGGTGGGTGGGAGAGCTGCAGGAAAACCAGAGCCCTTCTGCTTGGGAAATGTTTTTCTCAGATCTGCTGATCAGAAAAGCAGTTCCCCATATATTTGTTTCAAATGCTGGGATCTAGCCCCCACAGAAGGGGCACTGTGGGAGAGCCGGCGTAGGCTGACAGCGGGGAAAAGACGGTGTACTAACAAGATTAGATGAGGTGACAGACTGCTTTGAGACTTTGATAGCGAGGCATAGAATGAACCCAGGAAGGTATTCCAGGTAAAATTGTCAGTAAAACAGGAGTTATGGCAAGTAAACTTATGTTACTGGGATTTCAAATTAATATTTGGAGTTGAGTGAGTGAATTTCTCTCTTGAAAGCTGCTTTATGTTAGGCATATGATTGTCGCTTACTAGAGCTTCTGAAACATTTCTCATTCAAGTTTTAAAGTTGTTGGGTATTTTTAACATTAAATTTCCCAGGGAACTTTAGTCAGTGTAGAGAAACTACTTTTGTTCTTTAGCCATGGGAACTGAACCAGAGAGAGACGAAGTGACATTTTAAATTAAGAGAGGGAGTCAACCACAGAATTGGATGACTTGCCTGTTGTCCTTTCAGCCTGTTTCTGTTTTCTGATTTCCAAAGACAGAAGTGGGATCTCACAGTATAGCAGGGAAGATACGGTCCGATCCTTTGAAAGATTCCTTTACTATTGTCTGTTGTAGCATTTTTGATACCAGACAGTCAACACTTGCTGCATTTCCTTGGGGGATTTTGTTGTCACTGGTGTTTGTCATCTTTTCTCAGGCAAAACCGAAGAAGAAGTGACAGAGATTGACAAAGTCATGTATCACGATTGGCGTATGGTGCCCAAGCACGAGGAGGAAGCCTTCAAGAAATTCACCCCAGTGCCAGAGGAGACCATTCGGTACCTTCCGTACCCACCTCTGCTCCGAGCCATGATTCTCGCGCAGTGGCAGAAAGAGGGAAAACCAATCACAGAGGAGCCAATGATTGACCTGGAGAAGGTCATGGCCTCTCCCCGTCAGCATGGAAAGAAAAAAGCTAGAGGGACACCAGTATAAAGACTTGTTCTACGTCCTGAGCTTCCCACATGCTCTCGCTGTGTTAGAAGCACATCATCTTACAGAAGATCCCCTTGACCACTGTGCTATGGTGTGTCCGGGTTTCCTAGCATTCTCCCCAGCCCCGTACAGTCACCTCATCTGAAAGGAAAGATGCAGATACATTCATTTTTATTTTTTTTTCCCCTAACTTTGGTCTCAGTCAGCAGAGGAACCTTCTTGGTTCTCTTGTATAGTCTCTGAATGCATGGTTTCTGTCATCCAGCTGCAGTTCTTTGGAGCACAGTTTCCATTACAGCCTGAAAATTAGGTTTTCAAGAACATATTTCAGATAATTTGGGTCCTACATAAATCACAGAAAAATGACTGAGAATACCACGTTATTTCATAGAACTCTGTATGAATGTATCTACTAATGAAAATAAATGTTTTCTTATTTCTGCATCAAAGTTTTAATAAAACTTGTTATTTTTTTTTTTCAGTGCATGGAGATCATTGTGAGATCCAAATGCAGAGCCATTAGCTTATCAGGTACAGGCACAGCATTGAATTCCTCTTAACTGCTGCAGAATCATCCGGGTTACTTACGTATGATGGCAATGTACAACACAAGAGGAATGCAGTTTTACTCTGGATACTAAGCTTATCCAAAACTATCCGTTTCTGATTCCCAGAGATTGCTGTCAGGAGATACGAGAAATAATTTTAATTCTGGTGATGCAAAGTGTACAGGATTGGCTTTTGCTATTTGAAGGCAATCGCAGATTACCACCTGTTCCAGTGCACTGCAAACATTACAAAAATGCAACTCCTTAGTGCAGTTCTTAGCAGCTTATTTAGTTCTTTCATCTGCTGTAGTAGGTAGTCAAGAAGTGCTGTTCCATTTGCTGCAGCATCGTGAAATCACAAATAGCCTGAAGGGATTTACTGAGGGAAAACAAAAACTGGACTCTGCCTTGCCCAGTGTGCCCAGCTGGCCTGGATGGGACAGGGGAGCATGTGGCCTCAGCCACCAGGGAAAAGGCTGTCATCAGGCAGGAGCAAATGGATCAACACTGGCTACCTCGACTCCCACAGGGTTCCCCACCAGAGGCTCCTATGGAATAAGAGGGAAGGTTTTTTTCATGAGTTAAAAGCCAGCCCTATGACAAGGCTGGGAAGAGCTGAGCTTTTGGCCCCCTGTTGTGGCATCATCAAAAGGGTGTAAATAACTGATGCTAAAGGCACAAACAGTTTGAGGCTGTGAGACTTCCCGCTGCAGCTGGTAGAAAAGGAGCTTCTCTGGTTTCCACAGCCTCTGCTGCCATGGGCCTTACTGCCCTTACGGTGATTGAGGTGCTACTGAACCAGCACACAAACCAAGGATGAGTGAGGTGGGAATAGAGGTGTAGGTGCCAGTTAGGTGGGATGAGTAGAACAATCTAGCCCTCTGTCCTGCACAGGCAGGAATGGAACACAACCCCAGCACGGGCAGCACCCTCCCTGCCGGGGCACAGGCCCACAGGGTCTGAGCACAGGGGGCAGAGCCGAGTGCTGGTAACAGGGTCCACCAACAGCCCCAGACAAGGCAAGAAATGATCCACAACCAGGGTCCACCCAGGCAGCCCATCCAGGAGCAAAAGCAGATGGAGATAACACGCCATAAAGCATAGAACCATACAATGGCATGGGTGGGAAGGGACCTTTGAAGATCATTCAGTCCAAACCACCCAGTCCAAGGAGGCCATCAAGAGCAGCTGGAGACAGGCAGTTTCAGCACAGCTCAGGCAAAGACTGAAGGCCCCAGCTGATGCTTTGAGGCTCCCGGGCCAAGGGTGGAAAGGGCCCGTGCATGGGGGGTGCCCAGGTGGGGCTAATCAGGACAAATCATGGCCTTAGCAGAGTGTCTTCACACAGAGCCCTGGGCAGCCCAAGGGCCTTGTCTGAGTGTGAAGGTCCCCTTCTGGAAAGCTGCACAGCCCCCATTTGCCATGTGTTCAATGCCTAGAACATGCTGGGAGTTCTGCCAGGCCTCTCAAACCTGTGCATTAATCTCCTGGAGCTTTTAACAGCATGGAGTGGGCTGGCTGAAGGATGACAGCAGTGAGCCCCTTCCTCAGCCACCCGGGTGAGTGCCAGCCATGGCTGCAGTTCCCACAGTGCCTTGCTCAAATTGCTCCTGGCCTCATCAAAGGGTGCAGTCCCAGGGGTGCAGGATGGGTTCCAGGACCTGTTTCCAAACCTCCTTGCTGAGGTGCTTCTATTAACCCAGGAAGCATTGGCCAATGTACTTCACCCTGGCCTGCACACAACAGCAGTGCAGCTGACAGTCATGGAGGTGACTCACCTTAGGGACCCCTGCTTAGGGCAGAAGCCACTCCTGGTGTAAGGAGGTGGGTCCCTTGTCTATTATTGCTATGTACAACCCCGGAACTAATGCAGTTCTACAAAATAAATACAAACATGTCTAAGTGCTGCTGGGACCAAGAGGAATGTGCTTCCTGCAGTGTGGAATGTCACCGATTCCTATGGGACTTTGTGAAGTGCCACCCTGTCTTGGCAGGGGACACAGGCAAACTGAGTCTTGAAAGCTGAGCCTGATATGTTAACCCTGAAGGGGACGACACAAGGACAGCAGCAGCTAGCCAGCAGCTGAACACTTGTCTGTTCTATCTTTTATTTCTGACACCAGGAGAAGCTGCAGATTGCACCATGGCTTGCAGGAGCAGCGCCTTCTGCTCTGACCAGAGTGAGCAATCCACATTTCACTTTTTGCCACTAAATTGCTCAAGGGTGAACACTTGAGCTGCCATTCTCACCCTTTAAAGTGTCTTGCTGTTATAAAAGACTGAGCAGAAATCCCAGTGTCTTCATAGGAATGAGATGCCCTGCACCTGCTGATGTTAACACATTTATTACATACAGAACAGATATGGTTTGTTGTTTGATAGCATAGGGGACAAAGCAGGGGAACGTATTCATACAGCAGTCTCTTTACAGAATGCCATCTTCAGACCAAATAGCGGAGTTTACAGGCCTTAAGACACTTTTTAAAATCCTTTTGTAACATACAAGATACTTTACATACATCACAGTGGAGATAGATATGACAGGGAAGTGTATTGAAGCCAGTCAGTTCTCACCTTGCTGCCCAGCAGCCACCAAACACCACAGGAGCTGACAGCAGTGGCTGGTTCTACTTAGCTGTAGCTGCCCCTCTGGGATATGTGCTTCTCTTGGAGGAAAACATGCACTGAGCTGGAAAGGAACCTGTTGGTAGAGGCCCGAGACCAGTTTCCTTATGTTGCCAGGGCCCAGTGGGTGACAGGAGACGGAGTACTATCACTTCAACTGCTAAAACCAGATACAGAACAAACAGTTAAGAGGTAAGAATGTTGCGAATCTGTATTTTCCTATGGAAGAGTCAATAGAGCTAAGGAACTGGGCCTACTAGGACTTTTTTTTTTTTTTTTTTTTTCCTTTTTTCTCCCTTCAATTAGCTCAAATTATGAAGTTTACCTGGCCCTAACTGGTGAACTGTTACACATCTGTGGAATCTGTGGTCTAAATGTTGATCTTATTAACTCCAATGCACTCTGTGTTGTGATCCAAAGAGTTCTTCCTAGCAGAAGCATTCGGGAAAAGTGAATGAGAAGACTGGCACGGTTAGCAGTGCTCCAAAGAAATGTCCCTGGTGAAAGGTCCCCCTCACATGCAGGTGGTGACTCCAAGCATCCATTAGGCAAATGGCAGCCACAGAGCCAGGTGTGCCAACGGCTGGAGGACACCATCCAGCTTGTTTCCTACCTCGGTGAAGAGTGGTGTGGGTGCGTGTGCCACCAGCACCGCTCACAGGCAACGTGGCCACCACTGTGGCTCTGTACCTTGGTGCCTGAGGCCTCTGTTCTCCAGAGATGTCCTCTTGCCTCCCTGCAGGGGAAATGTATATCCAAGCCTTTTCTGAACTGTGGATCCAAAAATCATTTCAGTACTGCTGCACTGGAACAGATGCCACATGTTAGAGCTTCCCCAGGGAATACTGCATCCCTGCAGTACATGAGTAGCTTCAGACCACAAGCCTTGGGGGCAGCCTGGTCCATGGCAACAAGCACAGGACACAGCTGGGAGCTTTCCAGGAGATGGAGGCTTGTCCCCCTGCCACCACACTGGGACACCCTTATGAACCCCAGAGTGCTGCACACCTAAGGGAAGAAACAAGATGACTGTCAAAGATGACTGTCAGGAACTTCCAAATTCATCACTAACTACTGCTACTCGCTCTAGTCCTGCACATCCAGAAGGGACTGTTCAAAGGAAATGGAACTTGTCCTTGTGAAGACAGGACTGTTTCCACTGTCAGAAAGGGAGGACAAACCCCTCTATATCTGGAGCTGCCATGTTCTGCATCTGGAGCTCAAAATCGCTCCCTCTGGCCCCATTTTTTGCTGCTTGTAAGCAGGAGGCACACTTGCAATCCCCTAGCGCTGCTTACACAAGGAGAGCTGTCAGGATTTTTCTCGGGGGTTGTCAATTCTTTCCAGGAGTCAGAAATTTCCAGCTTTGTAAACTACTTAGTAGCAAAGTCACTGCTCGCTATGTTAGGTAAAAGAGGTTGGGAGACCGGGCCTTAAGTCCTTTTTCTGCACGACCTCAGGCAAGACACAGCCTTTCTATACCTTGACTGCACCTACACAGTCTTTCCTAAGTGACAGCCACAGTGTGAAGGAAAACAGATATCTCCTTCCAGCAGCTCCTGGGATGGGGCAGACCAACATCATCTGCCCTCACCTGCTGTTTTAAAAGCCAACAAACGCTGTGCAGAGATAGCTTTCTCCTGAACCTTTCAGAATGAACTCAAGAATTCTTTTCTGCCTAGCATTTCTGGAAGGGGGTGTTAAAAGTATTGCTGTCTTTTCTGCTCTTAAAAAGAGCAAGGTTCCAGTACCCCTTGGCTACCAGTTTCCAAAGGCCCTGTGGCCTTCATGATCAAACACCCGTCTCCCATCTGAGGCCACCAAACAATCCTCTCCAGACACACACAGTCACCCAGGACACAACTGCTGAGACAACGGCAGCAGCAGAGGAGGTAGACTTTCCATCTGCAAGTATGGAGGATGTGTTCCCCACAGTAATGGCACTGCTGCCTTCTCCAGCCAAACAGCAGAAGTGCTGCCCAAACCCTGACACTCCTTTCTATTGAGGGTTCCTTGGACCTGGCTGCTCCCAGTCCACGGGACATTATTCTGTGCTTAAGGGTGGATAAGGTAGAGAGTCCACTGGTGAACTAGAAAGGACTTCTGCTATGGTGCTGTAGAAGTTGTGATTCACCATCACTGCTTTGGCGGGGTCGCCAGGGGGATGTACTTCTTTCTCATGCAGGTGGGAGTGAGGCAACCTGCTGGAGAACCTGAGCCACCACCCATACAGCTACCAGCTCCCAAGCGCTGGGCAAAGGCTTTGCACAGTTCTAGCTCCAAGCTTCACTTCATCGATGCACTGTCATTACTCTCCTTGTAGATGCCAGCTCCAGAGCAGAACAATAATCCAACCACGCAGAAAGCGCACAGGCCCAAGATGAAAGCGGCAAGTTCAGAGGTTAGAAGGGGGTTACAGTCCAAGGCAGGAGCCATTGCAGTTGTCTGGGGTCGGTTTCCAGCAGTAGGTATAATGCAGGCATTCTGTATGTACATCTTGGCATTCAGGCGGGAGGAGGGACACTTAGATTGGTAGGAATTGAGAAATTTTCACTCAGGGATGTATGATACCTGCCACACAATAATGTGGCTCCTTTCAGCCTTGGAAAGTACTGGCTTCACCTGGGTGGCATCTCCTGCATTCTCCTCTGTCTCATCATCTTCTCCATCCCCTGAAGACAGAAAATGGAGAGTAAAAAAGGCAAGAAAAAAAATCCCAAATTGCACTGCTCTGGAATACTTCCAAACAGGCTACTACTCCTGTTACAGTCTCACCAGTCTAACAGACAGCACAAGTTGAGACCTTCCTTTATGCCTGGAGAACATTTATAGCAACAGGACTGTATGGATGAAACAAACCATTTCCAGCACTAGGGAAAACAAGCCTTCCTTTTGGGGAAGCCAATGTTTATAACATAGCACCCTTGAGCAGCACAAGCGATGACAGTGGGGCAGAAATGTTTGAAGCCAGTGGCACAGATGGTTTTATTCTTCCCAGGGCCATTAACACAGACTGTGTGGCAATGCAGGCACAGGTTGGGGGGCAGGGTTTGGCAGCCTTGTGCTGCTCCTTGTGCATTTTCCTTGTGTGAGGAAAATGCGTGCTATCTGCCCCCACAGCCAGAGGCAGGAGAAACAGAGAGCAGTGCTTTTCAGATTTCACTCCCCACAGCAGTGATCGCTCTCTCCACAGCCACGGCCCTGCACACCCTCACATCCCAGATGACGCCCACCATAGGCACTCACCAATCCGGAAATCGATGTACCCTTCTCCTCCACTCAGCACCAGGACGTTCTTCAGCTTCTGCCCCTCAGTCTCTGTGGCTGCTGTGCTGGGGTTCTCCGAAGGGCTGTCCAACACGCTCCCGTTCAGGGTTGCTAGGACATTGCCTGGGAGAGGACAGAGGTGCTGTCAGTGCCGCTGTTCAGCCCTCATGCAGTTAACACACACATACACATGAAATCTGGAAGTTACTGCAGTTTAAACTACTGATGTCTGAGCCACGGTGATCTGCAAGCACTAGAAAAGGCATGGGACAGCTGCAGATCAGCTCAAGCTCCTGCTGCAGAATGGATGGTGGAACAAGACCTTCACAAGGAATGGCTGTGCTCCTCCTTACCAGGCACAGAGACGAAGAACTTGACAGCATCACGGTGACCGTGGAAACAGAGCTGTGCCTGAGCCATGGAGCAGTAGGGAATGAAACTGCTGGCAGATTTGTCACTGTTGTCATCACCGTACACGTGGATGACCCCACCAGAGCGGCTGCCCTCTCCAGAGGTTGGTGAGGTCTTGTTGGCTGGGGACAGGGAGGAGGAATTTTGTCAGCAATGGATTTGATTCCCATTTACAGAAGGGATTCAATCAAAGAGAAAACTCATGAGCCATGAAGGAAAGCCTTTAAAAGTAAAGGTCTCTTTAAAGGTCTTATGTAAAGGATGTGATGGAGGAGACCACACTAGACTATACAGACCCTCTCTCTTAGGCTGGCAACAATCCACTCATGGTAACAAACTACTTTTTTTCACTAAATCTAGTATCTGGCTACTAATCAGGCACACATCCCTGGAGGTGCTGGGCAAGTGACCTTCGGGCAAGCTAGACAAGGTCTCTGAGGTGTCCCATTGAAGGTCTCTTAACCAGCAGCAATCCTGTCCAGCCTCCAGAAATGACCTACAGTCCCTAGGATCAATTTTGGTCTTTTGTACCTGGCAGGGTATCCAAAAATGTCCACTGTACCCATGAGACATCAAGGGCACCTGGAGGAGAATTACTGCTATTTTCTGGATTGGTGAAGTTGCTCAGTTTCCAAGTCAAATCCTTTGCTCATGCCAAGATGTGAGCACAGAGGCAGTCTCTTGGTCTGGTGAAGGCCTCTCAGCCCAGTAAATATCACAGCAGTGGAGTGAGGTCTGTCCTTATTCCTTGATTTTAGTTGTGACACAAGAAGATCAGCTGCTCAAGCAATGAACACCTGAAAGATCCACAACTTCCAAGGATTTCAAGGTGGGCTCAAGGGCCAGCACCTTCCACGACTCCAAGAATGTGAATGCTTCCACCCACCAAGGAACAGAGATCAATGCTCAGAGCTCAGGATGGGAAATACTTTCTTTCTGCATACACCCACATCAGTAAAACAGAAACAGTACTAAAATAAAAAGGCTTTCACTTTCTGTGAGAGTACCGAATTGCTTGCTTAATTATCTGTAGTTCTGTATTTTGGCTTGGGCTGGATTTCAATTATTAAGTAACTTGGACAAAGTAGACTTTTACCTATCAGGCTCAAGCCAGGATAGCGAGACAAGTACAGATGTTTTGATGGAAGAATAAAAATCAATGTGTGCAGGGGGAAGATCCCCAAAATGAAGGCTCCCTGCACCTCTGTGCTTTGGTTTGCTGTGAGCAGCTATGACTGGATGAGCTCATCTGACTGACAACAGGGCTGGTACAGCACTTCTTCTCACTCAGTATCTGGCTTCTTACTGCAATCAACATCAGATGCTTTAAAAGGAGGAGACATGTTTTGATAATGCTTCTGGACAGCCACAGAAATGTCTCACTATGAGAAAAAAGTACTAATTTCTGACCCGGGAAAGGCTAAGGTAAGAATAAAGTTGAACTCGGAGCCTGCCTTACACTGACACAAAATCAAACAATGCTTAATGTTTATCAAAGTCCCCTCTGGTTAAAAGTCCTGGTTGATTACTTGTAGCTGGCAGGCATCACAGCACCTATTGCCATTGCCCTGGAGCTGATGAGAGAAGCATCCTTGGAAAACCAAGGATGACCAAGGAAGACCTCAGAAGAACAGTCCACACCTACTTACTGGAACTCTGATTGAATGAACCTTTACAGTCCCCATCTCAAACCTGGCCTACCACAATAAGGGAACTACTGATAAAGAAAAGTACTTTTAACACAAAAAACCCCACAGAGGAATGGATGATGAAATGGATGACAATGTTTTTAGCCATGGGAAACGAGGATATTTACATTACTGTCTCTCGTCGCTTTTCTCAGATGCAACTTAAAATGAGAGTGATGAGGAAAAATAGATGGAGAGAACCGAATGACAGGATGGAAGGGTGGGAAAGCAACTGCAAAGGTAAATGGCTGCAAAAGGAGTGAAAGCTGAAGGAAGGAGGCAACGGACTTACCCCGGAGCCCAAGGAGTTGGCCTCGGTGGAGGACTACAGCTAGGCACAGGCAAGGAGTGGAAGAAGGGCATGGGAAGAGACAGGCAGGACAGGAAAGAAGAAAAAGGTGATTACTGGGAGAAAATTCAGGGAGCAACAGAAATGTATAAAACCTAGAAAAACTGCAATGGGAGCTACAGGCTCAGATCACTTTATACCAACACTGTTCTTGCACACTTTGCTTTTATCTTACAAGGACAAATATAGTATAAGAGAGGGACCATGGTCACAAGGATCCATTGCTAAAGTTTCTCATGAGACCTTACTGCTTACCACATTTTTACAGAAACACCAGAAGATAATGCAACTAGTTTACTAAGGGAACAAGCTTAACTCAGAATTAGGACAGCAGCCCTAAGAAAGCATGGGCTCTAAAACAGGGTTTCAGAAATGAGACCGAGATTGCGATGAACAAAAACGACTGTGTCACTGGCTTCCTGGTGTCAGCCTCAGGCATATCCAGGTCCACTAGCCTTAGAGGAGACCATCTCAGCCCTGACTTCCAGGAGGATTACAACAGGTTTGCTCCTCTTATACGAGAGCCATTTACTTCTCAGATTTCCTGCTAGCAGTGGTGAGAAAAACGTTAATTTCGCTGCTTTCTGTTGAAAGCAACTGCAACCAGCCTCAAATCCTACTGCCCCATTATAATATGGAACAGACCTGCAAAATCAGATGCTGACTGGCAGGTACAGAACAGGATTACTAAGAGCTTCAACTAAACTTCCAGCTCCAGAGATGCACCTATTATCTACTACTGCTGGGTCTCCTCACCAGGTTGGTGTAGGATACTGATTTCTACTTGACTGATAAAGTTGAGCCCTAATTTGAGTAAATTAAGCATTTCCAAGGTCAGTTTATGGAAAATAATGTTACAGAGACATTTAGATGTCTCTGCCAAAACAAAAATTCCAGGGAGATCTTCCTGGTGCCTTCTCATCCCATGGCCTCCTTTTGGAGACTTACTACAGTTCCCAAAGCTTTGTTTCTCCTGGTTTCCAGTAGCTACAGAATCAGTTCACATCAGTCTGTTCTGTTAAGGTCATGCTCAAAAAAGAAGACTATACAGATGGTAGAGATGTCATTGGTCCCCCAAGAAGGAAATGGCTTAAGCTGAACTGAAAGGACCTATTTGGTTTTAAACAGGTTAAATCCATCCAACTGAACACTTAATTCATTAAGAAGGAAGAGTTAAACCAAGTTCAGGGTTGCTTGTACTCAGGGCTCTTCTATCTGAACACTGCTATGATCAAAGCTGTACCAAGTTCAGAGTAAAAATGTCTGAAAGGCATTAGCCTGCCAGAGCCATCTGCCGTGCTGCAGAAATAACATGCAAAAGTGTTCTTTTTTTGGGGGGGGGGGAGGGGGAGTGGGGAGTGGGTGCAGAAGTATCTCCAACAAATGTCACTTACTCTCGGTCAGTGGAATGGAGATGACAACACCATTCCCTGTCCCTACCCAGAGGCGGTTGCCAGCAATGAGCAGGGCTGTAATCCGCACAAATGAGAAGCCCAGCTTTCCAGTGCCTAGTGAGAGTGCATAAGAATTGAAGAGTCAGTTATGACTTTGAGCAAGGTCTGCTAATGAACTTTGATATCTCTTTGATCTCGGTAAGCAAGAGACCATTTACTGACAGTCCCTACTGCCTCACCTAGCATCTTGCTGACGTAAGGCTCAATGTCGACATCTTGCAGATGTTGATGGCTGTGGGCATGGTAAAGCCTCAGAGTGGAGTCCAGACGGATAGAAACCCATACTCCATCTCCAATCCATGCCAGCTGTCGCACCTGACTCTCCCGCCGAGGGTGAGCATCAAAGGATTTCTGAAATGCCAAACAAGTGGACCAATGTGAGTTCACAAAAGGTTTGCAATTATCTATACATATACTCCATTTTCCTCAACTGAGATCACTTGCTTGGTTTTCAAAGGTCTTGGAGAAAATATGTTAATGCCAGCTGACCTCAGAAGTTCACTACAGTATACAGAAAATCTCTTGTTTGAAATTATAAATTGTATAGCAGTTCTGCAGAGATTATGGTTTTTGCAGACCACTTCAGGAGCAAGAACGTTTAGAAAACAAGAGCTTTCAATGTGCTTGATAGAAAAGGAAAGCACACAGCTCCTGTATAAATTCCAAAGATCAAACTGCCCTGGCCCACTGATGTGAACTTCAGATTCAGCGCTGCTTCTCCATTTGATTAGAATTATTCCAGGCACTGTCAAATAGGTTTGTACCAACACCACTGTATTGATTTTCAATCAAAAGGCTATAAACATCATTTTTTTCTTAAGCAAGTGGGATCACTGGGGCTTGCTGACTGTACTCCTCTTTTGTGCCACAGTGCCTACAGATGGAGAAGTCTTAGACTATACATGAAGGGTAGCTGCAAAGCACACATGTACATTTGCACAGTACGTGACCTCACAGACTCACTCGTAAAGGCAAAGAAAGTGCTCCGTTTAGACTTATCAGAAGATTTTTAAGCTCTGCAAAGGGAGGAAGGAATAAATCCCCCCACAGCAGACTGGGTCATAACACAACCCAGATTGACAGTCTGGATCCTACAGTCAGCAATGACAATATGACACGGCAGCAGAGAAGAGCTGTAAGAATAAATACAACACAAGCATGTACATGCATACGCACACATTTGCTTTCTTACCTCAATCTGCATTGTCTTAGGTTGAATAACATGGATTTTGTTCTTGTAGCCACACCAGACTCTATCATATACAACAGCCATGCAGCGGATGGAATGGTGAGTGTGACCAAGGTCCATTAGGTGGTAATTGCTGAGATCCCACTGACCATCTGATGTGAAAAACAAGTGTGGGAAGATGCATCTCCTTCATGACATGTCAGTATACAATAAAATCATCTGCTGTTCTATGTAAATCTAGGTATACAGGCTTAGCTAATACTCAAATGCTCATTTTACTTACATCTGTGAATTTCCTGTGAATCCATAATACTACTTTGGGCACAGCCTTACACTTACGAACACGTGACAATAATGTTTAGTTTGGCAGACTGCATGTTATCCAAATTAGGCTAATTTATACGTACTTTTATTGTAATTAAGTGAACAGGCTTCTCTAACAAGTAAAAAAAAAACAGCAGGGGAAGAATAAAGACAGCCTAACAAGACTATGCAGAAACTTAAAAAGAAATGGACCTTGTGGTGAGGCTTTCTCATATCACAGATGGACAACACAATTTCCCCGAAGTGTCAAATCCAGCATAAGGAATCAGTCTCCCTTCTCTCATTCTTATTTTCTAACTAACCCAACAGATACTGTGTCCTTCACAGACAGGTGGCCTCTATGTCACGGGCCTTTACCCTATTTCTGATGGGAACAATTTTTATGTGTCAATGATCAGGCTTGAACTCATTACAAAGGGTGAATCAAAATTTAGATTGCACAAAACCAGAAATCTCTGTATTTCAGCTTGCTGGATAAACTGCTGCTCAATGAATAACTAAGTTCTTAATATGCAAACATTAGTCACAGTTAGCAAATTCCCATGTGCTTTCAGGTATGAACACAGCTCAGGAACTGCAAGGAAAAAACCTACAACAGTGAAGAGGACAAGAAATACAGAATTCAAAAAATATCCTGAAGTGACAAGATTAAGGCACGTTCAATTACTCAGCCATTTTTTTTGAAACAAGAAAAAATGACCGTATGTAATGCAAAGTCTCCATTTATTTGGCATTTCCAGACTTTCAGACAATCCCAGCTTTGCTTGCTGTGTCTGCAGTAATCAGCTAAACTGAGAGCCCAACTTCTTTGGGAAGCAGCAGGCCTATTTGCAACTGCACAGATGATCTGCTCGGGTACTGGCTCAGCTGTATGGAGCTCCCTGTGCATGCCCTGTCACAGCTGATTTGTGAATGCACAGTAACACTGATATGGCCCAAATGAACTAAACTTACCAAGCATGCCTCAAACAACTGCACAGCATATGTATTCCTAAGGTGTTACATTTACTCTGCATGTGCTACACAGCACACACACACGCTTTTGTTCAGAAAAGCTCAGGAAATGGTGTTAAAGTATGCTGCAGATATTTCAAGATGAGGATTACATGTGTATAATAGCTATGCATTTCAACCGTATGTTTGTACTCTGGCAAGCCAGCACCTTTCCTTCTCAGCTTAAAATAGCATTTAATTCACTGCTACACTTTTGGCCACATTTGCTTTTTCCTTACTACGTTCTTACCTTCTCCCCGGTGGAATATGGCTAGTGTTCCATCTGCCAGAGCAACAAGAACCCTCCCTTTCACGTGCCTGAAATCACAGAAAAGTAAATGCTTACAAAAGTCTGTAGAAGGGACCAACATATCCTTTCTGACATACACACATACCATCTTTATGTTCTTAATTCCCATTCAGTTTAGCACTTTCAGAACATCCTGCAAGGGCCGAGAGTCATACCTTTTCACCTTTGTTGTAGCAAGATCATCCATAAATTTTCCGTTGCGGTTAACTTCTTCACACTACAAACTCCACCAATTCCAACAAATTCCACCTCACTGACACCCCAGTGAGATTTTGCCTTTCTCCTCCCCACTTATTTCCTCTTGATACTACTAATCTCATTTAGTACCTTATTCTCTGAATTGGCTCAGGTTTGCAGTTGAGCAGGAAAACGGTTCAGTAGGAGGCTTTCCAGTAACAAAAACCTTGGGAAACCTTCCTCACAAACCAATGCACTTAGAAGAGCAAAGAGAAATACGACTGACAAATTGCTGTTACCCCCGTCTAGAATATCACTTAGGCACTGAACGTTCTCCTTCAGCGTCTCTTGGCATGCACACTTACACTAGACTCAGTACAGAGTCCTTCAGCTTTATCGAGTGCAGACACTTCTTCCAGTTGGATACAGCCGAGTGCACATAAAGCCTGTGAGAAAGGACAGATCAGGGAGGGTTAGCAGCAAGGCCCCACATCTTCAGCCTGACTAGGCTTGAATCTTTTTTTCTGGTAGAAAAGCTAGAGGTTAGGTAAGGAAGTGAGGTTAAATCCCTGTGCCTATGATGAGCTGAGGGCTCAGAACAATAAGCAACGAAAATCTACACCAGAAACAAGAAGTGAACTAAAAGTGTGCGGATGTGAAAAGTGGAGCCCACCGAACTGAGGTGACAGATCTGCCAGCCCAAGGGCAACCTACCAGCCATTCTGTGCTCCCAGCCACATGGTGGGGGCAGCACTGGTGCAGGTCCCAGCAGCATCCCCATTCAACTCCTGATCTGGCAGTGTTGTGGTTGACTCTGTCTTCAGCTGCTCATTGTCCCTGAAGAGGCAAAAGAACACTGTTAGAGGCTTTAGTAGCATCAATGTACAGAATGCTCATCTACGTTCACAGTCTGGCATTCACAAGCAGATAAGGGCCCATGTATACACAAATCACTTCCTCCTCTTCAGTGTTCTTTAACTGCTTGACTCCTGATTCTGCAATTTGCAAAGCTTCCTTTTTTTCCCCTTCAATACAAATAGGAAGTATTTAAAATCTATAGAACTTAACCTAGTGTTTGGCAGTAGCATTACATATATAACATCTTCTCTGTTAATTTCCAACTTCAACAGAAAAAACTTAGAACAACTTGGTCATTTAGGAACAATTTTTATCCAAGACTTCCACCTTGCTCCTCACGCCATCACATCAGACTCATTTGTCTTAAGAATTTTTGGGCAGTGAATATGCTTTCTTCATTATCCTTACAGCACATTAGAGGTACTACTAGAATAAATAAGTTGTAATTTTTACCCATGAATGAGTAAGTTCCTTCAATAAGAACATTAAGTGTGCATGTACTTTGGAAGACCTGTCTTAACAGCTGGTCTAAATTCATACTGAGAGACCAAATATTTGAACTTAAAACAGCTGACAGTCTGCTGCAGGCTGAACCACGTTTATTTTCATTTCATTTCAATTATTTGTCATCCCGTCTGTAAAACTATTTGGGCACAAAACTGAAAAAAAGTTTGACACATTATCAGAAGATAAAGCTGGTTCTCCTACCAAAAAGCTTATGGAAACAGAGCTGATAAATAACTGAACTGGCACTTTGGCCCCAGACTACCTACCCATTCTGCCTAAGAGGTGCCTGTGCAGGGACTGGATCTGTAAACACGTGCTCCGTGAGGGGCCCAGGCCGGGCCTCAGCAGGCTCTGCCTCACCTGGACCGTTCTCTGGTACCTCCATAGCTTCTGTTGCTTCCTCAGTAGACTGGGACTGGTTGACCTTCCCATTGCAGACAGCAGCCACTTCACCTAAAAGACAAAGAACAGTGTGAGGCACAATGGAGAATGAACTGGTAAGTTACCTATACAGAAATCAGGCTGTTATTTTTTAATTTATTCTTCTTTGCCAAATTCAATCAAGCCCTGAGCCTGCACCACAGGCAGCAGATCATTGAGTGTTTTTTCCTGCTTGGATGGGCAACAGAGGCTATTTTAAAGTGAGGTGCAATCTGTGACTAGCAAACCATCAGAAATTCTCCAGGGCTGCCCACTGCAGTATGGAGTCAGCAAGGGCATCATTATAGTTCTCATATGGGCTTAACTGACTTCACAAGAAGACTTGGTTCACAGGAGAAAGCAATGAGAACAGAAGCAGTTGTAGCAGGGCAAACATATCACCTGTTCAGAATACACTGCTATATGACCCCTGCAACCAGGCTGCAAGATGTGAATCACTCAGAGAGAAAAGGAGGGCTCTGAAGAGAAATGTACCAAAAGGGTCTTTGCTCTTCCTGTACCACATTAACAAACATCTTGAGGTCTCTGAAGTAGAAACTCAGGGACAGGATGCAGCTGTAAGGCCATAAACTCATACGGGACTAGCTATAATTGGACTGCTGTTAAGTTTTATGTCCCAAAACTCACTCTGTCCCTTGTCCAGCACAGGTGTGTCACCACGCGAGGAACAGTTGCTTCGTGGCACATTGCAGCGGGTTGCACAGCCCACCAGAGTGATTCCTGCCAAGACACCATCTGTTCCAGATGACTCTTCAGGATTTACATCTCCCTCCAGAAAGATCTCGCCTGGAGGATAATCACTCTCACTGGCCGCTGAAGGGCAAAGAACAGATTCTCCCATAAATCTAGCTGTCACTGCTAATTTAAATGTAGCAGTACTCCTGAGGTGACCATACGGATGGAAGATGCTGACCCTCAGGGTTCACTGCCCCGGGGAGGCACCACAGCATCAGTCAACGTCATGGCGAATCCCCTCATCCCTAGCATCAACACCCAGGCCAGCTACAGAGCCCTCCCAAACCTGGGAAAGCTGAGTCTTGCTCCCAAGAATCATCCTTTAAGTGACAAAGGAACGACTTACTAAACATTCAACAGTGAGGGATCTCCACAGAAACGTCCTACAAGAAGGCAAGATCCGAGTTACGGTTTTGAGGGACAATTACAGAATGCAGCAGGCTCCAAGGGTTAGTTCTGAAGTGAGGATCCTGCTTTTGTCACTCCTCAGTGGAGCAGGTGACCCTGGGCAGATCACAGCCAGTGCCTGGGCCCCACTTACCAGGGATGCTGGAGATGCAGAGCACATGAGCATTGCAGACAGTGAACTGGTCCACCACTGTGCCAGGCTGATTGGCATCAATAATTACAACTTTACTTGTTGACAGCGTGCTAGTGAGGATCCAGACACGACTGGATGTGGCATCCATTTCATGGACTTCCTTTGCCTTCAGGAGAGCAAACACACAGGCAAAATTAGTGCTGCTCTCAGATCAGATTCAGCATACTAGTGCTTGGCAACATTTACACATGCAAATACCACAATGCCAGCCTCAAAGAGCAAAGCCTCTTCCTAGCTGATGCAAATAAACAATATCAGCTATGCAAATTTCATTCACATTGCTGCACTAGTATCTAGATAGAACACCGTCCAAAGAGCCTATCTGGCTTCCTAGGGCAAGAGAAGTTTGGCCATTAATTTGTCTTCCAAGATGTCTGATTAATGTATCACTGAACATTCACTTTAGACAAAATACCATGGAGCTGGGCTGCACTCAACCTACCAGCTTAAGCAAGCTCATCTCAGAAGACTATAGGGCAGGAATGTAAGACAGCTGTGGGAAAAAACTCCACAAAGCAGAAAGGATAAAATGCTGTATTATTATCTGCAAATTACAGCTTGGTTCTTAAAAAACCAAACCACCTAAGACTGTTAAAAACCAGACCTGAAATACAAATCTCAAGAGCTTCAACTTCTGAACCAAATGGGCTCATGGACTCTGCTATGTCTATGTTCTTTTTGACAACCCTTTGCTGGAATTTAATTATGATTTTTTGAATTTACAGTGATGAGGATTCTATAATCTTCCTAGCAAGATCATCAAGCACTTAATTATCCTTACTATTAGGATTTTTTTCAAAATTCCAAACGTTTCAAAAGCAGAAGCTGGAATATTTTTTCCTGGATCATTTATCCCAAATCACACAGAAAGTTACTTGAGAGCCAGAACAACACCACTACCCTGGCCGACAAGACAATGCCTCAAAAGTACAATTTAGAGCATTATATAGCATAGTAGAAAGGCATTAAGAGAGTGGGCATGTCAGGGCTAGAATGAGAAAAAACACCAGAGGGGGAAAAAAAACCCAATTTTGTTTTCTGACCTTCTTCTTTTCAGGAGATGTATGATTACTTTTGTTGTTCTCGCCTTCCACTTCCCTGTCACAGGTGAGGGGATCACGTCCAGGATCCAATTTCTGCCCATTCCCAGGCTCCTGATCCAAAGGTCTCCATCCCATGAGATTGACTCCAGCTGCACACCACAGCTAAGCAACAGAGACAAGAGTCTTAAACTAAGAATTTTGGAGGGTCCTGGGTCTCTTTAAATTCAGACACCTTTGTAGAGAACTATGTGGGACACATGTCAAACACCTAAAATATTTAGTTGAAAACAACAGATCTTGTTGACTTCTACTAGAAGACATAGTCAGATTTGATGGAGGCAAGATAAAGGCTCTCTGTAATCTAGAAAAAAACACTGTTTTTTTAACAGATGTGACTAAAAGATTTAAAGAAAAAAAAAGGTAATAAATCAGATGTGTAGCTGAAAACAGGCTTCTGAAATGTCCTCAGTTTTTCTGACTCTGGGGTTCCTAAGTCATTGTAGCAATGCAAGAAGAACATGGCAGATGCTACTAGCTCAGGGTATGATAAGCATGACTGCTTAACTAAAATTGACAGTGACTGCTTAGCTGACGATACACATTCAGTGCATTCCTGTTCCCTAGTTCCCCTCCCACACCTGGCACTCTTCTGCTTCCTCACACACTCCTTTGCCCAAAAACCAGTGTTTGTCTGATCTTAGAGAGATAATTAAAGAACTAATACAATAAAAAATTAAGGTTTTTTTTTTTTTTAAAAAAGGGAAATGAGAAAAAAAGTTCTCATTTAGCTCCCTACATAACAAGTGTAGAGTGAAAGAAGCACACTGCATATTTTATGAAATAAAATTAATTTAGCTAACTTCCTATAAGCTATTTCCAGATATTTTTTTAGAAGAATGCTGGGAACAGGACTACAGAAACAAATACTGGATATATCCAAAATCATAAAGGAAAGATGCTCAGGAGAATATTATCCGAAGATCATGCCAATCATCTAGAAACAACTAACAGTGTAAGAATTTTCTTACAACTTAATCATCAGAATGACATCCAAAAATCAGCTCTGAATGAAGTTAATGACAAACTGCCTATTTCAAAACAACTAGTTAGAGCAGACACCTGCAGAGATGACCACCTATTCTCAACTGCAATTCTACTCAAAATATTCTAGTACTGATAGACAGCTTCACAAAAGTGTCCTCTATATAATTTTGTCCTGTTACCAGTGAATCCTGGTTAACAGTGGAATCTAAAAAAAGTGATGAAACGCATTTTTACTTTCACCTGTTTGTTTTCATTAATTTTTATATTGTTCTGTATTATACCCTAAGAAGTCTTAGCAAAAAACGGTTGCTGATATTGTATAAAAGCTGTCTCAAAAAGGCGTAAGATGTAAGACAGAAGCATGGGACCTAGCAACCAGAATCAGCTGAGAATTATGTCCTCAGAGAGTGAGGTACTTTTCCCTACATATACTAGAAACCACCGCTCAAAAAAAGGAAGCAGAAGATAGAATTTTGAATATATAATGTACAAAAAAATAGAGTGCTGTAAAAATTGCATATTCAGTGACCAAAATTCTTTGCTTATTCCATATCCCCCTTCTGGGCTGGAATGGTATGCAGAGACAATGTACCTTCATGGTTGGGTCCTTCTCTACTAGTGGGCGACAGTATACAGGCACGGGAACGTTTTTCATGCGAGTGTCTTCCTGACCACCATTGGGACTCAGCTGTGGGGGAAGGGAAGACGAAAAATACATTACAAAGCTGTAAACACCAAGCTATGGTAAGAGAGATGTCACTAATATGGCAGAACCAAACTTGCTAGCCCTGGAGATGGGTGCTGCTGAGGTTTCATCTCACATCTTGAATGAAACAGTGTCCCTATAGGGATGGGAGCAACCTACCCAAGAGACTGCCTCTCTCACCATGATATAGTGCCCCAGTTATGGTCAACAGAGGCTATATGCTGCACTCCTGATGGAGAAAGGGTTGTTAATGGGCGCTCCCTGCAAATAAGTTAAAACACTGGTGTTCCCTTCCATCATGGCCTGAAATTCATCCACTTTCAAGCCACACTGCAAGACTCCGTTCTTTCAGGTGGTCTTTGACCAGTTATATGAGTCATAGGCCAACAAATAAGGCTGACAACATTTGATTTTGTATTACTGCTGGGGACAAATAGAAGCAAACTGCACTGCATTTGATTTTTATACCGAACGATTGGTAAAGGTCTCGGAGTATAAATGAAATATGTAATGTTCAAGCCCGATTACGATAACAAAGGAAATAAAACCAAGTATTGGGCTCTGAACAAAGAAGTTTAATTAATTCCTTTTGGTTTAGGGTAAGGTTTTCAGCACCTTGATGCAGAGGAATGCCCCCTCCATTGACCTTGGTGGGGGTACAGAAAACATTAATTTGATCTTGGCTACAATTATCATACAAATACAACACGCACATTATACCTCTAAATGAAATATTTAAGGACTATGGCTAAAGTTACCAGTGGGAGAGTTAGGTCTTCACTGTGAGGGCTCAGCCTGCCCGGTGAGTGGTCCCTACCTGCTTGTACTTGGCAGGGAGGCTCCAGCCACAGGCCTGCAACCGCCCGTCATCATTCCGCACATGCTCCCGGACCTGGCGGTACTGCTCCCGTTTCTGCTCCCGACGTGCTGAGGATGTACAGTCACTGAGGAGAGAAGCAACAGTGTTACTTCTCAAACTGGTTGAAAACAGAAGCTGAAGATTAAGCAAGTGTCACCATAGCAGGGGAGAAAACAAAGTAAACCAAATCAATTTTTGAAAACAGATGCAGGAAATTGGAGACAGAACAACACTGTTAAGAAGCAGACACAGACATCCCTAACCTCTAACTCCCATTTACCCAAGTGATGTGGCAGGGACAATTCATTGTCATCTCCACTTCAGTGCTCCATGAGCCCTTCAGAAACAGGGAATCAACCTTCCATAAGACCTATGAATCTATGAAAGAAATTACACTAATTTTTGCACAGCTGTTACAATTTACTGATCTAATGTCTCCATCTGGAAGGCATTTTGAGTTCTTCCCCTCTTCACTAACTGCCCACTGCAGGAGAAGATCAAGATCCAGGCCATCTAAGGAACCTTAAAGTGCACAAGTCCATGGGACCTGGTGAGATGCATCTACAGGTCCCAAGGAAACTGGCAGATGAGATGGATAAGCCACTATCCATCATACTTAGGAAGCCGTGCAGTCCAATGAAGCACCTGACTGTAAAAGGGGAAACATAACCCCATTTTTAAAAAGGATAAAAAGGAAGGTGTAGGGAACTACAGACCAGTCTGTAGTTCCACTCTGCCAGTCTTCGTGCCTGGCAAGATCATGGACCCTCCTGGAAACTATGCTAGGGCACATGGAAAATAAGGAGGTGACTGGTGATAGCCAACAGGGCTTCAATAAGTGCAAATCATGCCCAGTGAATTTAGTCACCTTCTACAACACTGTTACAGCACTGGTGGAGAAGGGAAGAGCAACTGACGTCATCTATCTGGACTTATGCAAAGCATCTGACACTGTCCTGTACAACATCCTTGTCTCTAAGTTGGAGCAACATGGATCTGACAGATGGAGCACTCAGCAGAAAACAAATTGGCTGGATGGTTGCACTCAAAGAGTTGCAGTCAACGGCTCCATATCCAAGTGGAGAGCAGTGACGGGTGGCATTCCTCAGGGGTCAGTATTGGGATCAGCACTGTTTAACATTTTTGTTGACAACATGGAGAATGGGATTGAGTGTGCCTTCAGCAAGTTCCCTGACAGCACCAAGCAGTGTGGAGCGGGGACAGGCTGGAGGGCAGGGATGGCATCCAGAGGGACCTGGGCAGGCTGGAGAGGGGAGCCCAGAAAAACCTCATGGAGTTCAACAAGGCCAAGGGCAAGGTCCTGCCCATGAGTCAGGGCAATTCCCCTCACTGAGTGAGGAGTGGCTGTAGAGCAGACCTGTGGAGAAGGACGTGGGGTTGTTGGTGGGGGGAAAACTGGCTGTGAGGCAGCCCCGTGCACTTGCAGCCCAAAACCCACCCGTGCCCTGGGCTGCAGCCAGAGCAGGGGGGCAGCAGGGCCAGGGAGGGGATTCTCCCCCTCTGCTCCACTCTGGGGAGACCCCCCTGCAGTGCTGGGGCCAGCTCGGGGGCCCCCAACAGCAGAAGGACACGGAGCTGCTTGAGCGGGGCCAGAGGAGGCCACGGAGATGCTGGGGGGGCTGGAGCAGCTCCCCTGGGAGGCCGGGCTGAGAGAGTTGGGGGGGTTCAGCCTGGAGAAGAGAAGGCTCCGGGGAGCCTTTCGAGCGGCCTCCCAGGGCTTAAAGGGGGGACAGGAGAGGTGGGGAGGGACTCTGGATCAGGGGGTGTGAGGATAGGATGAGGGGTAACTGTTTTAAACTGAAAGAGGGGAGGTTTAGATTAGATAGAAGGAAGAAATCCTTCCCTGTGCGGGGGGTGAGGCGCTGGCCCAGGGTGCCCAGAGCAGCTGTGGCTGCCCCCTCCCTGGAAGGGTTCAAGGCCAGGTTGGACGGGGCTGGGGGCACCCTGGGCTGGGGGAAGCGGTCCCTGCCCATGGCGTGGGGGTTGGAACTAGGTAGCCTTTAATGTCTCTTCCAACCCAAACCATTCTGTGATTCTATGATTATCGTCAACAATTTCTTTTTCTGTCCATTTTAAAGCCTTCTCTGCTGACAAGGAAAATATGCACTAATTGCTGTTGAAACTGCTGGTTTCAACAGGTCAACTCCAGCTTTGCACTGCCAAAGGTTAAAAGGAAAACTGATTTGTGAGTTCTTAAGATACATTTTAATACAAAAAAGGCTGTTTGAATATCAGTTCCAGTTCTCAATAGGTTTTTAAAGTATCATTCCAAGGTACAAACAATGTTGGCAAAAAAAAATCCAATCCAAAACAAAAAACCCTACGCGCCTACACAGATAATGTGTATACTTGCATATATACTTGTAATATACTTACAAACAAAACCACTGCTAAAATAAAACACTTCCCTGCACATGCTTCCTCCCCTGGGAAGAGGATGAAACTTCTGACAGGAGTTAGTCACATCATTTAATGCACTGCTGAAAAGCACTCAAGACACTACACAATGACTATGATATTGTAATCAGATTAAAATAACAAAATAAAGGCTGTGGGTTATCTATAAAATATAAATTTACCCTTCTGAAGACAATCTCTCTTCTCCTGATCTATCCTCTTTCCAACAAATCCTTCTTATTGCAGTAGTTGTAATACTTTACCATCACATTCTCCAAAGTCCTTCCACAAAAACATACCACATATGAAACTGTACAACCTCGTAATAGTAGAACGCATTTTGAAGTCAAGTACAGCCCAGAAGAGTTTTCTCCCTTCATGTTGGAGACATAAAGAATAGGGAGAAGACTCTGCAGTAGCAACACGTGGTTAAGATTAAAACCAAATATAGTAACCTAAATGTGCTGCTGGGAGAACTTTTCTCTTCATCTAAACTCCATGACAACAGGGTTGGGCAAAACATTCCATCCCACTGTCCCAATGCTGCCATCACACTCTACCACAAAAGCCCTACTTCATTCTATCACACGGTCTGCAAACACGAGTGCAGAACTAGGGTTGAGGCCAACTCAAGCCCACAGTGGTCCCTGCTGAGGTGAGCCATCATGGCCTAGAAAGCCACGGCAGCGATAGGTTTGGGAGGACAAAGTGTGCTGAGCCCATTCACGTGGTAACTGATGAGTGAAAGATCAAGGAGATAAACCACAAGAGTCAGAAACATACTAACAGCACACAGACTTTTTTCTGAAGTGGAGAACAGCTTATTTTAAGAAAAGTTGCTGTATGGGAGAGCTGCAGGGGGACCTGGCTTGGCACACAGCATGCAACTCACTCTTCAGGGAAGAACTCCAGGGTGCGGCTGCCGGAGGAGATCTGGCACATGGTGTGACTGCGACGCTGGCTGAACCCTGCTGTAGTTGGAGACTTGTAGTGGATGTTCACAGATGGGTAGGTCCTCTTTGCTGGTGGGGGACTCGAGGAAGAGCTGAACAGACGGCTGAAACTAGGGACCGAAAAAGGCCAACAAATAAGAGAAAAGGTGCCTTAAGAGACAACACACCACAGATTCACAACAGGGGATGCAAGAGGTATGCAATCAGGAGCTGCAAGCTCTTCATGAAAACTTGTCCTACTTTAAACATACAGCTAAGTTCTCAGTTTGATTGACATAAGGTGTTTTTAGCTTCCAGAAACAGATATCCTCTGAAAACAGCCCTTTATTAAAGCTGATTGTGAGTGTATGCATGTTTCCATTCCACGATACTCACAATCTTTTTCAGCTTGTGAAACAAAACCAATGCCTATGTTCAGATCGGATTTTAATTTCACTACAAAGGAAGACCTTGAAGGCAAAAAGGTTCAGCTAACAACATTTTAGTTGACATTTCATTAATGTCAGAATTTATTAAGCTGCTGTCTAAAGTAGAAACGGCAACACTTCCCCTTTTCTTAATCTAACACAAACCACCAAAGAACTTACAACTGCCAAATGGTGGATTTCTTCTTCTCCTGGACGGATGGGTGCTCACGGGAAGCTCTAAGAACAAACACAGCAGAAGCAAGTTAATTTCAGCATCTCTTACCCAAGTTTCTGCCAACCAGCATGCCACTTCCATCAAGGAAGCCATATCAAAATTCAGAATTCATTCTAACATGTTTCAATACACCATAGAGGAAGTGACAGGCACTGTTCTTTAATGTAAGCACACCCAACCACTCAATGTTGACATGAAGTGCAACTGGGTTCAACAGAACTTTTATCAACTCCCTGCGGTGTATCATTGCCACAGTCCTAATCTGGTAACTACAAACCCCAGCATTATCATCACATCAAGCCATAGCCTTTATAATTCATTAATTTGAAGCAACCCTATAGCTTCTCCTAGCTTAATTAGAACACAAAAAACAATCAAGACAAACAACTGCCCAGCATCTCCAAGTAACTATGGCAACTATGGCACAGGTTCAGGAATAAGAGAGAATTAGGTACTAGGAGAGAAGCATCTACAGTTTGGAAAACTTTCAGCACTTCTCAACCCACATCTTGGTAGGGGTTCCATTAAGCACAAGGTCTAACATGGCCAGGTTCTGTTCTAAATAAGAACATTCACCAACACCCAGTCCTACCTGATCATCTCCGTCCACCTGACAGCCTCCTGGAGCTCCATCAGCCTCTCCTTGTATTGATTGCGCTCCATCAGAACCCGGGCCATTTCCACACGAGTGAAGCGGCGGCGCTGAGCTATAGGAATGTTGTCCTGCAGGGGGGAGGAGCACTGCTTCAGCCAACAAAAGATGGAAGGGGATTGATGTTAGTACAGGGTGAGTCAGGAGACAGAAAAGATGTATTTGTTAGTTCTCCTTCCATTCTGTTTGGTTACCCCCGTATGAGGTGCTAATCCTAGACAATGAGGCCCAAACAATGGCCCACAGACCTCTGGGGTGTTCTGCAAACCCATGGAAATTAGAATGAGAACGACCACCAAATTAAAAACCTCACCCAGGGACTATCACCAGCAAGGTGCTTTGATAGTCTGCAAGGAATTATGAGAACTGGCAGTGGTCTGTTGGTCCAGAAGTTTGGAAGCCCAAGTTTTAGTTCATTAGCAAAGACAGTCACAAGCAGCAGGGAACACCATGTAATGCCATCCATCCCCTCAAGAGGACTAGGAAGGAGGTGTTCTGTTACTACACACTGATAAAGGTGTAGGGCACAAGAAACTGAAGAAAGGCCCTTTTCTCTCTGGTGACTCAGCTTGGCCTTCCAATGAGGGCACGTGCAGCTTTAGCTTAGAAGGCAATAGGAATAAGATTGTGTTTGTCTCATTGGAGGAGCTGAAAATTAGAGCAACACGTCTAAACTGGGGAAAATATCTGCCCAAGAAGAAATCATAAGGATTTGGGGAACCCATTGCTAGGAAGTGGCACTGGGTTGTGCCCAGACTGTGGCAATTCCCAAGCTCAGCCTGGCTGCTGAGTACTGCTGAGAGCTGGAATAGTGCAAATTAACCAAGTCCCTCTCCAGCTTCCTCGGACTTGGAATAAACCTGTGTGACCAGTCAAAACAAAAAGTGTATAAATGAAAAGGAACTTTACAAACTTTTTTATTTCAAAAAACAGACTGCCTGTCAGTTCAGCTTAAAAGAAAACCAGCCCTCTCCAGCATTTCACAAGCACAATTTGAAAATTTTCCTATCTACCTAAATTCTCAACAGACCAAGTTCACCCCAGTTAAGTCAAGAGAATTAGGCTAGAATTGAACTTGCTCCAATGGCTTTTAAAAAGTAAGAATGCGGTAATGTTGAAGTGTACCTAATTCCCTGTCCTAGCAGAGTGTCATTCACAAGGAAAATCTGTTACCGCTTTGGTTTGTCTTTTTTCTTGGCTACAGTTGGTCTTTGTTGAAAAGCCTCTACCTCAGCCAAAGCAGTTTGAAGAGCTATCATAGAAGAACAGTCCATGAGCCTTTTCCACTTGTATCCTCTAACAGGCAGTACTGTCTTACGTAAAATAAATAATGAGAAAAACAATGCCGCAAGATTGAGATTACAGAACTAACAAAACGCAGTTACCGCTGCAAAGCTGTCTGTATAACCTGGATTTCACTGCACAGTGTCCTCACGGCCTACAGCTTCACTGCCAATGTGGAGACAAGCTCTCCTGGAGAAGCCCGACTATCACAAGACCCTGAGAGAAACCACACTGTGCACTAGACTTTACTGCAAAACCAGAGAGAACCAGATAAAATGGGAAGGTGATGAGCAGGGCACTGCTGTTGCACTGTTCTGCAGAAACCACATCATGCATGGTATTGCCGCTGTGTCGGCTGCTCATCTTTGCCAAACTGTGGTTTGAAAGTTGTATGAAGAAGTAATCTCACAGCACCTGTCTATTAGCAATGCTCATCAGCAACAGTTAATCAGCTCTGCCCTCATCATTAATGAAGGAAGATCAATCTGCATCTCAGGACTCATATATATGACGTAATATAGAGTAAGTATATAAACCCCCTTTCCCCGCAGGCATTTTAGTAATGTAATATACCAATTCTGTACAGAGATAGCTGCTTACATCCTCCACCTCCTCTTTGGGTTCTCGTCGGGCAACAATCGCTTCAGATTTCACTCTAGGAAACAGGAAGAAAGGCATCAAACCAGCAAATGATCATGGCTGGCCCTGAGGTGTTTTGGGAGGAGAACCATTTATGGGAAGGTCTGTCTGCATGCATCACAAGGAGACATTTTCAAACTGCGAGCTGAATGTACAAACTATGAGATGCTTCTCTGATATTTTTCCCTCTCGCAGCAAATTACTCTGTACAGCTTCACCAATATCACCCTGTTTCTTTGGAACATTTGATGTAAGCACCAAAATACTGACCACTGGAACAGTCCAGCCGATTTCTATTTCAGAGCCATAATCTATGTTCAAATGTCTGATGAGAACTTAGCCATGGGAAAATTGAGCCATTATCAGCAGTGAAAATGCTGGCTTAAGTTCTTCTGTTGGGCTGCTTCTATTTGCAATGCAGTGAAAAAAGCATTTAATGGGAAGCACAGTTCGCCATAATGGTAAAAAAGAGAACACCAAATCCATGTTATTAAAAAACCTATAGTATTTAACTGAGTGCTTTTAATTTCTTTAAACTCCATACTGAGGTGCAGTCATGAAGTCCCATTTGAATTATAAGCACTTTCATTAACAGCAAGGACACTGCAGGAAAAAAAAAAAATGCTGTCTCCGTCTCCTAAAAAGGCACACTTGCCAGTTAAAAGTCCATGTCCCTACAGTATATTATATTATACTCGTTATGAGAGACTCAAAAGGCATTTTAAAAAATCAGACCTATTTCCACTGCTTGTGAGACTACTTTAATTTCAGGCATTCTGAATAACAAAGAGACAGGTCTGTGTTATTCTTGGTGATTCTGTGCTCAGATTATAGGGGAAATCTTCAGTCCCAGCTGCAAATAAACACTGTCTTCTGAATTGAGATAACACAGTGCAATGTACAGCTAGTCAAAATGTAATTGCGTTGCTTTGAGCCCCATGGGGCATCTTTAGTTTTATGGACGTGAAATCATGAGAGGCTTTCCTAGGCATTCAGGCTCCAGTTCCTCTAGTTTGAGTGGAAAATAAGAAATGGGATCTCTCCAAATGTTACCGTTGTTGGACTTTAGAATCTCTTCTGCTTCTTCTTCTCATTCTTAACATGAACAATGAAACAACTGACAATACTGGCATTTAAACAGTGTTTGTGGGCATCTGTTTTAGCTCTTTCATTAAATGAATGGGCATAAATTCCCCTCAGTGCTGTCTTGGCTGCTGCGAGGATCAAGTTCCTGACAGTTCCCTTCAAAACTATTGGTTTTGATATTCCCTTTTTTATTTTTTTAAATTGCAAATTCAGACTCTGAACACTTCACTCCAGGGAGCCTAGATTTCCAGTTGCTGCTGCAGAATCTCAGTCCTGGGGAGGAAAATCCTGCAGGTTTTCTAAGGTTCAATAATCCATTTCAATCCAATAAAACCAACGTAACACTAAAAATATCTCAGCCACCTACAATCATCCTTGAAGTGCTCTGTAAGGTACCTATGAATTCCAGTGCTAAGCTCCATGAGGGAAACAGTAAAGCTAACAGGGGAGGTGGGTTTATCACTCATGTCCTTCCAGCTCCCTGGGGCAGGCTGTGAATCACTCACCTTTTCAGCTCCTCTTCCAGCTCCTTGACTCTGGTCTCCATTTTGGCTTTGGCCTGCTTTGTTGCTTCAAGCTCTCCCTTCAGCACTTCTTGCTCTCCAGACAGCTGGTCGACCTTGGCAATCAAATCATTCTTCACAACGTTCAAAGCATTTCTTAAAGGTGTGAAAGGAACAATAAGCAAAAATACTCAAAACCACCAGCTGTCCATAAGAGAGACCTGAAACTAAAGTCACAGGCACTACAAGAAGAGTTGAAATGAGAATATTTAAACAATTCAGTGCAGCTATAACTCATGGAAAATTAGATTTTGGCAAGAAGGAGATGCTGAAGAACATACAAATCACCATAATTGGTCAGGATGAAGTTTGTCCAGTCCTGTATCCTGACTCACAGGCCAACATATCTCCTTAAGACGGCAGAATACTGCAGAAAGAGTACTCTATCACCTGAATAAGACTGAAATCTATTTTTAACAAAATTAAGATATGAAATACACCTTTTGTAACTGCTGTTATCTGTAATTGTGGGTAATTGTGGATGATGGTGATATAAATAAGCATGTCCAATCAGCTCCAAAATATCTTAAAATCTTTAAAATCAGCAGCTTCCTATCACAGTTAGTTCTCCAAGTCTCTTCTGGGAGTACTTTGCCTTCCTCTTCCTGGCTGCTTAGCTTTAGTATCTGGTTTGCCAGCCTTTCTCAAAAAGTAAGTCCATTACATTGTCTGCTTCTCCTTTATCAACTATTAAATCTTTGCAAACTCTTCTCAATAATAAGAAAATTTTCTTTTCAAATATCAAACTTTGCAAATAAAAACTGATTTCAGTTTGGATCAGACCCTACCAGCACACGCCCAGAGACTTCACCCTAGTGCCCGCTGAAAGGGAACAGTTAGGAAAGTCACTAAGAAGAGCAATTCCTCTTCTACAATTGAAGGAACAAGTATTCAAGAGAACCTATTACATAAATGAGCAAGCCCCTGTGAGGCAGGAGTTCTGACCAAGACCTACTTCAAGATGACATCTCATTTATAACTAGGCAAGCAGTTCAGAGCACGCAACAGTTCCTTACTTGGTCTCCAGTAGCTGCGAGTTCTCCAACAGTAGATTCCCCACTTCTTTGCCCATTCCTGAAAAGAAACGCCAGGCAGTTTTCACCTGCTTGCCTAGAAATATGAAGCTTGTATGGCACTACCTGACTCATTTTTGAGAAAGAGAAATCACTTTTGTTAGGCTTTCCTAGGCTTCTATGCCCTGCTGTGGAGAATGGCGTGCCTCTTGCTGAAAGACCATGCAGAACAAGCAGAGACACCCATGTGTCCTTCTGTAAAAAGCCCAAATACAGACCCAGATTCTTACCCCAACTTTCCCAGATTCCCCTGAGAGGGACAGAGAAGAGAGCTTCACTAATGCAAATTAAGGGAAGTCAAGTCAGTAACTCCTGATTCAGCCATGAGTTACTGCAACCATTTTTTGTCATCACTCAGACAGAAAGGAGGTAGAGGTTCATGGGTTTGTCACAGAGGACAGCAGAACATTGTCCAAACTGCTGGCCAGATCTGCACATCAGTGATTTTCCTTCTTTCTTAGTATAAGTTAAATTTTCTGTTTCTCAGTACAGATTTGGGATCATAGTTGTGACCAGTTCAGTTCCCATTACCAGACTTCCACTAGAGCAATTTTAATAGGACTTTAGATTGTCCGTATCTCTCTCTACCTTTAACAGTCTTCCCACAGATGTTTAAAATCTGAAGTCTCAGTCCCATCACTTAAGACCCACACTCAAGAAAACACCTACATCAGCCACGCTGCACTTGCACTTGGGCATCAATATATGACAACTGCAATATGCAGACTGGGTCACAAGCGTTTTGAAAAATCTGGGGCTATGAGTGAAAGTTGAATTCAGTACTTCATAAATCCAAACAGAAAATAATTTAGGGACCAAATGCACATCTGGATTGTTTGCTGGCTCCTAGAGTCAGCTTCTGTCTTACAGTGGGGAATAGAGGCCATCTGAGAAACTAAAGGCAAAGAGGCCTCTCCCTGTCAGGGGACAGTGCTGAGGGTTGCAGATCATTTCTCACTGCAGAACCCAGAGCATGAAGAAGTCTCACAACCATCAGTGTTTGTGCTGATATGCTCCTTGTCCTGCCCTCTGAACTACCTCTTCCTTTACAGCAAAGACATCAACAGTTTTCATGATCCATTATTTGCTGATTAATTAATATTTGCAGTAAGATAAAAACAACACAAACTTGAAGTAAATGGAAGTTAGAGAAGCATGGTAGCATACAAGAAGTGAGAACACGCCACAACACTCCAACATACAGATCCTCTTCCCACAGTTAAATGGGATGAATTTATGACGGCAAAAGCAAATTCCCAGCAAGGATGAGTAAGAAGCAGCGTTTTCAAGTTACTTTTGAAACATTAGTGGACAGATAATCAATCACTTTGATGTTTCAGGCAATGTATTCTTTGGATGCTGTGTCAAAGAATACTGAAAACGGCAAAAAAGTGAGAGACACTAACTGCAGTGTAAACTGAGGTGTATTTTTGGTTTGGTGAGGTGAATGACCTGTAGCCCCTTCTTTTGTGTCATGCCCTATGTTGATCAGAAGACAAAAAAGTCATCTATTTATTAAATTATTTTCTTGTTCCTTTTTAGTGATTCTACAAATTATCAAATATTTAGCCAGTAAGACATTAAAATGGCACAAGGATGTTACAAGTGTTGAGAGACATCAAGGGAAAGAGTTCATCCCCAGTTTTTTTAGACTAAATAATTTTCGTTCTCATTCTTGAGTCATCTATCCCTCTCTGCAGCTGCTTCTGGGAGAGAAAGGAACTCTAGTGAAGAGGGTGAGCTATCATGTCAGAACTAAAAGCTGTACAGCATCCCAACTATGAGTATCCTCACCACAGCTCTCACTTTATTTGTGTGTGACAAAGTGACAGCCCAATGCTTCAACCAGGGAGAGGTCTGGAGGGCTAGTCTTGCAATAAGGAAACGGATGAACCCTCCCAGAGCCATAGAATGGACACTATGAAATAAACTTATGCAGGCTGTAATGGGGAAGTCCTGCTCATGGGGAAAAAAAACACTACTGTGGAGTGACTAAAAGGAGATCTCTTCACCCTTTTGTGGCATGAAGCAAAGGGAAGAGAGGTCTGGACAGAGCCCATCCTACACTGTCCACCTCCCATAGCCAGGCAAATAGTGTGAAGCATCAAAGTGGATAATCAACTACAAGAAACAGAGGAGAATCCCCAAACCACCATTACTGACCAGCTGCATCCTGCTTCCTGGAGAGGTGATACCACCATCACAAAAAACCAAACCAAGGTAATGCAAGACACATGGAGGAATGTTGAGTGGATGGAAGAAATTTAGAAAAAAAAATGCACATTTTAAAAAAAAAGAGAAAAAAAAAAGAAAAAAGGCCTTCGCCTTACCAAAGAAATCATCCCGTACTATGAGAGCCATCCCATACGAGAAAGGGAACAGAAAGAGATGGGGACAAAGGGGAAGAAAGGAAGAGAAAAAAAGCAGCCATTAAGTACCAGTCTGTAAAAAACAAACAGAGCAGCTCACCATCTGTGTGTGGTGCCAGTATATGTGATGGTCAGTAGTAACTAATCTGCATCTTGTTCTGCTGCAGCCTGCCCTAAGAGGGATTTACACCTGAGAAGTCAGGACAAGCTCAAGATGAGCTCATTTGTTTCTTCCATCTTCATCATTTCCCCCAGACTACACATCTTTGGGTTTCCCATCCCCGCAACAAAAGTAATTCAACAGACATTATGAACAGGGTGAGGGAACGACAGGGCCATGAAGAAAAACAAAAGGGGGTTGGATATCAAAGCTCTCATCTGGGCTTTTTGCACTGGCTCAAATCCACCTCCACACTGTGGCAAACTCCAACTCAAGTTCAGCAGGAGGTTTTCTGAGAAAGGACCACAAAAAAGTGGCTTACAGGAAAAATAGTTTGAACTAAAAGAAAGGATGATGCCATCCCTTTTGCTCATAACCTCACAGAGCCAACACCAAGAGGTGTCAGGCAAAGGAACATGATAGAGCTTATCACCTCACAGCACTGGGCTATTGTATCTGCATAAGTCACCTGCCTTTACTTCAGGGAAAACTTCATTCAATTTGCAGTGAAATCAAAAGAGATCCCCTTGACTTCATCTGAAACTGCATCAGGGCCCAAGTGTATTTTATGGAAAGGTGCAAACGTTCTGATGACAGCACGTGGCCCTAAGGCAGTGAGTCTCCTCCAACAAAAGACTGAGCTGTCACTTAAACTCCTGTCAAAAGGCAAAGCTTCCACAGAACGCAGAGGCTTTGCCACTCTAATCCATCAAGTGTCTTTAATGTCACTGCAGCTATTCCAGAAGAGGGCCAGTATGCATCAACTAACCCACAGCAGGCATCATGCACATGGAGGGATTCCTCACGGCATGGTTCACTGAGAGGACAGTGGGAACCTAGTTCAATTCTGTGCCCACCCAAGCTCTGATCCAAGCACAGCACCCGTCCTAACAGGAAAAAAAGCACTCTGAGCCCCAAGATCTTGAGTGACAGGCCGGTGTAACACAGTGGAGCAAACCTGCAGAAAGCCACACAAGGAAAGCTTATCGGAACGCAGCAGGTGTGTGAACACAGAGCAGGGACGTCCTGCTGCCCAGGAACCTACTGGTGCGAGGCAACCAAGCGAGGCGAAGGTGGGAGAAATCTGCAAAGCCAATCGTGTTTGGACAAGAGCAGGGGAGTATCACATGTGTATACCATGTCATTTGACCTCGACAAGGGAAAAAGAAACAAGAAAGGAAACTGAGCAGAGGAGATACACACCTGAGAACTCCCCTATGGGCCATGTCCAGCGAAGCACAGAGAGACAAGGGAAAAAAGGAAGTGAAAAAAGGATCAATCAGTGACTGAAACCAACAAAATAAAAATTTTGTTCAAAGAAAATTAACAATGATTCAGCCATTTCAATGTCAAAAGGCATGGAATAGTAAGGACAGGACCTGCCATGACTGTAGATGGCATGACTCTACATACAGGACATAAAAAAAAGGGAAAGTAACCTGTGGTACAACTGAAACCATATGCCTCAGCTACCTCTTTTTTCAGACATGAATCTTAGGCAATCACATCTTACTGGACTCGATAAACCTTTATTTTCTCTTTATTTAGTTGTGTACCACTAAATGCAGAACAGCTAGTTCCCACTACCTTCTCATTTCCCCTCCTCCCTTTATGATCCCATGATTTTAGCAGCTAGATCTTTTGATAATAAATGTGCTCTTTAGTGATATCTCAACTTGCAAAAGACAAATTAGTTGCATTTAAAAAACTTTTTTTTCTTTTTTTTACCATGCAGTGCTGAGACTCAGTTTGATAATCCCACTTCAACTTCTGTAGAAAAAACTATACATAAACTTACCGCTAATATGGCTGAATTTCTCTCTTCACCACAAAACCCTTGTTATTTGAAGGGAGTTTTTAACCTCCAAAACAAACACAGTCGGGTATCCTAAAACTGAAAGGAAGGACCTGCCCATAACATACAGCCAGACTGCTAGTGCTCCTTCACATCCAGAAACTCTTGGGATAGGGAAGAGCAGGAAGAGGGAGATGGGAGAAGGGGACGCCTACCCAGGATTGGGAGGCAAGAACTTGGAATTAACGAGTGAATACACAGGAAAACAGCCAACTAGTGTTCCTAAGGCTGGAGTGAGAAAGAAGGGAATTTGGTTTAGAGTTACCACTACTAAATAATTGTTCTCACTCCACATTTTTCTCCAGAATACCTCCTATGCAAACTCATGTATGTAAAGCACTATTAGACACAGGGGGGGAAACCAACATATTTATTATTTTATATTCAAAAACCGCAATGAAGAGTGATAATTTTGTACCACGAAATGTTGGCCACTTTGCAGATATCTAAAAGGAATGAGTGAGATTTTCCACTCAAGAAAGAGACTTGTCTACCAGCTACTGCTCAAGGGTCATTTCTGTAAGATCCTTCTATTCTGAAGTCCTGTTCAATGAGACTTCTTTTTCTTTAAGAATCTGAGTCCAAAAGGAGAGGATATTCTTTGAAGATCGATTGCCAAGTTTTGAGAAAAACTAGAGGAAATACTCAAATTTCACTTAGGCAGGGTGAACTTCATTATTTCTTCTGATTTAAATAGAGAAGTGAGCTTCAAATACAACCCAGAAAGAGAGGGAACTCTTTTGGCTTTTGGATCTTGTTTCTTACATCATGTCCATGAAGTACAATTTCCTCTGTGGCTCTTCAGACTCAAAGGTACAGAAGGAAGACAGAACAATTTATCTAACAAAAAAGGAAAAATTTTGAATAATGTTGACAGATTTGTCAGTACTAAAATCTAGCCTTTTGCTTCCACCCCATCAGGCTTTCTACTGTGCAAAGCAATTTCATTTCTTGGTCAAACACATGACCTAAGATCTCTCTCTGTCTCCATCCCTTTGTACATTCCTGGCAACACGTGTGTTCATTTTAAGGAACGCTTTTCTGTGGACATAGTCAGTAGCCAGAACTCAATAAAAGGATTAATTAGATTAACATTTCTCACAGAAAACTCATACAACTACCTAACTTCATCTCAGTCCATCTCCGAGGTTTGAAAAGGAACCAGGAGAAGCCTTCCTATTCTGCTAGCCTGCCATGCAATCACCTGCAAGAGTTTTGCTGCTCTGCTCAAACCAGAAAATTGTCCCAGAACAGCAATGTGCTCTTCATAAGCCACCCTATGCGATCTTCATAAGCCACACTTACAAAGGCACTGTTTAATGGCCTCTGCATGTTTTTATTACAAGTGGTAACTGCCAAACAACAGACATCTCACAACCCAAAATCAATCACTGGTCTTTGGGCAGTCTTATTACAGGAAGAAGTGAAGCACCTCTGACTTTCACTGAAACTGTGATGATCAACCTTGCAAGGTTTGGGCAACTAAAATCTTTGGGCCCTTTGAAAACAGTCTGCATTTCTTACTGATCACTGGGTCAGACTACAGGGTAATCCAAAGGGGATGTGGATTCCCAGAAGGCTGACTTCCAGAGTCGGGAAACAAGTTGTCCAAAGCAGTTCATACACCAAACAAATAATTTTCCTGAATAGTAATGCTTAGAAGCTGACAATCCCTGATGTCCCAGCCATTCTGGGGAGAGAAGGAAAGCAACAGTTGGCACAGCGATTAGTGGAAGATAGCCATATAAACAACCATACACTCTCTTAGATAAGGATGCACCTGAGGACCAAGATAAAAGAGATGGAAAATGGGAAGACTGTCCGTGTTTTTACAGCTTTGATTCTGCTAGGAAGAGACTTCTTGTTAATGTATGGGGGCTGGCTACCCAAAATTTACTCCACAGAAGGTAGATAAAGCTTCAACCATCACATGTACTTCCTTCCGTCATGTTCACTTTAACTCTTAAAAACTTTAAAAATTCTTCATTTTGTAAGTATCTGCACACAGTCTCTCTAATTGTAGGCAGAGAAAGCCTGTGCATTCATCCTGAACCTTCTGTAGTATTTTTTTTCATCTGGAAATCTTGATTTGGAGGTGAAACAATAAATATTTTAACACTTCAGGCAGTGGTCATCGATCCATGCATGACATCTCCCTTGTATGTTGCAGGGCTAGCACAATGCTTCTAAGAAAAAACAACAAAAAAAACCCCAAAGAAAAAAACAAAACAAAACAAAAAATCTACCCATATCAAAAAGATATTGCAAGTGTTCTGATGATAGTCTGGATCTTGTTCTTATACTCCAGTCACACTGGTGCCTACAATAGTAACATTTCCACAGATATTTTATTTTGTCTTAGATAAAGCAAGAAGCATTGTATTAACCTCCTTTCCAGTCTTCAGTCCACACTTTCACGGTTAACTGTTTGGTGAATAGGGTAAAATCTATGCCCTCTGCAGAAACATAACCCTTTAGAGGGTCCTGATACAAGACTCATATTCAAAGCTAATGTCTGTATTTTCCTGATTTAATTCTGCAAAGGTGAGCTGCTGCAAACCTGTGATGAGATTCAGCTCATCCTGTTCTGAACATATATACAGTATCAAATTTGTAAGATTATCCATAAGCAGCTCTTACATCAGCAATCACCAGAAAGGAAATGTATACTTCCAGATCCTACTAAATGTATAGTAATGTATACTTCCAGATCCGCTACTAAAGCATGAAAGGCATACTGTTAGAGTCCTCATGTCTTCTAAGGCTCCGTTAAATCAAGCAGTAAACTGGAAAGTGAGCTACGGTTAAAAATTTGTGAGCTGCCTGTGTTGTCTGCGTATTCAAAGACCACTCATACTGTCCTGATTCAGGAAAACAGGCAGCAGGACTTAAGAACATGATTAAATTCTGTCATCAATTAATGTCTAGATACTCAAGAGTCCAACATCAAAAAGTATGACAAGGCCTCAGACTGCCTCCTGAGGCAAAGCTGCTTCTCTGACTGCTCCAAAGTCCTGGTCAGGAATATGGAATACAACCGTACTTTAGGTTTTACAAGCTCTTTCAAAATCAGCCTAAAAAGTAAATTACTACATCTCTTAGACTGACTATAAAAGGGTAAAAACTGCAATACAGACTGCAATATTTCCGTATTATTTAAACTTTTAAAACTTAACAAAATTAGTTACTTTGTTGCAAATTTTAAACAAACTATTCCAAATGAAATGGCTATTGTGTAAAATTACTGGGTGGGTGGGTGGGGAAATTTGGGGGAGGAAGCCGAAGGAGCAAATTTTGCCTTTGAACAGTTTGTGTGGGAGAATCCTGTAGAAAAGTAACTTACATACATAAAGACAACCCAAATAAAAGTTACCCAACAGTTTAAGTTATTTTCTAAGTAAGCATTACTGTACTGCAGGTACATATTTCAGTCACATGATGCCTCAATTTCCATGCCATTTTTCAAAAACCTAAACATCCAATTTATGAAAAAAAGAAACGAGAATTTAAGTACTTCTAGAAGCTTAATATAGTTGTCATTGTACCAGAGAAAACAGAATGGTTCTAAACAAGTTTTTACCTAGCAGATCTGCTCCTTCATCAACATCTCCGATAACCTCAGACCCTGCTGTGGAAAGTTCATGATACAGAGAGTCTGTGTTGATGCCAAATGCTTTGTTCACAATCCCTTGTGTTGGGCTGTTGTTGAAAGAAAAAAAAAAAAAAACCAAAACAAAACAAGGACTCTTGTTACTTGGCAACATTTAAGCTAGAACATTTTTCTATGAAATACTGAGCATCCCAGACCATTGTGATCAAAACCCTGAGAGCACACTCCACCTGTTCATCATGGGCTCATTCAGGGTACATACGGAATTTAAAAAATCATGGTTTATTCCCTGTATCAAGGAAAAGGACCGATCATGCACAGCCTCAAAGCTCACCCAGACAACTTCCTTTTAAATTGTAACAGTTAATGACTATTCAATATTTGATTGAAAAATTTCAATTTGCAGAAGCTCTCAGCTCTGACTTTTCAGACTCTGCAAGGATTCCCACACTCCTATCAATTTAGATAGCAACCTTAGAGAGCAGTAAGATCAGATAAGGACTCAAATGTTAAAAAAGGCAATGGCGTTCTCTCTTTGCCAACCAGTAACTGAAATCAGCCTGATGGTCAGTTTCTTCTTCGGGTGAGTGCCAAAACGCGTCTTCACATGTCAGCAAAATGTATTTCATTAAAGGTAAACCAACGTTAATGTTTTCTAATCATATCATATGGGAGCACATTTCCACCTCTTGGTGTCTTTGGTACCACCAAGAATCTTCTTGCATTTCTTGACAGTCTCATGGCTCAAAGAGACAATAGCTGTTACAGGAGGTGAGGGTGAGGCAACCTCTGGGACTGTTGTTGCCTATTCTAAAAAATGGTCTTTATGTGGGTATAAACACTTCTAAGTGCCCTGACTTGTATGAGGGGAATCAGCCAGCACGAAGAGAATTGTGCAATTTTTCCAGCAGTCTAACAGAAAGGTCAGTACCACTGGAGATTATCTCAAATTGCGTGGCTTCATTCTTAGATAAATCAAGTATCGGTGATAAAGCCTAGAGGTTACAAATGGGGTGTGGTATTGCCTCTCATATTGCAGAGTTACAGCACATTGCAGAGAAAAGGAAAAAAAAAATGGGTTTTTTTTTTTCAATTATAGCAAAATTACATCTGAGAGCACTGATGAGTTACAAATGGGTGCTGTGACTACACCAGATTTAATCAGTTCATGCAGTCTAATGGACAGCATAAGTGACAAGAAGCAACCAGCACTCAGTGTCTAACCTGAAGACCTAATTCAGCTTGACTCTACCTTTTCAGCACTCAACTTTCAGAAGCTGCATATATCTCAGAAGCATTCTGCTTTTAAAGCAGCAAGCACTGTTCAGCAGCTTGAATTAGCTTGTGTCTCCTGAAGCTTTCAGTCTCCCTATCTGCATGAGAAATCACTGCCTGAATAGCTCCCAGTGCAGCAATCCTCTCGGTTCCTTTGTTTTCCTTGGTTTGACCGATTTTCAATCTGATCTCATCAGTCACTTGTCTTCCCTGCACCTGACCCTAAAAATTGTCCACGCATCCTACATATTCTGAGGAGAGCTTAACAGTATGTGGTTTGAGAGCTGAGAAATGCATCTGTTATTGCTGCTCATATCCTTCTCGATGAGGGTGCTCAACAGGGTGAATCCAGTCCAGATTTGGACTGTGAGAAAATACTGCCTTAACTTTGTCAGAGTACTATCTTCTGCATACCTGTAACAGCTAGGGGATTATTTTTGCTGGTGTGGTGCCAAATTACCCTCTGGATGAGGGTAAAAATTAATGAATCCTGTAAAATTAACCACCTGACCTTAGCAAAAATGAATCAAGGTACCTAGCCTAATAATTCTAGGCTAATACATGCCTCACAGGAATACGGTGCCAAGATTAATCGCCTTTAGGGAGCCCCTTAGTTAGCACAAAATGGGTGATGGATAAGAACAAGAGCAACAGAGTAGTTCAGGAGAAGTCTGCTAATTCAGAGAACGCTGTTGAGGTCCTGAGCACAACGATGGGTCAAAATTGCTCGGACCAGCCTCACCCGGGACCCGCACCCACCCACTGGCTCAAGGGCTCCCTTTAACCTCAGGCCTGTGCCTTCAGTCCTCCTCTGAGCTACACTTTAGGTGTACTTGTCTTCAGCCCTGTCTCCCTCTCATGGCTAGCGCCAGGACCTAATTCATCCCCTTGCCTTGTCTGGGGCTGGAGCCTGTTATCAGTTGTCTGCCCTCCCTGCTCAGAACCTGCAGCACTGTGATCACGGGGGTTACTCATGGAGCAGCCCTGCTCCTGCTCTTCAAACACCTGAAAAAAATTAAACTGAAAAAAACATTGAGGTTTTAAAACTGAATTCAGAACTGATCTCTTATTAGACAAATGCATCTTTTCCCTCTCTCTGATAGCTTAAGCCCATCTCCCCTTTGCCTGTTTTAAACTTCCTGTTGCTCCATCTCTCCGTCCCCCCTGATGCAGGAAGGCAAGCAAGGCCAGTTCTGGGTCAGCTGGACAGGTCCTTCTGCAGATTACCAGCAGACATTTGCCTTCTCTGGAGAACCCAAAGAAGGTCAGGGCACCTCATATTCACACTAGGCAGAGTATATGGACTTTCTCGAACAGCTGCATCTTGAACTCAGTGTGAGCCACAGCATCCATTCCTCACTCATAAAACTAAGCAAAAGAGAACACAGTGAAAAGTCACAGTCTATACCTGTTACCGGTGCGTTCCAACCGGGGGTCTTGACACATATCCAGCTCTGGAGTAGAGTCTATAATGTCCTGAACATCGGACCACTCATCGCTGCTGCCCATTCCTAGGTAAAACAATACATATGATCTACAGGATCAGGATTTCACAGGATGCTGTTCCTTGAAGGGACTTTCACAGCTTTGAATACTGAGGTTTCAGAACTTCACGGTGTTGCGTTCAAAGTCTTAAAATAGGAAAAGAAAGTGGCTGATCATCTAGAGTCACAAATGCACCAATGCTGGGACAGTGCCCTCACAATTGCAGAGCAGGAAGACCATAAGCATCCCCTCCCCTCCATCACACCAGTGTCACCAAGGTCACTGGCGTGAATCCCCATTAAAATGTGATAATCAGAAATACTTCATCCATTAAAAAAATTTCAAATAAACTTTTTAATCTGTCAGTAAAAACTCTCAGCTAAAGCTGTGTGATTGAAGATTAAAGACAACACAGTGATCTTCTGTATAGCTCCACAGAGATTACTGTAGTTATGAACCAGCACTACTTGGTTTTAACAGAAATATTTTTTCAATACAAATTCTCAGGTCTACAACTGGTTTAGAAACCCATTACAGTGAAATTTCACTTGAAAATTGATACTTGAAATCTACTCTGGTTTCTATATAAAGCTACAGCCTGAAGCCAATATTTAAAGGAACTTCCTGTTCTTGTCAAGTCACATTTATTAGAACTGTTCAAAAGCTCAGGCTTGCACCTATTCAAAACAAGCACTATAAACACAGTGTCTGTTCACACAAGAAATTCTTGGAGGATTGAAGACCTAATTTGTAAAGCACATTAGTCCTTCAACAATGTTAGATGTGAAATTTTTGATCTTTCCAAACAGACTCAGTAGCCAAAAATACAAAGCCCATGACAACCTGGGTGTGGATTTTATTCTTTTAGGCTGGCATTATGCACCATCTGGCAACAAATGTCACGTTTGAAGACAAAGCGTGATGTGTATCTGTTGCCAAAGTAGGCATCCATACACCTGTGGTTCTCAAGCTCACAGAAACAGAGGCTTCCTTCTCTTTATTTTTTCAAGCTGGGAAGCTTTTCTGCAAATACCTTTGAGTACCTTTTTTTGGTAGTTCAGCTCTAAGGCATTTGCATCATTGAGAGACATCTGAATTATAGATGCATAAAATACATAATTAAAATTCAAGTATCTGTGTTTCTTCTCAGCATGGAGATCTGACTTTGCATTATGTGTGAGAAATAGCTGAAAGGCTGAATATGCATAGCACATAGGAAAGATGCAACTATCTGCCTTAAGCAGATTCCACAATATGATACTTCGACCAAGAAAAAAGAAGCTTTCACATGCACAATGACTTCAGAGTTGCACACATATAGAAGAGAGCAGACTTTGGCCCAAGAAAGCTATTGATGGTAAATGAACTTGTAAAGCAGCAACGGTAAAAATAAGGAAAGTATCTATAGGAAACTCAAAATACTGACATCTATGCTTAATTTCTCTGACACCAATGTTTATACTGACTTGCCTTGGCCTGGATCACTGAACAGATCACAATTTAACAGTTGGTTACGAAGAAGCCATACGTTTTTATGGAGAACTACACTAGTTGCTGGCAGATTGACATCTGTGACCCTGGGACCCCCTCAGCTGCTAATATAAATACAGAATGGGATTCAGTCACAACAATTTTCATTCAAATCCTAAAACAAAAGATGTTACATGTTGGTTTATAGTCTTAATTTGTTAGGAACCAGCTTGTAAACTTTAGCAGAGAAATTTCCCCTGTATTACTTAAGAAAGAAGATGATCATTTGGTTCAGATGCTAACCTTGGAGACCCAGGCTCATACCTGTGCTCCTGCACAGATTTTCCTTATGATCTTCAGCTAGTTTTACAGTCCTTTTGTATATAAGTTCATGACCTGTAGAACAGGCCACTTCTCATTTCTGAAGGCTGCTAAAAGTCTAAGTACACTACAGGCTGGGAGTTGCTCAGACACTATATTGGCATAACTATACTAAAAATCACAGAAAGGGGCTTTTATCATGTTATTACACCATTTTCTGTATGTGAACAGCATAGTGCAAAAGGCTTAGGTGATGGTTTTCCTAACAAATCATGAATTCAAATTACTAAAGGACTCCAGGAAGTGGAGAGAAAACAACTGTAACTTCTGAAGATTTGGGGGGTTTCTTCTATGAGAAGTATGGTAAAAGAGAACAGCTTATTTAGCTGAGAAAAACAGCTGGATATAATTGCTATTTTTAAACACATTAAAGTGTGGGATAAACACAAGAAGAGAAAATAATCATTTAACATGACTGACAAATCTGGCATATGAACAACTGGATATAAAATACTTATTATTAAATCCAGAGAGAAAACTAAATGGAAGATTTTAACTACCATATTGATGAGGTCCAGAAACAGCTTTCCAAAAGCTCAGTCTCAAATGGGACCTGACTGTTCATGAAGGACTTGACTGTTCTATGACATGCACGAATGCAACTGCAGGGGATTGAACTCAATAACCTATTTCCACTCTGTATATTTGTTAAACTATTTGTATTACTGACATTTGAAAAATTTGCTACTCAGAAAACTGCTAACATCCAACTAGCCCTGTCTCACTCGTGCATCTTTCTAAGTAAGGCTACCTCAAATTCTATACTTGTCAATCTGGTTACCCCTCAGTCTCCCAGCCTCTTCCTGTAACAGTGGGACACAAGCAATGGGAAGTCAATTACTTTAATGAACAAGTACCCAAGCTCCAGCTTCCATACCTATGCTGACATTCCTCATCTCCTGTGTGACCTGGACTTCCATGTTCCGGCTGTTCCGCTTTTCTCGTGCCCTCTTATTGCTCTTGGATGTTCCGTTATATTCGCTGATGGGCTGGATGCTCTCATTCAAGGGTGTGACGGCAGCAGAGGGCACAGATGACGTGGGTGTGTTGGACTTGGTTCCAGTGGTGCTCGGTGTGGCAGCTGCTGAGGACTGCCCAGATTCAGACATTTCATCTTGGGGGCACTATGGCAATTCCAGGGTGGGGGAAGAACAAAAAGGGAAAAGTACAGCTATACATTTCAATTAATCTCCCATTTGCTGGTGTATGGCTGCCTTAAAGCATAATGGAGAATGAGTACCAGCTCACTGGTACCAGCTGCATGTCCAACACTCGCTGGTGACACTAAGCACTGCAACCACAATGAGGCAGTGAGTTCCCGTGCTGAACTCGGCAAGCAAAGCCCACATGTGAAAGGGCTGATATCCTTCCTCCTTTATTACTAAACACTGTTCTTCACAAGTCACATCAGTATGTGATCTCTTCATCATGTATCTCAGGAAAGGTGGTCTTACCATGAGTAAGAGCACCTGCAGCTCACACCAAATATAGTGGAAGCTGAAAGGCTTTGGCATTTGCAGTAAGCCAGGCCAGCACTTCCCAAGACTGGAAGACAACATGGATACTGCTTGGGAAAGGTCTGAAGTGGCCTCTTACAGGTCTTGGATGATGTCATTACTGTAAGCCATCAACACAACCTGGATGAAAGAACAGCAAAGTGGGTTTGACACTAAACTGCAGAAGCAAAGCAGATACCAAGCTAGGATGGTCTGACTTCGCTAGTGCAGGAGACCTATGTCCCCATACCACCTTATGCTTGACAACACAGTAGAAACAGGTGTGGTCTCCCCACTTTCAAATGACAAGACAACATAACCCAAGAATTCAAAAATCAGAAGCTGACAAATTTAACACAGGAGATGGATTCCCAGTGTGAAATGCGCTCAAATGGCTCTCAGTTTTACAGACATTACAGCCCCATTTCTTGTAATACCACCTCCTGAAAACCATGGGAGGCTTTCAAGATTTTATACTGTCACCCTTGTTTGTCAATTAAAGCAGCACTGTTTCACAGCTAGCCAATTAATGTCCTGACCAGTGCTATGATCACTCCCAGACCCAAATGAGATCTCCCCACTCTTCACAGCAGCCCACTCTAATTACTGCCTGCAGGGAGATGACAAAAATAATGTTGAGAGTTAGATGTGATAATGAGTTGCAATTGGGTGCAGTGACATTCAGCATCTACACAGCCAAACCCAGCTTTAAACTTTACTACTTGCCTCTCTCCTCCTGTGCACGTACTAGAAAGATTCTGATTCTGCTCAGAGGCTGCACTGAGCCTCCCAACATCGGAGCTGTGACTCTGTTTCAATTCACTAATGTAGAAGTCTCGTTCTCTTGTTCTAATAATAACTTCACAACATGACCAAAAAATTAAAAATGGGATGAGAGAGAAGACTGAAAAAAATGGTGACTTAACCCTTTGCAGCCATATTTTTTTTAAAATCTGGAATCTTATTAAGATCTTCCTTTAATTAGACTGGCCTCTGTATGCTTATCTTAAAATACCCTGCTGTATACTGAACTGTGGAAGTTAAAGGTTTTACATTGCATCTGTGCATTTATATTGGAAATTAAGATGTTTTAAAAATATGTTACCATTAAATATGATCCATATTTTGTATAGAGTTTCTGCATTGTCAGTCCAAACAGCACCCACATTCCCACATGGACATTCAAAGCATCTCCCTGCACATTTACTGATTTTAGCGTCAACACTGAGATGGGGACTTTTCACTTAGACTACTGCATATGAAAGCCACACTTCCAACATCTACCTCATACTCCTGCTTTGGGAACTACTTTCCTAGTACGTAAAGAAAAAAAAAACAAAATGGGTTTTTGAGAACAAATATGATCCAGTAAGCCTTGTGATACTTAACTATAGTTTGCTTGCTGTGCTTTCTAATGCACAGAAGGACAAAGAGTATCAAATATAAAGTGCAACCATAAAACATCTTTCCCTAAACAAAACTTCTGTTGGATGAAGGGACTGAGAGATGTTCTTTTACCCACTCTAAGTCTATAAGCATATCGAAAGTCCATGAGCATCTTAGCACTGTAAAAGAGACATGTGGGTCCACATTCCATTCCTTGTTCATTGGTACTAGATGTCATTCAGAAACCCTGTATCATCAGTGTCTATAGGGCAATATTTGTATCAGAGATATCCTGTAACTTGTTTACTGACATAATCTGCCCCTCAATCAGAACACACCAGTGAGTAATTACCATGGTCTTTCACCTACTCTTTGGTTATAAATCCAAGTTTTATATTTACCTAGAAAACATACTTTATCAACCTACCAGTCTGTGTTGGAGAAATTCCTCCCAAATGTAAATATTACTAAGGTGCTCCTCTTCACAGTCCAGAAGCTCTATTAATCTTTGCTTGTATCTTCCTTCTATTGTCCTGAGTGCTTTATTAATTCTAAGTATTCCACTAAGTGCACAGCTCTCCTCTACAGCATAGGAGGCATTCTCCATAACCCATAGCTCACCCAAAGAATATTCTCCACAATCATCACTTACCTACAGCCATACCTGTCAACCTCCTAAACATCAAATGTGTAGTAGTGACCTCCAATATGCATTGCAAAGGCCCAACATTCATAGCAGTCATATGTCACCATGAGAAGCCACAATTGTATGGTTATAACACTGAAAGCATAGTACATAAAAACGAAAATGTTAAGAACTTTCATCTCCAAAACATTATATAAAATAAAGGTACAACTGAATGTAAAAATAAAATAATGACAGCAGCTAAAACAGAAAATAGTAATAATAAGTATACAAGGACACTTAAAATATAACCATAATGTGGCCCCATGAAGAAGTTAAACTAGTCAGAAAAGTCAGGATATACATACTGGGAAGGTGAGTGATGTGTGTGCAGTTGATGTCAGTGAAATATCAGAGCTGTTGAAGAAGAGGCAAGGAGTACATGAGCAGTACTGCTGAGATTTCAGTCATGCAAAATATTTGAGAAACAGAATTCCAGTTAGAGAGTGTGCAAGAAGCTTGCAAGAGGAAAATCTCCATTTCAAATTGCAAACCTAGTGAGTCAATCACATCTTTTAATTTTTCATAGGTTTGCTCCATACTCTTAGGAAACCCTCCATAACACACTACTCCACCCAAGACTTCCAAAGCCCAGGCTCCCTAACTCCACCCTACTGGCTGGCCTCCTTAAACCCAGCATCCCACTTCTGAGTTTCCCTAACGAGCACCAACAGAAATCCCAACACTACCTGTCAGATACACTTGCAGTAGCACAGTACTACTTCTGCACAAAGCTTTCCTGTAACCAGAAATTGATTTCTTTTTACCTGACACCACCAACAATCACCAAGAGATCCAGTCAGTAATCTTCCATTACCTGAACTTGGACATCAAAGCTTCCAATTTATCTGGGTTCCTGTTGTATTATACTGCAATGCAGACACTCGGTTACCAGTGAGATCCACTCAATTTCTAAAAGAAGTTCTGCAACAGTACCACTTACAGAATTACGCCTTAGCAAGTCTGCAGAAGATGGATTTTCCCAACATCCTCCCAGCTCTTCTCTAAAAACTAACCCCTGCCACACACACCTGATCGCTAGAGAGCTCGAGGACACCATCACACCATAGTGTGCAGCACTGCCTGGAGATCACAAGGAATAAACTGGTTCCAGAACCAGAAGCAGATTGGTCTCCAATGCATTTTGGTTGCTGTGTCCCTGCAGCAGTGTTGTGTTGGCACAGCACTAGTCTGAAGAAACACATTCATGCTCTATCTTCACTTCCACCATCCTTAATTACAATATTGCACTGTGGCATTGCCATTCTCTAATTCCAGGCAAAGCTCTCCAAAAATGACTGTAGGACCTGACTGGCATTCTGCAAGTTACTACATTTCCCAAACTTCTGTGCCTCTAACACTACAGTAAGGGTTGGGTTCCAGGAACAGTCTCCACCCTATACAAAGATTTTGCTTTTGGATTTCCAACTTCCTATGACGGCAGAGGGCTGACAAAGTGCTAAAGTTTGTGCTGTGCTAGGCCTGGCTACTTTACAAAGGTAATGTTAAAAAAGGGAAGTTGCTGCTTTGTTTTCTGCATGAATTTTGAATTTGTCTGAATTTGTTGTGCTACGCATCAAGAAGGCCATTCCTCCATAGTCCCTCAGTCCAAAGTACCATTAATGTAATCTGGAGACATGCAGAATGGGTACAACAACAAGCTGTGGGTTTTCTTTTTTTTTCTCTCTTCTTTGCCTTTACCACTTCAATGTATTTTACAGGATGAGTGATTTACAACTTCTCAAAAGGAGACCCAGTCCTTAGATGTGACACAGAAAACACATGATGTCCTACAAAGTCCAGGCAGAGAGAAATTAAAGTTTTTCAGACACTTTTAAAGCAAACCATAAGCGCTCTGAGATACTGGTGGACATAAGGCATCCTGTGTAGATGTATCACTGGCTCTCAAGCCTGTCACCGGGCATTTGTAGAACATCATTCAAAGAGGAATTTGGTGAGATCCTGAGCACAAAGGCTTTGAGAAGTCTACAAGTATAGATCACGGGAAGTGTGGGTTACCATGTGTAGCCTAAACTGTAAACAACTGCAGTGAGCTGTCAGCTAAGGGTAAAACATTTGGGTCTTTGGGCTTAGACCTGTCTCCAACTGGCAGAGCAGAACACCACAAGCAACAGGCAGAACCATGCAGATGCTTCAGTGCAGTTGCAGTGATGTGAGTTTTCTGGCAAGTCCCAGTGCAGAAGGCAGCCCACTGAAGGAGATAAATGTATTGAAGGTAGACAATGCATGCCTAGAGCAATGAAAAGATATATGAGGAACTTTAAGCACAGTGCAAAACTTGGGCAACCAGAGAGGATTAGTTGATCTTTTTACTGAAGACAGAAAGACCAGAACAACGATCAGTCAAAAAGGACAAACACCGGAGAGCAAGTGCAATCCAATGCCTGGTCCCAGCTGACATGCAAAAGCACTGCTCTTATCAAGAGAGAGAGAGGGGGGGGACAGGTTCCACCATTTCCTCTCCCAAATAAGCTACAAAAAAGTGAAATATTTATCTTCCCTAAATCTGTAACTGCCTCCCCACACATTCCTCTCAACTTGGGGCCAGCCAACTAAAGGAGATTATCACAGAGACATGAAGCATGAGGAGCTGTGTCAAATCCCGCCCGCACCATATGCCAGATCTGCAAAGGTATATCCTCCCACAGCACAGCTACCAAGGGAGCAGGCGCACAGCAGGGAGAGGCTGCAAAGGGTTATGGACACATACTGATCTCCATCTTAATGAAAACATGGGATGCTATTGACAGCGGGAGAGTGGGAAGCCCTTGCTCTGTGACGGTCTATAAAACCTTGTAGCTGGAGTTGGACTGCAGCTGGCCGAGGTCACTCAGGTGCCAGTGGTCCAGTGTTGGGACGATCTTGGCCCCTATCTGCCCACGTACCATGCCATCCGCAAGGGGGAAGACATTCAGAGAGTTAGGACGTTCCTTCCTGCTAAAGAGAGAAACAGAGAGAGAGCAGAAACCAATCTGTTAGCTCTTTACAAGGTTCTTATAGAAAAGAAACAGCACACTAGCTTATGTGACATATTGATCACCAGAAATTGAATTGCACTCCTTCCCGCACATAGCAGCTGTATGAACTCCCAACTCCCACAGTGCTATCTACTCAGAACCATGGTGTCTACTGCTAGAGGTATACCTCTTCCTGGAGAGATTCTAAGAGAGAGGGGGTCAAGTGATCACAACAGGCATGATGGAACACCAGTACAAAACTTTTTGGGGGAATGCGAAAGTGCAGGGAACCATCAGCCAATTTAAGTCAGTGTATCTTCTGAGAAACAAAGGTACTGTGGTAAAACAAGTCACAGCAAACAATCCTCACAGCAACCAAAAAAAGCTCCCATAGATCCTAGAGTTGTCATCACTGGGTCAGGAAAGCAGCTTTTAAGAGTCATCTACATGACACTTATATATATTCAACCCCAAATCTGGTTACCTCCAACATCAGAAATCAGAGGGTTTTGGATCACTTCCAGTATTAAGCAAGAAAAATAGTATTTGTACTCTCTGATCCCCATTCCATATCTGTATTACAATGCACTCAAAATTCAGAAATTAAACACAGGTATAAATGAATGCATCATTCATATTGCAAATTGTCTGTAATTATATTTTCTTTAACCTCTTCTTTCTGGCAATTGCAGGTGACTAGCTAGCTGCAGGTTTGATTCTGAATATAAAAGGTGGCGCAGGTTTTGTGACCAAGTTCCAGTGGGAGAAAATGTAGAGCAAGCAGTGGAGGTGGGAACAGCTACAGTACCATGGTGAAACCAGCAACTGGTTTCGTGACAGAGAAGCAGGCCTGAAGGGACTGAGTACACATGCATTTAGGGGCTATCCCCAGCAGCCTCTGCTAGCTGAACTCCAGTGGCCCTGAAGAAATTAACTAAGCTGATACTCCATGTGACGTGCACCCACAAAGGGGTTCAATGATGGTACTTCACCTACGCCGCTACAGGACTTCCGCTTACGGGTGTGGGGTGGTGAAATCTGCCCTTCTGTACACTAGTATTAGTAACAGTAGACCTTCGCGTGTCTTTCTTTAATCATCATCAACACTGGTCTGACGACCAGGCTAGGCAACCATCACAACCACCTCAGCCATGACCATGGGCAAAACAGCTACAAGCAGGACCTAAGGCCTGCCAGGATGTATGCAAACACACTAACACGGGAGATGGTGCATAAACCAGCTCATTTATGAAGGAAGGAGGTGGAGTGCCTAGCAGAGGAGACAGTGTTTGTGAAGAAAACCAAAATGCCCAACCTTTCCATTCTCGGCACTGCCCAGCTAACACAGTGTGCAGCCCTGCTGTGTCAGTGTCGCTCATGGTAAGGAATAATCACTCTTTGTGGCCTATCTTAGATAGGCAGAAAGGTGTTTCTACTGTGTCCCAGGAAGGAGATTTGGAATGTACTTTTCCTAGGAATCTGCATTAAAATCCTCTCCTGAAGATTCTAAAGACTCATACATGGAAGTTTCACAGACAAACCCTCTTATGATGTTAGCACATAACTGGATTTTAGAGGAACACAGATCATCGACACAACCTGATTAGCCTTACTTTCTTTTATAGAGAAGATGCAATCATCTTTCATCAGATTCAAAGCCAGAATCATATATGACAGGGATTATCAGTCTCCTTGTAGCCTTTCCACTCAAAAGGCATCCTGGTGCATGTTACTTTTAAATATTTACAGTTGCTGAAGGTTTATAGAAAACATTCCACTGCTGTTTGCCTAAATACCTGATTTATGACCTTGTCCTGGTTTAGGCCGAGAGGGCAACTGAGCACCACAAAGCCATTCACTCATTCCTTCCCCTATCAGGGATGGGAAGGAGAATATGATCATCTAAGGAGGAATAGCTCATTCATTATGGTCATGGGCAAAAGACAGACTCGTTAGGGGAAGAAAACATCACTAATTCAAACGCTACCAAAGACAACACTTAAGAAGCGCAATGACATCCAAACACACCTCCCCCTCCCCTCCCTTCTCCCCGGGCCCAGCTCTGCTCCCCATCTCTCCCCCTCCTCCCCCAGCAGCGCAGGGGCAGGGGATGGGGGTTACAGCCAGCTTGCCGCTCCTTCCTTCTTGGGAGGTGGGGGGAACGCCGCCCAGCCCTCCCCTGCTCCCCGGGGCTCCCCTCTCACTGCACACAGGCCTCCAGGAACCTTCTCTGGCATGAGGCCTCCTCACGGGCCGCAGCCGTTCCCGAGCTGCTCTGTCCTGGCTCACCCCCGCGTGTTGTGGTCCTCCCAGCGCCGAACCACAACAGCGGGGGCTGCTTCTCCCCTCAGAATCCCGGCCTACTTTAAGCACAGCCATCTGTCCCTCGAGTGGCTTTCTCCACAGGCTTCAGGTCGACCTCTACTCCACCGCTGACCTCCATGGGTGGCAGGGGGTTAGCCCTGCCCTCTCCCCACAGGATACAGGGGTCTCCGCTCTGGCGCACCTCCTCCACATCCTTCTCCTTCCTTCCATTTACCTCAGTGTTCATCCTTCTCGTAACTCCTCCTCACAAGTCCCAACCGCCTCCCAGGTTCCCCTTCCTAAATACATCATCTCAGAGGTGCAGCCACTGCCACTAATTGGCCAGAGGTGGGTCTGACTTGGAGCCGGGGGAGCTTGGAGAAGCTTTTCACAGGGGCCACTGCTGTAGCCCCCTCCCCCTGCTACCAAAAAAATGCACCACAGAAACCCAGCACAGACCTCTATCCTGCCATTTATACCTGCTCCTAATAGGTCATGATGCCAAAGTACTTTTACCTCTGTTTGTCTTCCTGCATTTACCTCTATATCCTACTGCTATCATTCCAAGACCCTCAAAGTTTCTAACAGCTGTGTTTTAAGTTTCTAAATAACATACTAGGGAAATTTCTCCCCTAATATGAAATCTTCACCCCTGGCACTGTACTGATCTAAAAGCCACAAAACATATAGTCAGTTACGTATAAGAGATTATGAAGAGATTCAGAACTAGAAATTAGAACTTTTCGCCACAAAGACAGAAAATTCCTAGTTTTACAGTTAAAGAAATAATTCAAGGGTCCCAAAGAGTCTACTTCAAATGATTCATTCTTTTCAGGGAGGGGAAAAAAAAATAGGCCATTTTTTGAGACACTTTAACTATCAGTTTCATATCTTTCCTATTCTTCAGGTTAGAATAATGGTCTTAAGGGAGTCATGCTTCACAGGTGTACACAGCTAGAGAAAATTTCCTGTAACTGCAAAACATTCCTTGCAAAACAAGTGGTACAGTCATTACATGCTATTCTATAAATGCTTTTGTGACTGCTGGGATGGCCTGATGTAACTCACTGGCAGCACTGAGAAATATGAGCCATCCCAAACGTATGCTGAGAGACACTAAATTATACTTCCTCTTTAGGTAATGTCTATCAGATTTCTTTTGGGAACCCATAGCTGATTTCTACGTTCATATACAAATACATGCACATTCAATATGCAAAGAGATGCAGCACCCCATTGAATATACAGGGAATGTAAGAACTTCACAGCCCCTGCTAAACAGAGAACAGAGCTATAAAGCCTCCATAGCATCAGAAGCTGTAGATTTTCAGGAAAGGATTTTAATGTAGATTGTTAGGAAATTTCCTTGCTGAGTTTCTTTGGAAACACCTTCCAGCCTCTGTTAAACCTCCCATGGAAAAGAAAAGAGCAAACACCACAGAAAAGCTAACTTCAGCTTTGCAGTCCTGGACTGACTACCAGTCTTCAAAGAAATTTAGAGTATCCTCAGGGCTGGACTAAATTTTGAGTGCTGGAGTAACCTTCATACATCCAATTCTTTCCAATACAGGGTGACTCTTAACACTTGGCTAGTTTTACCTTGTGTTATAAGGTAAAAAACAAACTCCTCAATAAAGTTTTGCAGTAGCCAGAACCTGGGATCAGGATGCTCTACAAGTAACATCTTAAAGCTTATAAAACATAACAAATCTATGATTTGTTTGCCAGCATTTAAAGGCGAGAACTGCTCTCTTTGCAGACTCTTGGCATAGAACTCACTGGCCAGCCCAAAGTCAAAAATGCCTTCAGAGAGCTACTAACAAGGGCACTCATTTTCTGCCCTGCTCAGAAAATATGCATGCCTTGTACTCTATAGTAAAATAAGGGGTAAAAGATGACTTTTTAAAACATTCTGGTATGTGAAGTGTAAATGTCCAATTACAAAGGACTGATCCTATTTTGGGACTGAACTTCTGCATCTTCTGCATATGAGTACACAAACTTCTTCCTGATGCATTATCCCAGCAGCCTGGTGGCTCCCTCCGCCTCACTCACACAAGCAAGTCTAACACAGGTGCCAGTAGACAAAGAGGGCAAACGCAGCGGTACAGTACATTCCCAGCACCACACTGTTGCCACCCAGCAGCAACCTCCAAAACTAGCATTAACAAAGTTAAGATGCAGCAATAGGATTTACCTTTTCCTCCATGACTGGCGATGACTGCAGTGACAAACATAACAGCCAAAACAGAGCACCAATTGCACAAAAAGCAAGACAAAGAAAAACAACCATTAGAGAGCAAAGGTCATGCAAACATGCAGCCCTACAACAGACACAGGGTACACATGCACTGTAAACCACACCACATGGAAGTGTGCACTGTACCCACTACCCTTTTGGATGGCAGTCAATACACTCCCCCCCTCCTCCCCCAACAATTCTTAAACAAACTTCTCCCAAGTTTCAGGCAAACATACTCAGTGTACTTACGGTCTTATGCAAATATGCACCCCTATGCAGTCTAACACACCAAAGCACACCCACAGATGAAAATAAATAAATGCACTCACATTTGTGTGACAGGGCATGAGAAATTATGCCCGTGTCCCCCCTAGCGTGCACATCGGTGCACCAAGATACACAAATGCTGGTGTTCACCTCCATCCAGCTGTGCAGTGACACAAAAACACACATCTGACCCAGGTGCTTGTGCACAAGCATATACAAACACAACTATACACACACATACACACACACACACACACACAAACAGTGCAAAGCTTGAAATGAAGGAAGAAGTCCCATTTCCCACTGGTGGTTCCTACAAACTCAGATCACAGCCCCATGAGGGGCTTTCATAGCCATACAGTGTTTCTTTTTTTTTTTTTCTGCCCAAGAAGACTAGTAATATGCCACAATTAAAAGGGTGAAAGACTAATTTCTAACATGAAGAGGCAATTCTTGATGAAAATTTGCCTTCATCCCAGAGAATGGCGATCTTGCAGATATAACCAGTAACACTTCTCACTGTGCATCTCTTTCACAGAATGATAACATAAAGCCACAATTAATAATAGCTTCTTTGAAAGTTAGGGTAGCAAGATCTCGTTAAAACCAATTTCTGCCATGCACTCCAACCCAAATTTGGCAGGTGCATATATGAACCAACCTTTAAACAAGAGAGGCCCTAAGCATGCTTTTGCCTATGGTGCTCTCATAATATATTTCCACATATATATTTTTATTTACAGAAGGATAGGTGGGAAGGGAAACAAGCCTAACACACTTATCCCATTTCAGCTGTAACACCAGGATCAGACCATGTTCTAGGAGCTCAGTGTGCATTTCCAGACTGCAAAGGAGGGAGGAGAAGGAATAAAAACAGTATGATAAGGGAGATTTTATCTACAGAAGAACACCTACAAACAGCTGGCTCTCTACACCCCTCATACCTGTCTCTTTTGCCTAGGAAGGCTGCCATTTTGCTATTTTTTTTTTCCCAATAGATTTTTAAATTTTGGACAATCCAGTTTTAGCTAGACCTCAAACACTGTATTTTTTAATTATTTTTATTTTCCTGAACCACTCTGAGACTGGTGTACTGTTTTGCAGAAAATAGAGCACAGCAATAACTCGCTATCCCGCCCACTCAACAACTACAACAGCTTTTAGTTACTGCTCTCTAGAAGAAATACTGCAAGACACTCTTTTCTGAAAGGACTATTCAACGGTCAGAAGAGGAAGGGTAAATAGTCCCCCCCTTAATTCACATATAACTGTGTCTTTCTTTATGTAAGGCTTTCATAGCCTTACAAATGAGAGTATAAAAATCTTATCAATTGATTCAGATTAAATCAAGGATCTTTCTTTGAGATACCAATATCTTCCAGCTGCAAGTTAGTCTTGTAGTCAAGCTAAAGAAGCATCTTTAATTATTATGTGAAGTAATGAAATAGCAAATAAAGAGTATTGGAAAAAATTCTTCACTGGCTGGGTGGTTGAGCACTGGAACAAGCTTCCCAGGAAACTGGTCATGCCTCCAAGCCTGTCAGTGTCCAACAAGTGTTTGGATAATGCCCTTAGATACATGGTTTAACCTTTAGGTTTCCCTCTGTGGGGTTGGGAGTTGAATTCGATGATCCTCATGGGTCCCTTCCAGCTCAGGATACTGTATGACTAAGGCTGAAGGGAACCAACAGGAGTACCAAGCTAGTTACCAAAGCTTCCAAAGATTGTCTTTTACTACTCCCTTTCCATCCTTCAAGCCCCTTTCATTGACAAGATGGGGTTGAGTCTCTTTTCCTCTCCCCTTTTCTTTCTGACAATACACAGCCAAAACTTTGCCAATTCGAATTCAGTCTTTTCCAGAGCAGTCCAATCCAGCAACAGGGAGACACAGCAGACAGAGGGTATTTACATGTCCTGTGCCAAGACCTGAAATTTCCTTTCTATTACATTACCCCAAGAACAACTAACATTCTGGTATTTAAGTGTTACAGATTTAAATACACGTTACGAAAATATCCTCACTTATTCTTTCTTTATTCTTAATTTGAAATAATTTTGCTCCTTCTTCATCTCCAAATCTTGCTCAATGCTCTTCTTTTGCATTTCATCATCTCTACTAGATGACACGTCAAAAACCTTTATGGCTTTCCATTTATCTGTTCTTCCAGTACTCTCACCTCTGTGTCCTTGCCCATGTTGCCCTTTATGTATAGTCTGACATGCCACCCCCAATCCTTTTTTTAGCCTAATGCTTCCCAAAGATTTAGGTTTTGAGTGAAGTTCAGTGATACTAACCAGCTGAATTTCACAGGTATTAACCAAGATCAGCCAGACATATTTTGTAAGAGGTGAGTGGGATGCACCTATCAGGCACTCTTTTCCGAGTATTCCTGTGCAGCTGGTACCGTCTCTGTCTATTTTTCAGAACAGCTCCCACAGCTTGTGGTCAACATGTATGTAAAACCTTTTAACATTCCTCAAGGCCAGAAGAAACTACAAAGTTAAAAAAAGACAGGAAAGGTCAACTAATGGATTTCATCTTCCGCAGCATATTACTTGGTCAATATTGTTCCTCTGGAAAACACTGTTTTAGTTTAAAACTTCCTGGGTTAGACAATGTCACTATAGTGACATTGCCTAATCATCATATGCTAATGAGATAATTAACACAAATAGTCATCTGTCATTCATAAAAACTGTGACAGAAAACATCTTTTTAATGCCTGAGTGATTTAACAGATTATGCTTAATCTGAGTAGATTATGTGTTATGTGATCTATTACTTCTCTAACCAGTATTTATGAAATCACTTCCACTTCTCATCCCATGGGCAATGTTACTCATATGTAGTGTCATCACAAAACATCTGGTTCCTTCACATACCACTTTATACCAGATCTATCTGTACTGAAATCAATGTAACTGTGACTTCTGTGCTTTAAATTTGTTCTAAAACTACGAAAGACTAGTTCATCTATATACTGAACTTCTTTCCTACCCCTGCCTTCTTTAAGCAAAAGTTGATTCTTACTGGTGTGGTGCTCTGAAAACAGGGAGGGATAGGCAGGGAGGGAGGAAGATCAGTTACTTGGGCATAGGTAGGTCTACTGGGTGACTGACTTACAGAAAGCTTCCCTTGAAGGAACAGGGGAAAAAAAATCCTATAATGGCTAATGCATTTAATTGCTACAGTTTTGCTGGCCATCACACATACAAAGACACACACACATACACACAAATACTTTGACACCTCCATCAAATGGAGGAAAAATTTTTACACGCTGCCTGAAAATACAAACATATTTTTCCAGAGGCCACACCACAAATAGCAGCACGACAAAGCCTGAGCTTTGTAACAAAACACAAAGTTCCTTGTCATCAAGCCTTAGAAAATGTACCCACAACTCATCCACAACCCATTATGAAAAAGCTTCAACTACAATCCATGCCCACAGGGAAAGATCCTGCTTCTGGTTCCTCTCTCTCAAATACGCATACTCAGTTTGTATATTCCTGAATGGAATACATTACATGGAGAGGTTATGGCCCTACCTTCTCCCAGGTAGACTGCCCTCAGTTTGATTATTTCCCCCAACTTGCTGCATCTTAGATCGCTCAATGTGTTCCACGTAGGTCTGGATCATCTGTGAGGAAAGAAAAATCCATGAGCCAAACAGAGGAGAAGAAGAGACTCATTTTCTGCTTTTGTTTGATCTTCTCCAGCATTCATTTCCAATTCCCTTTCTTTTTTTGCACATCTCGTCTTTGCTTTTGTCTTCTAAACTGATGATGTAAGTGAATGGACCAATCTGACAAAATCTCACAGCAAATGGTGTTGGAAATGACCTAAACTTAAATCTCACAACAGAATAGCCATGAAAAAGCATATGCAAAAATAATCTAAGACATGTCCTGGAGGCTCATTGGCAGTGGGAGATGAGATAGTGGGACAGTGTTCATAGAATCACTAACAGAACAACTAAGGTTGGAAGGAACCTCCTGGGGTCCATCAGGTCCAACCCCTCTGCTCAAACAGGGCCACCTAGAGTTAAGTTGCCCAGGACCATGTCCAGGTGGCTTTTGAATAGCTCCAAGCATGGAGACTCCACCACATCTCTGAGCAACATCTGCCAGTGCTCACCATCCTCACAGTGAGTAAGTTTTCACTCGTGTTCAGAGGGAGCCTTCTGTGTTCCAGTTTGTGCCAGTTGCCTCCACTCTTGCCACTGGGAACTACTGAAAAGAGACTGGCTCCATCCTCTTTACACACTCCATTGAGATATTTCTGATGTTCCTAAAGTTCAGAAGCTCTAGTCATCACTAGCAATGTAAAGCTGAATTCTATGACATGACTTTACATATAGGCTAAGAGTTTACTTATTTAGAAATAATGACATCTTACCTCTGTGTGACGCTGATGTAGAGCATTATACTCTTTCTTCATTTCTGATTCACGTTCCTCCAGCCGTGAAACTACGAAGAGAAGATTCCAGCCATTAGCTTACACAAATCAGGCTCTCAAAGAAACCAGAAGTCTCAAAGCCTATTTTGTTAGAAATTAATCTATACCTACTGAACAAAACAAACAGAAACAGAATAATGCACAGTGTGGAATGTGATCTTCATTACAAATTCAATTCATGGGTACCTGCATGCTCCCAAAATGAGCAGGCCAAGTACTGCAATAAGACCAAAGAAGCAGAGTTCTTCAGCAGTAGCCTGGTGCCCCATAAGTGTCCTACTTTGACAACAATTTAAACAACCCTCTGGGATGGACGCCTCTGGCTATCTGAGGAGCAGAAGTACTGGACAAAACACCAAAGAATTTTGAGGGGAAGCTCAGCCAACAAAACACAGCTACACACGATAGGGAAGTATTTGTAAAAAAATAAACAAACAATAAACAAACTGATAAAATCTGTAAAAATAAACAAACAATAAACAAACTGATAGTTTCTATGAGAAAACAAAGGTGAGGTTCTATTCAGAGATAAAGAGAAACTGGAAACAAGGTTCATTCCAAAGCTCCATCAGTGACCAAAATCTTACACCTGGAGAGACTGAGCATGCCCCACACAAGAGAAGCAGTGAAGCCACTACTGGATTGTTATGGCTACATCCCATCCTTCAGAAGGCTCAGAATTTTATATCAAAGTAAGGGATAACGAGACACTTCAGACTTTGTGTAAATTACACTAGAACAAACAAAAAGTATGAAGAATATTTTCAAATTAGTAGTATTCATGTGTGGAAGGCATAGTGCATAAATCATGTCTGGTGTACAACTTAGCTTACTCTGATCTGCATAGTTTTTAGTCTTCAGCTCCAGCTGTCGAGTCTGAAATTCAAGGTGTTCCACTTGGATTTGTAATTCTTTCTTCTCCTGCTCCAGTGCATCTTCAAACTCTATAAACTTCTGAATAGGTAAGAAGAGAAGGAGGCACGGATGAGGAATAAATGCAAAATGTGTTTGACCTATATGACTTTTCCTCTCCTCATAAAAAAAAGAAAACTGAGAGAATATAAATTACAAAATAGGAAATAAGATTTTTTAAGAACTGTAATTAGTATAATAGCATTTAATCAAGCTGAAGAGACTATTTTATATGAAGAAGTATTAGCTATCTTTAATGTATAATTAATACATAAACTAGCCCAACATGAGTTATGTAAACCAGCGCAACTCTATAATCTTCAACATCGTTCCTCCTCATGCCAGGCTGAATTTTTATTCTTGTTAATTTTATGTCAGAGAAGACAAATTCTATTTCTATGGTCATACATTTACAAATGTGTATGTCAGAAACCTTCAGACCAATTCCTCTATTTGTGAAGCCTTAGAAAGCTTCACCTATAATTCACATGGCAAGTAAATTTTGCAGAAATGTCCAATTATTTTGGAAAAGTTAACCACAACTACGGGCAGCTGAGAGGAACCTCTGTACCCAGAGATGGTGACCTGCCCCAGCAGCAAACTCCAGAAGGGCTCTGTGGTATACAGGAACTGAGGGAAGGAGGAGAGAAACAGGCAAAGGAGGAGGTTCACACAGCAAATTTAATGAATTTATACCCAGCAAGAAAAAGCGTGGCTAACTGCTCTTGGCAAAGAAGGGAGGGAAGGGATTATTGCTGCTAACTCCCATTAGCAACAACAAAGCAGCAGCTGTGCACACAGCATTGTGGAGTCTTGCACAGAACACTGGGCTGAAGGGAAGATCTTTAGAGATATACTCATTTCATGATGAAAAATACAGCAGAAAAATACAACATTTCAGGCTATTATTTCTGTAAAATGTCACTTTTGATCTGGGAGCTTTAGTCATTCTCTGCATTGAATACTAGCATGCACAGTAAAGAAAAGTAAGACGTGTAACATTCAGCCAAGCTCCACTGTAGTGAACTGATATTACACATTACTCTTGATATAAGCTGTACTCACAGTCACTTTAATTAAATATTTAAACTAAACAGGGCTCCTGGAAAGTGAATAGCACCTTCAAACCTCCGAGTATAACTAAACAAGCCTGGTTCTTGCACTATATATGGTCATGAGAGTTTTTCTGCACAAAACACTAACATGTACCCATGTTGCAGAAACTCTCAAACAAACAATAAAAAATAAAATTTATTTTTATGCACAATTAATCAACACTCTACAAACATACAAACAGTGGGTTCAAATGCCCATGAGAGGAGAACAAACTATCACCACACAATCCTGGGGTTTAACGACAACCCAAAACGCCATCCAGATGTTTAATGACAACCCAAAACACTCAGTGTAAAATAAAAGGACTCTCAACCTCGACTAACTCCTTAGGGCAGCGTCCCAACCCACAGGAACCCTGAAGAGTTTCCTTGGGCAGCGTCCCAACCCAAGGGGAGAGTCCTTACCTGCAGCACGCTGCTCCGGGTGGGATGAGCTCCAAACAGCTCCCCCTGGGGCCCCATTTCTACCGGAGACAACCTGACCTGTGGTCAGTACCAGCCCCTGTTGGCCAAGGACCCCAACTGCCATAAAGCCTGAGAGCAAGAGCACGGGAGAGGTTCAACAGCCAGGAAGCCACATTTTCATCAGGCAGGTGCACCTGCCACAACCCACACGCAGTAATGACCCATAATCCATACTTCTGGACTCAGAACTGATCCGGTTCTAGTAACACCCCTGACACAAACTTGTGGAAAAATCCCTAAGTCTCAGAAAACATTTGCTCTGTTAACCACATACAACCTCTCCACAGCAAACCAGGTCTAAAGTGTGGTACCACCATGCTTACAATGGCATAGGATACTAAGGCTATCTCACTAGCTTCATAGTAAGTGCTATCCTGGCCTTGTGAACAAGCCTTGTTACAGCACTTCTGAAGAGCTACATTCAAGGAAGCTAAAACTACAGCACTGTCTGCACCAACCAGTCCAGTAATTAAAACACAAACCTGTCAGCTGAGCATCAAGAACACGTCTGGGGCCAGGATCAGCCCTGGCTTCAGAGCTGCAAAGGAAGAGAGAGAGCAGGCAATAAAGCTGAGTGGGCTTTAATCTACCTTTAAGATGTTTATAGAACACGAGGAACTTGTAGGAGGCAACTTGGGGCTATGAAGTGATCACAAGGGTGCTCCGCTCCTGGCCCTGCCCTGCTCCTCTCTGTCTGTTTGCAAAATGCTCCTTAGGTTGAGCTCTAACAGATCCACCAGCATATGCACATCGTCTGGCTGCAATCTCCTCTTTCTAAAAGCATGAATACTGGTGAAGAAAACCCTTCTCTCACCCTCCTCTGTACTCTGCACAGGGGAAAGTGTTGCTTATCCACAAATAATGCCACTCAACAGGACATGGCAATTTTAATTTAATAAAGTAAAGCCTCATTGTATTCTAAGAGACAGACTCTGGTGAAAATCATTTTTGGATAAGATTCCCACAGAAACAAGTGCATTTAAATGCACAGTAAGGTTATTTTCTTAAATTCTGCATACGAAACAACACGCTTATCCTGCATTCTCAGGATAAGCCCTGTGCAGATTTTCTGTTACTTTTACTGGAATAATCAGTAGTGACACTGGAGCCATCACTATGTTCGTGAACTGGATCTTCTCTCTGTAGATGACTGAAAGGCTACTTCATGTATTATTCTTGCAGACTTTTAAAGATGTTCAGTAAATTCATCTGAATGAGTCAGTGTTCATTCCTATATACCTGTATTTATAGAAACAATCAAATGCATTTTAGCCATGTCTCATTTTTCTGCACTCGGTGTTCTGCAGTGCCTTTAATCTTTAACTGGGTTTTTAACGTTTTTTCCTTCCTGCCCAAATATATTGCAATAAGGGTGGGGGTTTTCCCCCATATGTTTTTTTTCCAGGAGTATTTTCTAGAAATACCAGAAATGCCAATACCTTTCTTCCGCTATAAAGGAGTCACCTCAGAGGCTAAACATTTACTTCTTAATTAAATTTTAATACTGTACAAAGTTTTAGTTTTTTAAGTAAGCATTCCTTCTCTGAGATGTCAATTAAACATTGAACACCCTTAGTCACTCACAAATATCCAGCAATGTTTTATGGATTTTGACAAATTTATAAAGCAATCAGCATTGTAAATTTTCAGATTTATTCTTGAAATATTTTCCAGAATAACAATATAATTTTAAAATGAGTAAAAAGGAAAAAAAAAAAATCCTAACTGACACAGCTACCCCAAGCAACAGACCTAGAGAAGCAGCAGTTTAACATGCTCCATTTGGAGGACTGATCGAAGCTACACTAACAAAAGCTATTTTCCTGGTATAATGTCTATCTCATCGCAGGGTTTTGCTGGAACCACTCTGTGCTAAAGCTCTATTGATAAACCCTTTTAATTACAGCCAAGGGCTAAATCCCCATCACATCGCACTGGCTCAGCTTTCACTACCCTCTTGGCTCAAGATGCCCTCCTGCTCCTAGTTCTCCACCCAAGAGCATGACACCCAGGTCAGGCAGGAATGAGATTTCCAGCAGCAGCAAAAAATGAATGGACTTTAAGGAAAATATTCACAGAGTTCTTGACAATAAATTAGGAAGCAAAAGAAGGTACAAGCCCAATTTTATCCCCACTATGTAGGTCATCTTTAATAGGATTCCTGGATTTGCTACTGCTGTTTTGGTTTAATTCAGAAGAAACTGACTGGAAGATTAAGTCCTCTACAAATAATGGCTCAGTCTTCTTATTCAGTCCTGTCTATTTTGCAGCCCAGAAGTAATCAAAGAAACAGAAAATGAGAAATCAATTAACCATTTGGAGAAGAGACATGGAGACAACAATATTAAAAATTAATATTACCCTAAGTATTCTCAGGGAAAAACAGCATTTCAGATAAATGCATTGCAGTATATCCTGTCGGCTGAAATCAAACAACATTTGTGCACAGGGACCCATGGGCTCTTTACTCTCCCTGTCTCCAAAACACCTTTTAGCTGATCCTGCATCAGAAACCATCTCAACTGAGGTTCTCCCTGTGCATCAGAAGGTCTGAAGGGCTAAAAATAGGAAGAATCCCAGATTCAGAGGAGTGAATGGCCACACCAGCGGGATAAGGATGAGGTTTCACTGCCAGGGCCGTCCCCAAGGAAAGTGCATGGCTTAGCACACAGTCACTGCCACTCAACCTTCATGGTACAAGTCATCTCTCATCAAGGTATTCAGGGAGGCTTTATTTTTTTTCCGCAAGCCAGCCAGCAGCAGACATTTCATACAGCATCCAAGAAAGAGACTTACTAGCCACTCAAAGCAGCAGAGACTGAAATTACCTAGCTCAGGAATATGAGCACGTCCACAAGCACAACTATGCAGTGCCAGGAGTCTGGGGCAAACAGGCACTTCACATACATTTGTACCACTCTTGTGAACAACAGCCTCCAGAGAAAGAGACAGCAGAGGCAGCACTTCGTCTACAGCATGATGCTGTGCCATGGTCCTCAAGCTCATGTGGCTCATGGACCATAATATACGGCTGCAGATGGCCCAGCACCGCCCGGGCTGGCTACAGTCTCCCTCCTGTCCTAACTCAACCTGCCAGGTGCATCCCCTAGCACACAACACATCCTCCTAGCACATGGTGCCCTCTGCACCAACCCTTGCCTTCCCATGCTGCTGGAAACTCATAGCAGATCAGGAGAAACAGGGAACACAGACTGAATAAAGCATATTTTTTTATTTTTTAACAACCAGACTCAGAGGCAGTTACACTTTAAAACCAAGCACATATTTTTGAGTGAATGCAGCTCAGTAAATAAACATCCATAGGCATTTCGGATTTTCCATTTCTTTTGGGGCAGGTGTGAGGGTGGGGTGAGTGGTATACAATCCTGGCCCCACTGAAGCTGTGGGAATGTTCTCAGGAACTTGAAGAGGACCAAGATTTCACTCCGACCTTTTAAACCT